TATGTTGTTGTAACGTTGATATAAGGAGAGGAAAAACGTGAGAAAACAAGGAAATAAGGGAAGAGAGAGTGAGAAAGAGATGAAAAAATTAAATCAAATTTTTACATATTAAAAATAAATAAATTATCAATATGAGAGAAATACATAGAGAGAAAATAGGGAAAAGAGAGTGAGAAAGTAATGGAGTAATAAATACCCTTTTAGTCTTTTTTTCAAAAAAATGCACTTAGTGCCAAATAAGTTTTCTTAATGTAGTTTAGCTCAAATAAGTCTAAAGTTTTGTACTGACTTTCAAATTACCCTTAAATGAATGTAGGTAGGTCTTAGTTTTGACGTTGATGATTTATCTTTAATCAAATCGAGAAAAAGATTAATCGAGATGTGCATAAGTTGAGTCAGACACTCCTGACCGTTGAACTAAAAAAAAAAAAAGTTAAATGATGGTTAACTATACTACTTTTGTCAATTTGTAGCAATTCCTTCGAAGGCCCATATTGAACCCCAATAATCCAGCTTTGAACACATTTTTTTTGTCAATCACTATCCGAGGGGGAAGGATAACGATAAAATTTGAATCCACAACCTTAAAATTTAACAATAAGGGCGGTGGCTATTAAGTTAATCACTAACCTCAATTTTGAAGACATTTAGTGGGCCTAAATTGAATTAGATATAAAATAATGTCCCCAGTTGGTATTTTTGAATATTTCAATGATGTATTCACATTTGACGACCGACCCACCATGTGATCTTTCCTTACCTTTCATGTGCACAGTTCCCAATGGTTGCAGCATGTGACTAATAAAAACAAGTGGCCCATATTTGAGAGAGTTCCTTTCGTATCTTTTTGGTAACATTGAGAGCCCACAACAAACTTTCTTTTTCTCTTTTTCTATGTAAGACTCTCAAGATTCAATATAATCATGCCTCCTTATAGATTCCGCATTGTGTGCGTGTGTGTGAGTGAGGAGTAAATATTCAGCAGAACGATTACACTATATTATTATTATTATTATATGGTTTAATCGTTCAATAAAAAATAAGCAAGTGAACAAGATAATTCTCTTTTTTACATATGAGGGTTATTATCTTACATGGTGGAGTAGCTATTTGAGTAAGTGGGCTCCACTTTTTATATTTGGTGAGTTCTCATTGAACAATTACACTACATAATAATGCTGATATAATGTAACTATTATAATGAATATTTTCTCAAGAATGAGAAAGAGGCGATGTGATTTGAGGTTCTCGCGATTAGATTTTTGGAGAGGCACTTCGTTGTATCGTATTGAAAAATTTGATCCAAATCGACTTACTTTTTAGTCAATGATGTCGAGTTGGATTCGATTACAAGTTTTTTACGATCGATAACCAATATTTAAATTTATTGATTTGTAAATTAGTCTTAAACTTTTTAATTATACTATTGAATTTGTACATAGATTTTTTTTCAATCATCCTGTTCGGTTGGAGAGTATATCTATGTTCATGCCGTGAAGTAACCATTTATGAGTTCATTATAATGCTAGCTAGTTGTCACAAGGCCTAACTTACTCTATCTTAGAAGAAAATCCAATGGTTGTTTGAAACCAGAGTCATAGAGGCACCAAAGCCATCTGTACATACAAAGAATATGGCCAGAATGCACAGCCACAGCTGGAGAGCATGGTTTAAGCCTATGGTATCTATGATCTATTCAGAGGGGTTTGAGTTACATTGGCTGAGGCGTTGCGGTATCTAGTGATACCACCAAAAAAAAAAAAAAAATTGAAGATGACAAGAAATTCATGTTATGTTGCGGTGTCACGGAATAGTATTTGTCAATTCAATGATGACAACTTGAGATTGATTCGAAAACAGCTCGGACGACTCAGTCGAGATGCATGAGACTCGTAATTTATATGTAACGTGGAATGGTATCAACTCAGAAGGTGCTGAATTAGATTCAATTTAACTAATTTGTATCTATATCGACCCCAATAATTTCAACTATGCTCGAGAGGTATCAATGCAACATACGAGACACTTTGTTTTACCCATGACAAAGTATGCCCATATGAACAAAAGCCCCACATGAGCTGTAGTCCATGAACTGTTCAATGGCTTTTGTTTTCCTTTTTCTTTTTTGAAATTTGAGAATCGTTCTAAACACATAATATCAAATTAATGGATGTAATGTAAAACTCACTTAGGACTCGATCAGAGGAAACGATGTGCGTCGACTAAGCCTAAATATTATGCAATAAGACTCGGGACTATGGCTTTGCTTTCACTCTTATTTTACGAGCAAATAAGATATTCTAGTATGGTTGACAATGAATTGGTTCAAATTGGATTCGTGTCCACTCATTTGAGAAATAGGTTTAAAGTGGTCACCCGTTTATTTCTCTAATCTACTAATTTCGTATACATTACGTGTAGAATTTTCTAATTATGTCTAAAATTATCAAACTTTGTGTATAGTTGTTGATATCGCTCTAATATGTTAACCAAAAAGGAAAGCCACCATGTGGTTACATGTAGAAGAAGTCGATGTGAACATATAGCTAGGGACCATGTGAAGACTTCCTTAAGAGCACTCAAGAGTTAGGCTCACGTCGGACTTCATCTTTGCAAACAATGCACAAATACAGCAAAAAAGGAAAGCAAAGATTGAATTTGCCAACAATGGCTACCCGGCCTTTCCAAGTGTCTGCTCACTACAGACTCCGTTAGGTATGAGGTTGACCTTACCATTTTTCTAGGATGGTCTTAACCACGTATACTTTAAATTAATAGTAATAATGTAAAAATTAAATACATATATATATATATATATATATATATACATACTAGCGATATTCCGTGACTAAAATCATTATATACTGAATTATTACACTGTGCATACATTAAAATGTGTGTTGGAGTGTGTTTATGTATGTGCAGCTGTGCGTTGAATTTTTGAAATTTGGGAGGAAAGTGTGTAAAATTTGAAAGGGGAAATATACCTCCATAAATTCAAATATCTATCTAATTTATTATATTTATAATCATCTACAATTTACGTACAATACAAAAATTAAGGTCTTTTAAGACAAATTTTTGTGACAACAATATTCACTGTCACCAAAAAATTGTGGTTTGGAGGAAATTTTTTTTGTATAGAAGGTTTATTTGCTGTCATAAAAGTTATTTGACATGGGAATGTTACCGTCACAAAGATTTTTTAAAATTTTACTTATTACAATAAGGTGTTGTAACAGAACACTTTGTCATAACAAGTGTAGTCTCAAAAGTATTTGTGACAACAACTATTGTCTCCAATAGTATTTGCGGTAATAAATAAACTTTTAATGACAACATTACCACTATAAAAAAAAAATTCAAAACATGCATTTTGTATGATGAAAAACACTATGGTCCCAAAGGAAAAATTATTGTAATGGTATATTAGTTAATAAATTCAAATTTTACATGATTAGGGGTGCAATTTGGGCGGGCTAACCCGAATTCAACTTGAAAAAACAGAGTTTAAGTTAGAATTTTTAATACTTGCGTTGGGCTTGGGCTTGGGCAAAAAAACTTCAACCCGAATTAAATTTGGGTCGAAGTATCGGGTTGTTGGGTTGAACCCGATTATTGAATCGGGTTGAACCCGAATATACATAAATATATAAATATATTTAATTAGACGTAGTATTTATTTTCACTATTTAGAGTCTAGACTTTCATTTCACTTCAAAGTCTTTATTCCTACGCCTCCATCACTCTCAGATCCCTCTCTCACTCGTCACTCCTCTCTCTCTTGACTTCCCTAGCTCAATCGTTACTCGTTTGAGTCATCCCAGACTCTTAGCCTTGCTCTCTCAGTCGACACTCCTTATTCTCTTACTCCCTCTCTCTTTATTTGTGTTTTACTCTTCATCTCATATCACTTAAAAAAAAAAAGATCTATACTTAAAAAAATCAAATCTGTACTTTAAAAAATGAACCTGAATTAAGTAATTCAAGCACAACCTGATTTTTAAATTCGGGTTGAGGTAAAATTATAATCAAAGTTAGGACTGAAGATTATATATCTAGAATTAAACTAAAATTAACCTCTCAACCCGTCAAACCTATCCGAATCGCACCCCTATACAAGAGGTTATATATGATTTTATATATCACTTTTTATTTGACCAGGAAATCAACTTAGATGCCATTACGAAGACGGCAAGATTCTGACGGCCCAATTACGGCGCGCAAGTATCTATCATACGAAGACTTACCAACTATCAAATCATAAGCTAATAACGCAGAATATTCGAGGGATTACCTTATATCCAGGAAAGGTGCATATAAAGCTTTTTTATAGTACAAGTAGGTTCGAGATAATGGATTGAGGCATACATCTCACCGTTCCTTTTGAAAATGTTTGTACCATTTGTCTAGTGATTTTTAATGCAAGTATTTTCACAGGAGCATGACCTTGATAAAGATATATTTTCACCATAAAAAAAACATCGTACTAAAGCTAACTCGTGTCAAAAATTACGATTTAATGAGATAAAATTATCAAATTAAATCGGTTAGAGATTACAACTTAATTGAGTGAATTATTATAGGTCCGAAAATTTACATTGGGTGTAATCCCAATCTTTTTAGACTTAATTGAGTTGTAACTCCCAATCAAATCGGAAACTTTTATCAATTTTTTCAACACACTATTCAACGTGGTATTGCAATCTTTTCTGCCACTTTTCTGTAATTTATAACGTGTATACAGAGCAAAGCATGTAAAAATTTACACTCTAATTCATTTTCTTCAACTTACCTCAAAGACATACTATAAGGTACATAATACTCCAATTTAACTATATATATATATATATAGAAGATGTATAGGTTTGTCCATTGTTTTACAGTCAATAATACTTAGTTGGAAACTAGCACATGGATGATGCCAAAGTTTCATTTACTGGCAGACAAACTTAGTACTGTGATCCACACCATAACTTTCGATAATTATAATATTATATTTAATCTCCATTAAGTAATTGCATAGACCAGAGATCCTCCATGCACCAGATGTTGTCGTTTGATTCAGTTGGAAACGGACCTGGGAAAGTCTCCAAATCATTTCCTGGGTAAGAGGAGGGAGAGTAGGTTTCAACTACTGCATCTACAACACCACCACCACCACACAACTGGCTTGTGCTTGCTTGATGATGATGATCATCATTTTGCTCTGAAATTTGTCCAGTGAATGTTTCTGCTTGCTTCATATGCTTTTGAATCCTTGTCCTCCAGAAATTCTTTATTTCGTTATCGGTTCTTCCTGGCAGATGCTTTGCAATTTTCGACCACCTGTGTCACCAGCAAATTGTTTTGTGAGTTGTGATGGAAAAGCCAAAATATATGAACAGTAAAGTGTTGACTGTGTGAATGTAAGACAACTATCCAAAAAATAGTTCAAGTGATTTCAGAGACGGACTATAAAATCAGATATTTTGAGTTTGAATTAAACAATCTCTTGAGGTTAGGCTACGAAAGATTATCTTTTATGAATTTTCTAATCTTGACGTGGATGATTTATCTTTAAATGGACCATAGAAGGGATGATCTGTCATTAGTTCAGTACATGAACAGAGTAATATTGCGGTGATTTACTAAGACAGCTAAGATGTCCAAAAAAAAAAAAAAAAAGATAACTAGTATTTGGTTTTCAAATTTATAATAATCGTACCGTTATATGAAGACAGTCAACTTCAACCAAGGTGTAGTTAATTAAATGAGCAAGCAATTGTTGAAAAATAGGAAAAAAAAAAATGGTAGTAGTTTCAACTGCTGATTTCACCCATTTCACAATCTTGATTTCCAATCGTTTATGACAATTAAAAGAAATTTCACGAGAGATTTTGCTCAAAAAGGCATGAAGATTCTAAATCAAAAGAGTTCAACCACTTCACCGGAGAGTTGGTTAACAGGGTGTTTAGGCTTACATCGATTATTCGTTTGAGTTTGAGTCAACAATTGTAATTTAAGTTAGTTTAATGATATGTTCCATGAAGAAAAATGGTGATTAATCCCTAGGAAGTTTGAAAAATAACGAACATGATACCTCCTACTTGTAAGAGGACAAATTTGACTACTGAACCACTTCTAATACTTCTATCAATATCCAATATACCTAATTCTAAACCTTTGAAAATTTTTATATGTTGTATCACACCCGAATTGAGCTTGAACATATCTAGTCAAGCGATACATTATTTCTTGGTCTTGACTTGAACACGATCATATTCCATTCATCTCTCATAGGAACAAACTAAGACGGAGCTGCTGCTAAATCGAACTCAAACAACTCTTTGTTTAAAAGGACTAACCATCACCTACAAAGTCATCAAATACATTATTGCATGACTTCAAACAAAATAGGTCACGTATGGTGCAACTATGCTCTGGCCCATAGTTACATGAATTCATTAAATCCTTGGCGAACTACGATTTGGATACATCAATACTACATAGGGTGAGTTCACAATTTTTTTTTTTTTTTGAAGAGTTCACAATTCAAATCACCAAAATATACTATTCTAAATTGTACATGTAGTACAAATATAAATACATATTAATTAACTGAATGTATATAGTTTTATAATTATGTATTATTTTAGATAATAAAAAATCAAGCACAAATATAAACTAAATGGTAACTAATGATTTAGTGCATGGATGATGTATGATATATAATGGTATATAATAGTGAATACGACTTAGATAAGATTTTCAAAATGAATTGCAATTTAAATACTATACCAACTAAGTCTACTCTTATCATACCGTGTACCTAAAAAAATATTGTATTCTATATCCATATCCGTATTTAGATGATATACCAAAACGATCCGCGATGACCGTTCTTCCACTGTTTTCAAAGACTGATTCTGGGGTATATGCAGAGGCTGCGGGGTATGAATTGTTTGGTTGATTTAGGCTTCCAAATTGAACTCTTTTTCTTGAAAAGCCAAACACTAGGGTGCCTGTCTATTTCAGCTGATAGGAAGGGCCTAACATGTGTTTAAACTCAAATGGGTTCACCTCAGAATGGAAACTCTCTACTGTCCAATAAATATTTGCCCCACGTTCAAAACGTGCCCCTATATCCACAGCTGTAATGCAAGACATTTTGTACATATGATTGATACTGCATTACTATTTTTAGCACACAAGGTGCTGATGCTATTCGTTTTCAAAAGAAGAATATTCACCAGTTATTGAATAGTTATGCATTTCAAAAAAAAAAACATCGTTTATACTCGTGTGTTTTTCAATAAAAAAATGTGTTCTAGAGTAAAAAAGTAATCACAAGACACGATTTCATTGAAAAGACTCGAAAGAGTGTTTTGCAAACATGGTTATGTTAAATAACGTGAGTTTAAACTGTACTTTCATGTAAATAACGAATAAACCAAAAAATAACTTAGAAACTACAGCATAAGCATAACAAAACTTGAAAAGTACGTGGATCAAAACAATATCATGGAGTGGGGATCGGGCATTTATGCAAGGTGATCATCAAACTAGATCAATCTCAGCAAGAATAGAAAAAAAAAATGTGATGGGGTTTCTAAAATAGGTTATTTGTAAGAGGAATTCAGGAAAGGGAAAGAAAACGCGGGGGACCTTATGAACATGAAGTACTCCAAGAGATTCGATGAGATCTTCTATATGTAGTACATGAAAGACAGTTCTATTGCAAATGATATGGCCCAGCCTCATCCATGTTAAAGCATGCACGAAAATATCAGATGATGAAGTGATGAAAAGAGGAGGGTTTGTTTGGTTAAAAAAAAAAACGTAATGAAAATTGAAAATGATGGAAAGTGACGTAAATGATGAGAAATGATAAAAAATATATTTTATGCATATATTTTATTAGAATTAAAATTTTATGGGAGAGTTTTAAAAAAAATCATTCAAAAGGAAAATTATAAGAGATTTTTTATAATTATCTAAATTACCTTGATTATATTAAATTAGTTTAAAAAAAATATATGTAATTATAATTGAAAGTTAAAAAATTTTTAAAAAATAGCTCAGAACCTAATTTCAGAACAATTACCAACGCAAAAGTCTTTGGTCAAAATTATATGATTAATTAAATACATACCAAATTTTTTAAAATTAATAATTAATAAAATATTTAATAAAAATAAGGATAAAATAGAAAGTTAGTTATAGATCACAACTTTCTTGTATTTTTTACGAGAAAAAAAATTAATTATTTATGAACAAATTCAAGTATAAATTTTTTTTTATCATTTTCTTATTTATACTAACTAAACATATAAATTTTTTTAAAAAATTCTATTTCTTGCATTTTTTACTATCCTCGGCTGAACAAACGAACCTAGGGAGTTGTGTGTCTTGCAACTACTCATTTTTCATAGCCATGGACTTTAATTCCCCGCGTTTTCCTTGGATTCCTTAGCAAAAGTGAAATAACTTCCGCAGTTCACCGTTGCAAAATCAATCTCTCTCTCTCTCTCTCTCTCTCTCTCTCTCACACACACACACAATAAACGTGTGAGGGCCTGATGGGCTTGACAAAGATTTCATACTTTTTTTTCTTTCTTCTTTCTTCTCTAATCTTATCCGTTCTTCTTTTCTTCTGGTTATGTAAGAATTCCATAACTACATTTGCTTGTCCTACTCCTACCATGCACTCACCTGTTTCCCCACTTAGCATGAAGTTCCATAATCAATAGTTGCTCTTCTGGTGTAATATTTCCCCTCCTAACGTCTGGTCGGAGGTAGTTCAGCCACCGGAGACGACAACTTTTTCCGGTACGTTTCAGACCTGAAAAGGTAATCGATCAAAATAATATAACTTTTTTTAGGGTTTCTGCTTGATGGACTAACTAATTAAACCTCATAAACAGGAGAAAAATAACAGTGAAAAAGTTTGGTTACCAGCAGATCGGGCCAGTGTGTTCCAAACACCTTCACCGTGATTAGCGATGTAGTTGATCAGAATCAAGTCTTCTTCCATGGTCCATGGCCCTTTCCTCACTTCGGCTTCCTGGGAGTTGCATGGTTTTTTATCCATGTTTTAGGGTAGAGAGAGAAAGAGAGAGAGAGAGAGAGAGTAGCTGTGTACTGTGAAGCAAACTAATGAATATGGCTGTGGAATTTATAGACTTGGTCTAAGCTAATTATAATCTATCTATATTTTAAGCTTTTAATCAAAGCCTCTTTAACAGTGTTAAACCGAACTCTCATATTTATTGTCTCCCCGTGTTAATAGATTAACTGTAAAATATGTACTCCACGATGTACCAAGCACGGATCCTTCCTTAAATATCGTATTGAATATATTACTTGTCAAATATTCAAAAATATATATCAGATATATACCAAACGTATTCAATAATAAATAAAATATGTGAATATTTCGCAAAACACATGAATATTTTTTAAGTATTATCCATTATCACATGTCTAAAGAGTTTAAATGAATTGATTATTTTGTAATTTTAGCAACAAATACTTCTAAGCAAACAATATAGTTAAATATTGGTTCTTATTCCTTTAATAAATCACATTCATTTTGTAGATGTACAATAGTGAGACAATAAATAACTTTTTTCGAAATAAAGAGTAATACTATTTGAATCTAAAAATATGATTTAATTTACTGACATAATGATATGATTTTTGTGAAAATTAAGTCAATAAATTAAGTCCTAATAATATTGCTCAAATAAAAAAATTGTTAATGTTGTGTATTATTATTAAAAAATTTCTAAAGGTTATTATTATCAAGTCATTATATAATAGTAAAAATATAAAATATATATATATTTATAGACATATCACGATCGTACTCGTATTATATTTTTTAAAATTTTATCTGATTACTGTATTCGTATTTTATCGTACTCGTATCTTATATCACATCCGTGATCCTAGGTCATGATCTGTTGACGAGTACGTTTATCACGTTTGTCAAACTCTGATTTTTACATAAACCCCGTTAAACATGTTTATACTACACAATTATTATTATTTTCCAAAAATAATGAACCCGTTTTGCACATGAAACCCCATGTAATAATATGACCTTTTGTTCAACGGGATGTCCGGGTCAACATCCGAATAGCAAAAGAGTTGAATAAAGTAGTAAAAACCAAATTAATAATAAAAATCAAATGACATGACACTAAAATAATGAGTAACGTTTGAATTTTAAATCCACAAAAAATGGAATTAAAAGCAACAGTTTAGTAACGTAAATCCAAACACAAATGCAATATGAAAGAGAAAAAAGAAAGGAAGTAATTGGAAAGAAAAGAAACAGAACACAAGAAAAACAAATGCATGTGAGATTCCAAGGTTAGAGCATATAGAAATAGGAGGATTCTCAAAGAGTACTATATAATAAAACTCCCACATCTTAATTACCATCAATCTTACTATGTCTCTAGATATAGAAGATACGGGTCAAGAAAAGCTGATTTACTGACGATCCTAGTGTCAACTTCGCTGGATCATCGAAGACCAATTTTAGTAGCCCACGGTAAGGTCCAATTGCAGTAAAACCACATCACCTTAGGAAATATGTAGAAAAAATAAATGCCCGCCCCATAAATTTTGTCTCACGAGAACGAGTTTGAAGGTAGTCGGCGTAAGTTTAGATATCTTGTACAAAATAATAATAATAATAATTCAATCCATCATTTAAAATTTCTAAAAAAAAAAAAAAGATCATACTAATGGAATCAATGTGATTCACTCAAGATAATACTATACGAATCTAATTAGAAGACATAATTATTATAACATTAATACGTTTATCCGACAATCTCAAATATACTCATCTAAATCTATCATTTCTTATTTATGTTATACCAGACATTCAGGCACGAGTTATTCCTAATAAAAACTAATTCATCGGCATTGCATTAGTTCTTAAAGACGGTCCAAGTAACGTAGCTCAAGGATTCGAGTCAAAACATTGACACGATGAAGTGAATACATCAGATTGAGTGGATAGACACCGTGACCAAAACAACCTTTTCCGAAGAGCTGGAAGACACACACATTCAACACTTAGAGATTTTTACAAATTTACAGCGACGATAGTGTTCCACATCCACACTAAAGTCTAAACTGCCTGATGCTTATGAATAGACATGTTAATAGACTCAATTTCATGAATACAGACCAATATTTTTATTTATTTAATCCAAATTCGTTTAGATATTTTAAATCGGATATGTATATGGATATATAAAAATTTGATATCGTTAATATATATGCTGGGCTTTATTACATGTGTTATATATATAAAGTAAAGATATGCTTACTAAAAAGTAATTTTTTATCAAATGAATTGGCAATTTTATATTCAATCAAAAACATTTTGATCGGTATTTGGTGGGTTTAAGAGTGATCTGGAGCTGTAAACTCTATTTGGCGAAAACACTTTTTGGTAAAATTTTTGGTATGCATAGGATTCCACACACACACACACACACAGATATATATATTAATTATTTGTATTTAATCTAAAAAGAAGATTATTTGATAAAATACAATTATGGATCAGATCAGGTAATTAGACCGGATGTCCTATTATAAACGAATTCGGATATGAACTCATATTTTTTATCCATCGAGTAAGCGGATTGAATTCAATAACAAATTTTTTAATTTAATTTAAATTTAAATAAATCCAAACCTAAATGGGTAGAGAAACATTTTGTTCTGATTTGATTTTGTCGTGGCAGTCGCATAATAGGAGTCAAAAACGTAAACGTCGGTGACACGGCGACAAAAGTACGTGTGCCGTCGCAATGAATGTGGATGGGTTTTCGCCGTTTAATTCTTGAATAATGCTATATTCACCTTTAATTACTGTAAAATCAAAGTGAGTTGGTATTAAAATATAGTTGTTTGAATTGTAATTTGACAAAGAGTAGTAGTGTCAAAACTCAATCTTTTTAAGTCATAATTTACTCCAGACAGTGGCGGAGCTATGCTATTGCCCAAGGGGGCCATGACCCCTCAACTTTTTGAAATTAAATATTATACCCTTAACATTATGTTTTGATCATATTTTATATATTATCTTTCGAATTCTTAAAATTATAATTTATACATTAAATTATAATCTTGATTTTATTGTATTCTTTCGACTATTGACTAAACCATGTTGAACCATTAACTATTAAAATTGTGATATATTGCATAAATCGTTAAATTTTAGTATTGTAAATTTATATATTTTAGACTATTTTAAATTATTAATGGTGCAATTGATTTAACTTTTACATCTAATAATTTAACTAATTTCAATTAACTTTATTCATTCTATTAAAAGTAATGATTCTATTAAACTGTGTGATATTAATTCTTATATGTTCTATGCATGTAAATGACATAATATTAATGATTCATATTGAGTAAAAACTATATTATAAACCACTATTTTTAGGCCTTGAGAGAAAATATTGGCTCCACCCCTACTTCCAAATATATATTACAGGATGTTTGGATTTACGTCGACTATTTCATTGGGATCAGATAAATAAGTGATATTTAGTTACACCTCTTGACCTTTTCATGATGCACATACGAATGCATTTGACAAAAGAGATGGTGAGATTGAATGACCAACAAAATTTTCCCAAAAATAAAGAGGAATAAAAGATTGAATGTACTCAGCTAGATAAAATATATGAATTTTGGAAATTAAAAACAACAATATAGTCATTTGCATTCAATTTACGACTATTGACTTGTTATACTAGTATGAGATTTGAACCCCTAGGGGCCGTTTGGTAAATGGGTATAAAAGATTTTAATAAGATAAATTTAAAAAAAATAGTTTAATAGACTTCCAAAATTTTTGTTTGAATGGTTTTTTCAAGAACGGATAGTAGTCCTGACCTGTAACTGATCCGATACCTTAAACTTTTGAATTTAGATTTCATTAAACCCACGAAGGGGGTGAGTTTCGGTCAAGCCATATCCAAATTAGTAAGGTAAACATGAATATAGATTGGATTAGTAAATGAGTAATATAGTCATTTATAGGACAAATATATAATGATAATGGTGATACATCCTTAGATCTTGTATGTCTATATGTTGCATACTAAACGCGGGCATGAATTAGATTCATTAATAAATCCCATGGAAACAAAAGTGAGGGTGAGGGTTGGGTTTGGAAGGGTTTGGAAAAACTAATCCAATCCCTCTCCAAAAGATCATCCAAACAAACCATTAATCTCCTTCGACGAAGCCTCACGCCGACATTACAAGACGACTTGACCAACAATAATGGAAAATTACGAGCAGTAAAGGGTCGATCGGGACTGAAAGAGTTGAAAAAATATACAGTTAATTCACCCTAAATAGTATGTATTATTTTATGTTCAATTGAGTGGACTTATGAGTGGCTTTCACCTAAAAGAGTAATCAGATTCATTGTTTCATAGTGCACTTTAGTCCAAAAAAATATCTATGACAACTAAGAAGCTTACTTTTTTGATAAGGGTTAGATGTTGATTTCTAAGATTTCTTTTTTTAGTTCAACAGTTAGGGGTGTTCGGATTAGTTCATACACACTTTGACTAATCTCTTCTCTTGTCCGATCAAAGATAGATTATCTATGTCGGGAATAAAGTATTTAATGAGGGATAAATTTCTTATAACCTAACTTCAAGGAATTACAAAAATTCAAATTCAGAACGTTTGAGTTTATAGGTCAGCTCTACAACTACTAAGCTATTTTTTGGTTTTCAAAGACTTTTTGGATACTGATAGACACAGGATTAAATGAAAAAGCATGTTAGGTTAGGTATAAAACAGGTTCTTATCCATACAATTAAGGCTAGAAATTATTAAGAGAGACAAGAAAGGACAAAATCACTTCTACTTAGTCATGGTCTGTTGCTTAGTCTAAAACACTAATAAATCTGTGGTTTTATAATGACTAATTCCTAACAGGGTCATGAATCAACCACTCAATAATCTTGATATTATCTTGGGAGTTGTCTTCTTAATATTCCTAATTACAACTGTACAAAGTCTGACACTTCATTCAAAAGCTACATGGAAGCTATACTACTCCAGGAAAACACATTTTTGTGGGCATGGATGAGTGGTATCTTGATTATTTTCAATGGGTTGTACACTTGTACTTTATAGGTAAATGAGTTCTTATTTGTAATGATAGAAAGGTGGTGCTTCATATTCAATCCCAACAACCATATATTTGAATTGGCTCTTTTTCTAAATAGAAGGCAGGTAATTCAATTCTCATCAACACACTATCAATTGACTAAAATTTAAATATAAAAATATGAAAACGATATGAAATTTTTTAAAAATTCAAGTATATAGTGGGTTCAAGTCCAGGGATTAGTCTCTCCAACATGCAATAACGTGGCAAATCATTTAGCCTAAGGATTAATCTCTCCAAAAGAAGGAGCTGAAGTGGAAATAGAAACTTGTTGAGCAATTCAAATTTCGATGAATATGTTTTTTTTTTAAATCTCTCAATGACAGATCACCCGTTATGTATTGGTGAAAGATTCACTTATATATAATGTGTCTTACTTGAATTCATGACGGATGATCGTTGTAATAGAGAAAAAAATACATCAGAGAAATAATCCAAATTTCTATTTGTGAGCCTATTGAGATATGACTTTGCCAAGTAAGATATACATTACGCTATAATCATGAAGAGAGCTACCATTTTGTTGTCTCTTGTTTCCAAGTGCAAGGATTTTTTTTTTGAAAAATTGCTTTGTTTTCTTTCCCAAATTAGAGAAAGTATATGGACAGAGACTAAAGCTTAAACCAATGAAAACATGGTTTAGTGACTAATGACCCCAACTAGATGCCGCTAGTACTAATAGGGGTTTCAAACCCTAGCTAGAAAGAAAGGGCAGCTAACTCCAAAAATAGCTCAGAGTAACAAAAATAAAAATTTAAATTTGAATTTTAATAAACTCTTGGAAATAGATTATAAAAAATTTATTTCTTATGAATACTTTAGTTTTGACATGAATAATGTATTTAACTGAACCGAATAGAGAATTAATCAAGATACGTATAAGTTGCTTCAAACAAAAAAAAAAAAAAAAAAAGAAGAAGAAGAAAGGCCTAGCTCAACCCTAACCACATCTTCATCTTGTGGCTTTCGTAAACTGATTAGGTTGGCTGGGACCCTGTAAAGTGCAATTACAAGTTACAACCACGAATGATGCGCCTAATGCACAGATCAATTGTGCCGCATCAGAAAATTGCTCACATCACATGATGCCTATGTGTCTGCTCAATGTTTTGCGTGTGCTATCGGATTTCATGCCCACTATGGTACTACTAGTTCATAACCCCCAAACTCAAAACAAAAGTAAAAGAACAGGACACTTCATTCTCTTTCTTTATGGAAAAGTTACAGAGCACTCCTGCGGCCAACATCTTACCCCAAATCTTATATTTAAATATATGTATACCACATATTTATTTTGCAGGTCCCAAAAAATTAACATTTTCATTCAGTGTTGCACAGGCATTTGAGATATAATATTAGATAAAGTGATTATTGATAGCTATTAAAATAATAGAATCCATGTAGTATTCTATAATTAGTTGATGACATTACGTATCATTAATAACGTGATTTTAATGTTATATTGAATATTTTCTGATGTGGTGACGATGATACCATATCAAAAGTACAATTTTTGAAGGTCTAGTTACAATTTTTTGATGTAAAAATTACAATTTGTACAATACATAATCGATCCTAAAACATTAGAATCGATTATAAAAGTTATAACTCTTAAATTTTAAGTTACAACTCGTAAAATAAAAGTTATAACTATTCAAGAGAAGTCTATTAAAAATGAAGTTTCATGTATGATACCAATTTTTTTTGTTTTTTGCACCTTGGTGTTTCCCAACTTGAAATATCTTCCTTTATGAGATAATGCTTCTTTTTTTCCTCGAAGATCATCCCCACGTTGAAGAGTAAATATTAGGTGTAACGGTGATATTATGTCATCATTATTAAGTTGTGTCATATAAAACAATAAATAGAATTTGTGAACCTTACGATTCTAATACAACAGAGATAGTTACTGGCAATTAGTAAAATAATAGAACCCAAAGTCCACTTAGCATTTTATCATATAACATAACTGTTGCTTCCAATGTTTTTTCCACATTCGGAGGCTAGTGGTTGACTAGCCATCGCAAAGTGTGTTACCCATGGGCATGTTTGATTTAAGTACAGTAGGAGACGGATGAGATTGAATAATAATTCCTTAATTCAAAAAGGTAAAACAACTGATAACAGATGTGAATTATAAATTCAGATATTCTAGTTCAAATCTTAACAACCCTTTAGAGTTAAATCATGAAAGATTTATTCTTCATGAATATTCTAGTTTCGGTGTGATTAACTTTATCTGTCCATAAAGAAAATTTAATCAAGATGCACATAAATTAACCTAGACACCTCTAACCGTTTAACCAAATAAATAAACAAATCCTGGTAGTAATAATTGATAAATCCCTTCATCCCATGCCAACTAAATTTTGTTTGAATTGAGATTTAGATAAATCATAATCTCGTTATTTTAATGCCAATCTCATGTTTGAAGGAGTGATTAATGTGAAATATTCATCTAAAAAAAAACAAAAATATCTTACATCACACAAATTTTTATCGTCCGTTTGGTAGGAATGATGAAAAGTAGAACTGATGAAAAATAGGAGGGATACATTTTTTATCTTTCAAGCATAGAAAGTAGGAATGATATATTTTCTTTCATTTGTGTTTGGTTGAATGAATAAAAAATAAAAATGACTAATTTTTTTTTTTAATTTTTTTTGTATTGGTTAAGATTTAGGGTGACAATCGAATCGTGTCGTGTCAGATTCGTATTGAGTTATAAAATTATAAGTCTTTTATATTTTTTGTTCTCGTGTTAGGTCATTTTTAAGTTCATGTCATAAAATTTGTATCAAGTTTGAGTTATGTTATCGTGTTGAATCGAAAATTTTCACCTCTAATTAAGATGAAAAAAATATTTTTTTAAATTAAATTTTTTATTTTTTATTTTTTTTTAAATTTATTTAAATATATATATATATATATATATATATATATATATATATATATATATATATATATATATATATATATATATATATATATATATATACACATATTTTATCATTATATTTTTATATAAAATTAATGTATACATAATATATAAACAAATAAAATATATCTCAACACAAATAATTAATTTTTCATATACTTTTATTCTGATTTTGGAAGGATTGATTTTAGTGAGTTGAAAGAAAAATTAATTTATCCACTTTTCTATCCTTTCTATTTTATTTTTTTACCAAATATGATATTTTCTTTATTCTTCTAACTTTCCATCTTTCCTTTTTTCTGTCATACCAAAACAGAACATTGGTCTGTCAGGGCACTCTTACCATTTTAAATATTAATACTAATCATACTTCATTTAATACCACCCATTATATAATATCCATAATATAAAATATCGGTCATCAATATCCTTCTCAAAATCATGCATATTGCATCATACTGTCAAACATAGACTATCCCTAGTTAGTTTATACAATATGATGTGTTAAATACTTCTTTAAGAACTTACCCCTACTAAATTATCTTTTAATACCAAGACTTATAACTTGATCCAAACTTAATATTAAATGACAATTAGACTAATTTAATCCAATCTCATCCTAAAATACCTCAAATAAATATGGTATAAAGCTATACTGTACAAATTTGTTGTCCAAATCTTGTATTTCAAGTGATGTGTCAAAATCTCATGCATTGAATATTTGATAGAATTAGTGAATCCCATTAATCCAACCACCTGCATTGATTTTAGATACAAAATTTAGGCAACAATTTATGCAACATAGCGTTGCTCAGAAATATGCCCTTGGGGTGGTTCTGTTTTTTAAATCCAAGTTAAATCAATATCGGGTGATTGAGGCACCTTGCAAGCATACAGAAAATATACAGATTTGGATAAAAGTACCCTCCTGAGGTGTAAATCTTAATAGGAGTAGAATATATATTTTGTAATAAAAATAAATTCTTAGCAAGTCCCAGTAGTCTCTAACGGACAGATTATGAGAGTATTGATAGCTAACACACTGATAAGGTGGATTTTCAAACCTTATGAAAGGGGTGATCACCCACCTGCTCCCTAGATCGATCAATCGATGCGATTTGTAAGAGCAATCGTATCAGGAATGTGTTTTGAGTAGACAACTCTCCAACATATTGTTACACTGTCTCCTGCAAGTAAGTTTGCTTTCTTGATGAAAAGATTTGAAACACTATATAAGAGCATTTGAGTATTGTTCACAGCAGACAGTAGTAAGCTAAAACATCAGTAATATCAATTCGGCCAACAGTTTCAACACTTTTTCGGGCAAAACATCTTGCAACAACCACACCATTCAAAAACTAAAAGAAAAAAAAAGGTAGCGTCTGCAGGATCCCCAGGGATCTCATTGAAGGCCTAAGATAGCCAATCATCCAGCGAAATTTCCACCAGTAATCAACCATTTCTTTTGCCACTTCAGGCCTGCAAACATCAAGGCAGGTAAGCAAAACCATGGAACACAAAACTGAAGAAGATAAATACACACATGTAAATATGTATCGTCTTACCAAAATAAAAAACAAAAAGGAAAGACAAACATGAGGAAAAAAAATTGGGAACAACACCTGTAATCTTAAACTTTGGCATTATTTTCAAAAAAAAAAATGACAACCCTAGTATTCGGCCACATCCTCAGAGAGGCAGTTGTCAAACAGAAAGTTGAAAATGGAAAGCCACAACGTCACCGGACAATGGCCCCTATTTTTCCCTTTGTTGAAAGTTGCATTCTGGTTCATTATCATTATTTTTAAGTCCTACTTTGAGAAGCTTTTCTATGTAATTACCTTGCTAGCAATGTTGTTGGAAAGCCACTCCAGCCCTTCATACAGGCCCTCCCCAGATGTTGCACATGTGCTCTGAATGTACCTGCGATGCACCACCACAAGAAATTAGTAGGATTTAAGGCTTCAAGGTGCCATCCAATGTTCTTAATTTATGAATTGCTTAACACGATCCAACTTCGTATATAATCATTCAAGCTTGTAGAAACACTACCAAAACTGCAGAAACTGCAGCATAAATTTCAGCTTCATAAAACAATTAATACAAAGAAAAATGAACAATGTTCATGTTGAGAATTATTAGTACACTCCATATACAGTAGAACTTCTGAGCAATGCTCAATACGATGAAACCAGTTGCGACAAAATAAATTCCTGAGCCACGCTTTTTAGACTTTTATTCCACAGATTAAATATTCCATTTTTCATGGTGATAAGTTTCAGTTATTTTACTGAAAGTTGGCTTTGAGTAAGCACAATTCAAACATTAAGAAACAAAATTACCAATGACGTTGACGCAGAGAATGCAGGCCGAGCTTGTCAGTTATTTCCGCAGCATTCATTGCATTGGGCAGATCTTGTTTGTTAGCAAAGACAAGCAAAACAGCATCCCTTAGCTCATCCTGGAACCAGACACAAATAGTTGACAAATTATAATCATTAATCATTCTTATGCAACTCAACCATAGCACAGATGATGACTTTGGAAAAGGAACAGCTAACACCGTCAGACAAGTCAGACTAAACCTTCTATCCTAATAGCACATACGAAGGCCAAAAAAATACACCTGCTAATCTAGAGTTAGGAGCTTCTCAAAATAATTGACACTGAAAAGGGCAGATAGGAGGAGCACTTGGGAGAAAATGACAGCTGTTTTTCAAGAGTAATTGTATCCTCTACAATTTGAAATTCGGAACAATTGCTAGGCATTCCCATCATTAAGTCAATTACTTAGTTGTTCTTCTTCTTCTATGCAACTCATGTCTTGTTATATACATATACCTAAACATACACACATTGGTATATCACACTATATTTTACATCTCAATAGCAGAATGGCTGGATCCTTATGCTTATGCATATTATTTTGTTGATTCTTAAGGTTCTATAGATCTATCAACCAGGAACTATGTAAAAATTCAGTTACACATTGCAGCATTATCACATAATGAACTATGCATCAATTAACGTGCATATGCTTCATGAAAATAAGATAACAAACAAAAGATATCATATAAACAGTAAAACAAAGGCAAAACAAGGGACATGTAGACAGAGAGTTGATGCATATGTGCAGCCATGTCTTGAACTCTGACGTGTCCATTCTCTGGACATGTCTGTGCCTACAACCATAAAAAATATAAGGGAGCTCCTACATGCAGAGAACCAGAAGGGTCAACAAAGGAGCATACCTTCTGTCACAAAGACTACTGAAGAAAAAGCCAAACTCAGTTAAAAGACTGTACCCTTACCTTAAATCCTTCTCATTGAGATAAACAGCTCTTAGAAACATTTCATGAATCTAGTTATTAAAATTGGCCATAAACAATGAAAGGTATATAAAAGCAGTTTCAAGAAAGGGTATGATAAACCAAACTTAGAAAAAAAAAAAAAATACAAGTTATAACTTCAAACACATTGACAATACAATTTATCTGAAACCAGTATGGGGACCAAACTGGAATCTCCCTTTATATATTGGCTCAAAACACTAGTGATGGTACCAAAAGAACTATTGCGTGGCAAGGAATAAGCCACCCAAAATCACATAAATAATTGCATACACTATTAGGAGATAAGTCAACTGAGCAGGGGTGGGACCGAGAGCGAGAATGAGACCTCGACCTCAAAAGCAGACAATTTCAAAAAAATCTTAAGAGCAGTGCGCCTTGAGAGCGCCTTATTATATACTTACATATTTACATATGTAAAAGAATAAAAACATAATTAAAAAATAAATTTCATACACAAATAAATAATAAATTATTTAAATTTATTTACCTTTTAATTTAGCATGGAACTAATGGGATGAATGCTTAAACACAAAGCTGGCAACAAAACATGTCTTTTTTTGATAGGAAACATGACTGAGATACATTAATAAAATATGTAAATACATCACAAAGGTTGAACAAGGAATCCAACCATGAAAAAAAAAACTTACAACAAAAGAAAGAATAAAAATCAGAGCTCTAAATCACATAAAGCTCTCCAATTCGCCAAAATTGCAAAAAGTAGAGTATCTTTAAAATCCTTAGATACTGAAGTCCAAAATTAATCGATAAAATGAATATGGTTCTATAGCCCTTCAAACATTTCACTTAGATCTTCAAAAATTCTTGAATTCCTTTCCTTCCACAAGACCCAAAAAATAGTCAGTGTATCACATTTCCACAAATAAACCCTTTAACATATCTTCCGAATCCATTCAATTCTTCGACAAACAACGACGTAGATGATTTGGGAATAACCCAACTCAACCCAGCCAAACTAAACAGCAGCAAAACATGTCTTTGGAAGGCATTTTTATTCCTTGGACAACTGCCCACATCGTATAGCCAAGGGAAGTTCGTGGCAACACATGCTTATAAAAGGTATTGACTTGCCTATTCCATATTGCTACACGTCAGGCTCCTTAACTTTAAAGGAGAGGTAGAAGGCCTTTCTGATTATGTGTAAAGTTTGGCTAGCCAAGTGTAAAGTTTGGGCTTTTAACTTGGGCAATAGTTTAAATTTTGGATTCGCGAATTTAATGTATTGAGTGTGCTAATTTTTGCCGAATTCGTTCGTAATACGCGAATTCCAGCTCCAAGCGATGGGGCATGAGTGATCAGTGGCGAATTATGTGACTAAGATTAGGAGTATAGTCAGAGTTAATTAGACCTAGAGATGCGCATGGCACCAGATGTAGAATAATTCCAAAGAATAGTCAAAAGTTGTATGTTACTATCTATAAATAGATTCATTGAATGAATATGCTAAAGTGGAAATTAAGATAACATGAGAAGTGGCAACATACCTCATTCAACATCCTGTGCAACTCATCCCTTGCCTCGACAACTCGATCCCTGTCATTGCTGTCCACCACAAATATAAGGCCCTGTGTGTTTTGGAAGTAGTGCCTCCACAGGGGACGGATCTATAAGGGAGAGAAATTAAATCAATCACGCATTACATGGATAGGGAAAAGATAATTATTAACAGAAGGATTATAACAAACGACTACAGTTTCAGACAAGTGGTTAAAGAACATTTTTTCGGGTTTTTTTCCTGCGACGGGGCCAGCGGTACCAAAAACATCTTCAATTTTTAGGAAAACTATGAATCAATTCCAATTACTCACCAAATTCAGGAATTTAAGTTTCTTTAAAACAAGTATAACATCAGGTTATTATTTTCATTTTAATTAATCTTATAATTGTGCAAGGAAATGGGGTTCAGTACTTCAAATACAATAATCACCAAAAGGGGCAATACATGCAGCAACACAAGTAATATGGAGGGCAAAAAGAGATAATCAAATGCATGCCTTGTCCTGACCGCCAACATCCCAAACAGTGAAGCTGATGTTCTTATATTCCACAGTCTCAACATTGAATCCTGAAAGCAGAGAGTTGTTTTAGTTTCAAAAAGACACATGACTTCACTAAGATATTTAAGCCATGCAAATGAGCTAAGAAGGACTAATGACACTGCAGTTGCTCACACAGGAAGATGGGGTGGGGTATTTTTTTTTTTTTTGGGGTGGGAGGGGGGAACGTAATCAATCCTGCATTGTGTTGGATTGGTGAACACCTTAACTTGTTCAAATACTTTAAGGTAACTACGAATAGCTCCCTGAGTCACTCACTTTTTCGTATAATCCAATTTAATCTACTTACTTCAAGCAAAATCCAGTATCATCCATGTTGTTCAGCCAACCCTAGGTACCTACTGATTTTGATTGAGTTGTCCCAAACTAATTCTTTCTCTAACTGAAACACTTCATACAGCTCCTAAAACCCAGAACCCTGACACTCCTCCACAAAGAATTCTGTTTCTATCTGCAAACCATATTCACTTCAGACCTCTTGTTTTGCCCCAATAAACCAATAACTTCGCCTTCTCATGGATGTATCAAATACAAAATTTGCCTGCCCTAGACACACATAAAAAAATCCAAAACTAATATCAGCAAAAGTTAAATTCTACCCAGAGATTATGTGCTCCATTCGATTCCCAAGTACTGGTATTGCCATAGTATTCAGATCTACAAAGGCTCACTTCATCAAATATGGTCCGCCATTCCCCATTTTAACCATATTGTTTAAGCATGTGTGAGAGTAGGTCTTTTTTGGTGGTTTTTCTAAAGCTTCGTCCCTTTTCCATAAGAAGTACTTTTCTGTAACTATATCCCTTTTTATCATTTCATTCTATCATGACATTTGACTAGAACTAAGATGACTAGTGCAGAGGGAGGGAGGGAGGGAGGGGAGGGGAAGGGGGAGGGGGAGGGAGAGATAGGTTAAATGCATATACAAACCCAGAGTTTTGTTCTTGAATACATATAAACCAAAAATAGATTTCCTAAACTGAGTTTTCTGCGCAATTCAAATCCATAGATCCACAATAATCTAATATAACAGAAAGAAATTAGCACAAATTATTAGATTGTAAACTATCTACTAAGGGACACCATAAGATTCAACACGATAACTGTATCTAAACAACAGAATCTTGAGGTTAGAGGAACCAATGATTATTCCAGGCAATCAAAACTCACCAATAGTTGGGATTGTGGTGACAATTTCTCCAAGCTTGAGCTTGTAGAGGATTGTAGTCTTACCAGCTGCATCAAGACCTACCATCAGAATGCGCATCTCTTTCTTGGCAAAAAGCCTGCTGAACAGCTTTGTGAAGGTCAACCCCATCTTTGTTTCACGTCAGCCACTAAAGGGATCGCTCAACACTGACACACACATGCACAAATCAGCTCACAGCAAAAACTTCAGATGTAAACATAATTACCTACTTTACCATAGGAAATACTACATAGAAAAACAGGAAAATAACAGAATACAACATCACAACACTATCGAGATCATCATCACTACATAATTATAATGCCAGTAATACAAGGTTGATCAACAATAAGCCACATAATAAGAGGATCCGAACCAGTACGAGCTGGAAATACCAAGGATCACCTCAACAGGCCACTTGAATAAGTCTGATTATAAAAGAAACTTCATAACTGGGAATCGAAAGCAAAACCTTACTCTCAACCAAGATCAGATTAATGGACAGCATGATCAACATCTATACAAACACAAACACAAACACAAAATCTTATACTCAACAAAGATCAGATTAATGGACAGCATGATCAACCTCGATACAAACACAAAACCAATACAACCCGTATGAACTGGAAATTTCCAAAGCATAGAACGAAAAAATTAACAGATCCCATGGGTTTCAATGTCTGCGAATCTCAAACACGTGAAATTCCGGCCGCGAAGAGCAACACAGGTGGAACAAAACTCCAGATCGAAACAAGGATGGTTCAAAAATGGTAATCTCCGGCAAGAATAGCAGTAACGCTACCAGTTGATATCCAGCGAGATCTGAAATAGATTGGCGCACACGAAATACAAACGATAAGTATGGATTGGGACGAGAATAGAAGAATTACATACCGCCCAAAGAAAGCTTTGCAGAAGACGAAGCACACAGAATTGAGTGGAGAGAGAGAGAGAGAAGGGATTATTCTGAGCGACGATAATATCGTGCCTCTCTGGTCGTTATCAAATGACCTGACAAGGAGTTAACCATGGTTAGTCTAACATCCCTTTTTCTTTTTCTTTTTTGTCTATTCTTCTCTTCTATTTTAGAGTAAATTCCAAAGTTACCCCAGAACTATATATATTGTTTCAATATAATCCCTAAACTTTTGTTAGTCTCAATTAACCCCTTAACCTTTAAAGTTTGATCTTCAACATGACCTAACCACAAGGTGTACAACGAAGTTTGCCTTTAAAAAAAAAAAAATCAAAGGGAAAATTACACTTTAACCTTTTTAACTATAAGTTCAATTTCACTTTGCTCATTAAATTATTAAATTTTTTATATTGTTTTATTAATTATTTGAATTGACTTTACATCACTCCAAACTCAAGTGAGCCTTTTTTTTGGACTAAAATTATCAATTTATTGGCAAAAAAGTGAAACAAAATTCATAGTTTAGGAAGAAATTAAATATATACGTTGGGGATCAAAAATATATTTTACATTTGAATGTATGATGTGAAAAAATATAGAAAAATACTATTTAGATCTTATTTGAAAATTTAATTTAATGCAACTATTAAATTAAAAGGGAGTTACATCTAATATTAGAACTTACAATTAATTTAATGACTGTATGGAATTAAAACTCTGATTAGATCCCTATACCCATTGCTCAAAATAATAACTGGGAAGGCAATGTTAAAAGGTAATAGTTGAAGGAGTCAAAGTGTAATTTACACAAAACCAAAAGGTCTGTAGTCTAGCCATCTCACAATTGACTATACCGCGGCTGCTCTGCCCCGTGTGTGGTAATGGCTTGTGCGACTTGGCTCCACTCATCGCAGCTCTCGCGCGCCTTGCTTCCAATTCGCCGTCTCCGAACTAGTCTTCTTCCCTCCAAGCTCCGACGCTTCAACCGGTTCACATCAACTTCAACCACTAGGCTTATCACCTCCTCCAGTCCGTTCAAACGTCCATTAATGGCGGTTAACGTGCAGGCAAAGCGTGGTTTCTCAATCAAAGAAGACGAAGTAGCTTCTCGTAAGCATACTTCGATCTCTCTGCCTATCGTTTATTTGTACTGTATTTGTGATCTCTTTTGATTCCTCAAACTTGATCATTTACAACACCGGAGCACTTGAAATATAATAATTGAAACCATAAATTAATTTTTTGAGATGCTTTTATTAAAAATTTCGGTAAAAGTAGAAATTAAATTGTCGGATTTCAATTTGTCATCTTTTGAGACCCTCGAAAACTAAAGATTCCACTGAATGGGACATCAATGTAGTTTGTTAGTTAATTTCTTAGAAAACAAATGAAAACAAACGGAGCAGAGTGTAATTGTTGGACAATGCAAGAACAAGAGCTACTCTCGTGATGAAAAATTAAGATTGTGTTTTTTTTTTTTTTTGGCTTCAGCGGCTGATTTGTACTTTGAGGCACCGCTTAGTATTGTGGAATATCCGGACCCTCTTTTGAGAGCAAAGAACAAGCGAATTGATTCATTTGATGAGAATTTGAAGAGGCTAGTTGACGAAATGTTTGATGTAATGTACAAGTAAGTGCTCTTGATCATATTGAATATGCAATTATTTCCATGTTAGACCATCTCCAACCCAAACTGTTACCCAAATTTGAATAAAAAAAAGAGGTAAAAGCTTAATTTGATATAGATCTCTCAAATTTAAAGGAAGAAAAATCCTTTTTTAAATAGGAACAAACTCAAATTTAAAAGAGGATAAATATGACCATCGGATGTTCTTTTAAAGAATAGTGTAGTCTCACCATTGGTGAAAAGGGTAAGGATTTGAGTTTCCATAATTGGGTTTAAAAAATGGTTTCTCTTCATTTGGTATAGGTATGGGTCTAGCATTCGATAAGGTTTTTAAGAATTTTTTATTTTTTTTAAGAAAAGGATACAAAAAAGGGTAAGGGTACCTGGAGATGCTCTTATCACATGAGTTCATCGTTGACAGTGCCATAGCTGAAAGGAGATTGAATCTTCAAGCTCTTAAATGATAGACCTAATGGTCTTAAACAGATCGAATAGGAAACTAACCTCGACTCACGGGATCTATAACAATGATTCTTGATGCGAAAATCTCCACGAGAAAAATACCAAGAATACCGAATATAATCACGAACTTGATTCTCAAGTAGATTGCAGATGGATTTTTCCAGAGAGTGAGAGATACTGTAAGCGTAAATAGGAGATGAGGTCTCTCAAGTAATTTATATCCCTTTCACTGGTAACCAACTACCTCACGTTAAAATAACCAGTAACTGTTTCCTCCCATCAAGGTAACTTCTAGGAAACTGACTATTTTTTAAAACATGTTTTCTTGTACCTAGAACTCCACTTTCACAAGGAAACTAACCACTAACCTAACCAACACGTGTTAGGTAATTTAATTAGGATATCCTAATCCCAAAACCCAAGTCTGTACCTTGTTAATTACGGTCCACATGTTGGTCCCATTAAATAGGTTTCAACATTCTCCCACTTGGACCGAATTGACAAGGAAATTGAAAGAAAATAATAATAATAATAATACTTATATTTTGAAAATAAGCAAATACTTGGGTTCGGTAAAATTATGCACGCTCTTTATCAAATTATCCCAACATAAGTGAGTTTAACTTTATTCTTGATTACTTGAGTCTAGTAATATGAACCATGACGAATATACAGCAATAAATAACATGCATCCTTCCATGATCACAATATCACTAAACTCTCATAAACAAGACTTTAGTCTAATTTTCTTTACGAATGGATTTCCCATAAAATTCATTTGTTGGTCAAAATTTTCTACTAAGAACATATTCGTTCCACAAAAATATAATAAGTAGAATAACATAATAATGTGATACAATAAACTGATAGTGTCTCCAAATGTGCACATATAGTACATCAAAAAATAACATTGTTCACTAGACCCATATGATCCACATAATCTTTGTACAATCCTAGAGCTATAGCTTTGGTCATAGGGTCTGCCACCACAAGCATAGTGCTGATGTACTTAACTGACACCTTATTTTCATCACATTTCTCTTTTATGACAAGGTATTTAATATCCATGTGCTTGTTACCATTAGATACCTTGCCATTGTTTATCGAGGAAACAACCCCTGCATTATCACAAAACATCCTTATAGGCCTCGAAATAGAATCAATAAACTTAAGCCCAATGATAAAATTCCTCAACCAAATTGCCTGTGTAATCGCCTCATAGCATGCAACTAACTCAGCCTCCATAGTAGAAGTTGATGTCAATTTCTGTTTAGTACTTCTCCAAGAGACTACACCATTAGCAAGTAAAAATATATATCCTAAGGTTGATCGCTTGTTATCTGGGCATCATGTAAAATCAAAATCTGTATATCCGACAACCTCTAGAGAATCAAATCTGCTATATGTAAGCATATAATCTTGTGTTCCTTGCAAATATCTAAGCACCTTCTTTGCAGCTCTCCGGTGATCCAAATATGGGTCACTCCGGAATCTATCCAATACACCAACTACAAATGCAATGTCGGGTCTGGTGCAAATTTGGGCATTCATTAAAGTCTCAACCAATGATGCATAAGGATATGCTCTCATATGCTCCGTTTCAAGCTCATTTCTCGGAGATTGAGACTTATTTAATCTGTCACCTTTAGACATAGGTGCAGGGCTTGGTTTGGAGTTTTCCATACCATACCTCTCCAATATTTTTTTAATGTAGGTCCTTTGAGATAGATAAAGTTTTCCTCTAGATCTATCCCTGTAAACCTTTATGCCTATGACATATGAGGCCTCACCCATATCTTTTATTTCAAAATGACTGGAGAGAAAATGCTTAGTCTCAATAAGCAATGTCAAATCACTACTAGCGGGCAAAATATCGTCTACATATAGGACTAGAAAAATGAATCGACTCCCACTGATCTTAAGGTATATACAATGATCAACTACATTTTCTACGAAACCAAATGAAGAAATCATATCGTTGAACTTAAAATACCATTGACGGGAAGACTGATTAAGTCTATATATAGACTTATTTTGCTTGCAAACCATATTACTCTGTCCCTCTAAAACAAAACCCTTAAGTTGTTTCATGTACACCTCTTCTTCCAAATCTCCATTGAGAAAAGTTGTTCTTACATCCATCTGGTGAAGTTCAAAGTCAAAATGAGTCACCATTGCCATAATTATCCTCAAAGAGTCTTTCTTAGAAACAGGTGAGAAAGTCTCATTGTAATCAATGCCTTCTTTTTGAGTGAACCCTTTGGCAACAAGTCTGGCCTTATGTCGTTCTACCTTTCCTTTACAGTCTTTTTTGGTCTTATAGACCCATTTACAGCTAACTGTTGTGGCACCAGGAGGTAGTTCAACTAAATTCTAAACATTATTTTTATCCATTGAGTTCAACTCTTCTTTCATGGCATCATACCAGTTGGAGGAATTCAAACTATTCATGGCTTGTGAGAAAGTAGTTGGATCATCACACTTTCCAATATCAAAATCGGACTCTTGAAGGTACACAATATAATCTGATGGAATTGCAGATTTCTTAACCCTTGATGACCTCCTTAAAGTTTCTTCTTGCCTCGCTACACGTGAAGGTGAAGCAAAATTATCAGTAATAGTGGGTTCAGTTACAGATGGTACATTAATAGTTGACTCATCCTCTATCAAATTATTATGAATAATAGGATGATGAATCATTACCAACTCATTTGAACTTTGCATAGAAATTGGATGTTCCTCAAAAATAATATTTTGAGGTTGTATACTCCACTGACTTGGTCATTTTCAAGAAATTTTGCACTTCGTGTCTCTACAATCCGTAGAGAATGATCAGGACAATAAAATCTGTATCCCTTGGACTTCTCTGGATAACCAATGAAATAGCCACTTATGGTTCTAGGGTGCAACTTTTTCTCTTGAGGGTTATACACCCGAGCCTCAGCTTGACAACCCCAGATGTGTAGATGTGCTAAACTGGGCTTTCTACCTATCCATAACTCAAAAGGTGTTTTAGGGACATCCTTAGTAGGAACCCTATTTAGAATGTACACAACAGTTTTCAAGGTATCACCCCAAAAAGAGACTGAGAGAGTGGAGTAACTAATCATACTCCTAACCATATCCATTAGTGTTTGATTCCGCCTTTCTGCTACTCCATTTTGATCAGGAGTGCCTGGCATGGTATATTGTGCCACTGTACCTTATTCCTGAAGGAATCGAACAAATGGATCTAAGTGTTGTCTAGTTTCAGTGTACCTACCATAATACTCACCACCCCTGTCCGATCTTACGATTTTGATCTTTTTGTCAGGTTGTAGCTCTACTTCTGTTTTGAAAATCTTGAAAGCATCTAAGACTTGGTCCTTATAAAACAAGAGGTACAGACAACTATATCGTGAGAAATCGTCTATGAAAGTGATGAAATATTTATGGCCTGTAAAACATGGGGGCGTGAATGGCCCACAAATATCTGTATGTATATCCAACACATTCGAGCTTCTTATGACACATTTCTTGAACTTGTTACTCTGTTTACCCTTAATACAGTCTACACAAGTGTCAAAATCTGTGAATTCAAGACTTGGTAAGATTTCATCATTTACCAATCCCTTGATTCTCCTTATGGAGATGTGTCCTAATCTCCTATGCCATAAAGTGGAAGAATTTTCATTCAAAATGTCATGTTTTAATCCACAATGTTCTTTATCATGTAGGGATAGCAAAGATGTTGCAAAAGATGTATCTAGAGATAATTTAAATAAACCATCCTCTAAAATACCATCACCAACCACAACATCATTCAAATAAAAACTAACAGACGAAGGTCCAAACATAACACGATAACCAAAGAAGCAAGTCTAGATACTGATAAAAGGTTTCTAGAAAATCCAAGATTATAGAAAGTGTCATGCAAATATATAATGTGGTCAGTCTTTAGAACAAGTCTGAACATCCCAACAACTTCCACACGTGACCGCATCTTATTTCCCATAACGATGCATCGTTCACTTTCCGTTGGGACCCTTTTGTTCAGCAATTCCTACATAGTATTACATATGTAGACAGTTGCACCAGAGTCAATCCATAATGTGTTATGAGGTACATTTATGAAATTTGATTCATAACGCACTAAAGAAAGAAATACACCTTTCTTCTTGAGCCATTTCTTATACTTGATGCAGTTGTTCTTTGCATGTCCCTTTTTCTTACAGAAGAAACATTTGAAGTCCTTTTTGCCAGCCGATTTGACTGACACCTTCATGTTCTTTTTCTTAATTGGAACATGGTAGTTGCTACTACCTGCTTCCACTTGTCCTTTCCCTTTATGAGAGGTCAAATGGACACTTTCTTGCCTCTCTTGCTTCAGTCTTTGTTCTTCGTCAACACACATGGTCAAAAGTTGATTCGTAGACCATTTCTCCTTATGTGTGTTGTAAGAGATCTTAAATGGAGTATAATCCAAAGGTAGAGTATTAAGGACAAAGTGGAGAAGAAATGTCTCAGACATGTCAACTTCCAGTGATTTGAGTTGGGCAGAGATGTCACGTAATTTCATAATGTGCTCGCGTATGTCACTGTGACCATTATACTTCAAAGAAGCAAACTTTGAAATCAGGGTGCTTGCAAGTGCCTTTTCAGAGCTCACAAATTGCTCCTCAACTGTAGTCATGAACTCTTTAGCAGTTTTGGAGTCCGGAATGGAGCCTCTGATTTTCCTTGAGATATGACTTTGCATGAGTAGGAGACTGAGGTGATTAGACCTCTCTCACTTCTCATGCAACTTTTTCTCCTCAGGTGTACTGAATTCCGTAGGAATAGGTGGCCTATCCTCACGAAGCGCCGTGTCAATCTCCATACACCCCAAAGTAAAGATAATTCTATCTTTCCATTCCGAAAAATTTGAACCTTTAAGGAAAGGGATATGAGATGCAGATTGAGACATAAGACTCGGGAGTAAAGTTGCAAAATAAAACATTACATGCTTACAATTAATATGCATGCTAATAATCACGCTTAAAATTTTATCCAAATTACTAACTCATATTAGCAATTTTAGTGGTAAATCACTTTATACAACATTAGAATGATTTACCTGACGATGAAACCAACGGCATAAAGCATCATAGAAAAATAGAATTCAAGACCTTTGGGCAACAAGAATTCAACTTAGCCACAATACCTCAAACCATTATTTCATCCCACCGATCACTTATGATATAAAAGCTTCCCTTTGAGGTAAAGCTATTATTTAATATAGTGCAAGTGTTCAATGTCATGGATAAACACAAAATTTCTTTATTGATAAATTTTCATATAATTTAAAATTATGGGTTGCTTTGGCTTGTCACCATAAAATTAAAATAAATATAATTTTATCAGCCATAAGTTTCTATACACAAGATGCTTTGGCTCGTCATTATGTATAGAATACTCCGAATCATGACATGTGAACAAATAATTTTATCCATATGAATCCAGTAATTAAAATAATTAAATTTGACCTAAAATTGGATTCGGATAAATTTTTCATGACTAAAATGTCATCAAAACAGTGGCACAAGGTCATCAAATATAGCAAATATACTGTTAAAAAACATTGGTAGTCTTTATCTATGCATCATACCCATTAAACAGCAACATCCAGTACAGGAAAAAGACAATATATGTAATCCATCAAAACATTCTTTGACTATTCAAAGTCTTAAACATCCAGAGCATTCATCATTTGTGTGCAGCAAGAAGAATTTAATAAATATTATCTCTTCTTTTGACAAAATGTCATATGCCACACTAAAAGTTTTAATAATAAAATATTACCCATTGAAGATGCTTTCATGCTTTGTCCACTAAGTATTTCATATGCATTCAAACACACAGAGAGGTCAAGCAATGCAATTTTTTGCTTGACTGTACGGACGGCAACAATTCATAGACAGTCTATGCGTGAACGATAACAATTAGCAAAAATCGAAATTTCTTTATCGAAATTGCTTTGCACAATTTCGATAATAGGAATTACAAAAATTCGATTACTCATCAAATTTATTTCTCGCAGATTGATCATACGAATAAAATAAATACTAAAAACCAAATCCCATGACCAGGCTCTGATACCAATTGATAGACCTAATGGTCTTAAATAGATCAAATAGGAAACTAACCTTGACTCACGGGATCCATAACAATGATTCGTGATGCGAAAATCTCCACGAGAAGAATACCAAGAATACCAAATATAATCACGAACTTGATTCCCAAGTAGATTGCAGATAGATTTTTCTAGAGAGTGAGAGATACTGTAAGCATGAATAAGAGATGGGGTCTCTCAAGTAATTTATATCCCCCTCACTGGTAACCAACTGCCTCACGTTAAAATAATCAGTAACCGTTGCCGAGGTAACTTCTAGAAAGCTGACTATTTTTTAAAACATGTTTCCTTGTACCTAGAAACCCACTTTCACAGGAAACTACCCACTAACCTAATCAACATGTGTTAGGTAATTTAATTAGGATATCCTTATCCCAAAACCCAAGTCTGTACCTTGTTAATTAAGGTCCACATGTGGGTCCCATTAAATAGGTTCCAACATTAAATACATATATTTCAACTTAAGACTGTTTTGGTTCCTGTTTGTTTTCTTTTCTAATCTTCTGACAGAGATAAGCTATTATACACCATTCTGATTCATGCATGTGTAATGTAATTGAAATTTGTTGGCTGTCTCTTTGTGTGTTATATTTTTTATGCCTATGTTTCTAATTATCAAATTGTTCAGGCGATTCCACAAAACCAATTAATGATGACATTTTCTTGGATTCATATTGAATTCATTAGTGCTAGTGCCTCTTTTTATTTTGTTTTATACCTTATAGTAAATTCTTGTCGTTTACAGGAGTGTGAACAATACTTGTTGGCTTCCTTTTCCACAGAACTGATGGCATTGGGCTCTCAGCACCTCAAGTTGGAATTAATGTTCAACTTATGGTGTTTAACCCAGTTGGTGAACGTGGTGAAGGAGAAGAGATTGTTCTTGTCAATCCACGAGTCAACAAATATTCAAGAAAGTTGGTGCCCTACAATGAGGGATGCTTATCCTTTCCAGGGATCAATGCCGATGTGCAGGTAAATCAAATACTGTTTTCTTCATTGCATTTTATATCCCTTAATTTCCACTTTCAGTTTGCACTTGTTTTGTGGTTGGACAGCGAATGTTAGGTATTTAGAGTAGTTAGTTCTGTTTGAAAGAAGTCTTGTACTTTTTTCTTCCACCATATGCGATGACATTCTTCCGAACAATTCTGATGTGAGCAGCTGTATGCTAGAAGAAGTGAGGTGCACTGGAAGAACTACATACATCCTAAGCCTCATATAAATATTTACTTAAGTTCGATGAATGAGACCGGCATGTTTGCGCATGTGTATGCATGGTATTAAATTTTATTGCCAGTCTTATTTGGGTCTGTGCTGATTCAACTTATCATGCTTTAATGGGTTCTACGAGCTATCCGTCATGGTGTTGTGCCAAATAGTAGATTAAAATTTTAAATATGCATCTTGTATTCTTAAGGTGAAATTGTTGTATAGGAATACTAATTAAGAAGCAAAGAAAGAAACACAAACAACTCGAGGAAAAAGGAAAATGTCATCAAATATTATTCTTCGGCTTTATAACCATCTGTTTTGTTCAAAAAATGTTATTGAGGATTATTCTGTAGCCTTCTATAATTGCATTTACTGGTAGCTTATTATGTCGGGTGTGCGTATTGACCAGCTGGTAGGGACTGTATGTAGTATTTAAGAGCCAAACGTGAGATGTATTGCTGCAAAAGTCCCTAAACACCAACTTTTTCTTAGTTTTCTGTAACTATTCTCTTATCATGGTATTAAACTGATCTTGACTGTCTATCATCCATGAACTTGTAGAGACCAGACTCTGTAAAGGTTGATGCATGGGACATCAGTGGTGCAAGGTTTTTAGTAAACTTGTCAGGCCTTCCTGCACGGGTGTTCCAGCATGAATTTGATCATTTGCAGGTTCTTACTCAATTTATGATTGCTGGTTTAGATCACAACTATTCTATCTTGGAAGATTTCTTGTCCAATATTTTAAGCAAATGTTTTACAAACTGAATTTATTTGGTTTTTTCGAATCCAATAAATAAGCTTTTAGGACCCATTGAATTTCATTAAGAGGAGGAGCAGATAACATTTGCCTATAATGTTTGAGACAGATAAGCTGCGGCTATCATACTGATCTCAAAAAACCTGAAAGGAGAAGTTGTTCCTTGTTACCAAGGCTGTACTGTAGATGAATGATTTTTGCATGACATGTGAATGGTTTTTTGCGAACCAATTAATCCAAAAATATTTAACATATGGGGTCATTATCTTAATGCTTATGTGTACTTTTGAAGTTGAATTTTTAGTAATTTATTAGGTTCGACATTCTGGATCCACTGGAAATATTTTCTAAGATAGCTCATGTATTTGCAGGGAATTCTTTTCTTTGACAGAATGACTGAAGAAGTTCTTGACAGTCTCCGTGCAGATCTAAAGGTGAGTAAACCATGCCTACAAAAGGCTGCCTCATACATACATTGAATTTCACTGTCCATGTTTGTTCAGGCAAGTTTGGCTATGCATCAAGAATGATAACCCAACTTTTGTATGCCGATTTCATCTTTATGCTAATGGAAACCAGACAATGGTATAGCAATTGGATTTTTGTCCAACTTTGATTTTCTATTACTTGATAAGTGACAAAAATCCAACATTTTATGACCAAATAAGTGAGCATGTAAGGTAAGGGTGGCCATGCTACCCTGCCCAGCTGGCCCAGCCCGTAGGATTTAGGTACTGGGCTAGAAAGTTGGCCTGGCACTATTCCGAGCCTGGGCTTGGTTCAAAGGTCTTGGCAACCCAAACTGGCCAAGACCAGAAGAATGATATTTATAATACGTGTTTGTTATTCACCTTAGGAGTCAGTTCAAGGAAAGTTGAGTTGGCCTGTTAGCTTTCCACTTCGAAAGAAGTTCGAGACAGCTTTGCCCAAATCATGTTTGATGATTCATAAACAGACCTGGGAAAAATGAGTGTTCAATCCCTCCCAACCATTTTATTAGATTCATATCTATTTTCAAAGTATAAAAATTGAAAATAGGTATTGAAAGTTTAAAAATTAGCAGTGGGCCCGGCTAATGGACACCCCCAGTATAGGGTAATCTGCCAAATAGGCACATTGTATTTGTCTGTCTTGAAGTGTACAATCAGCATCAAAAGGGGTTCTCCTAGATCCCATAAGTTGGTCTCCAGGGCAGAATTGCTCACCATGAAGGGAGTACAACATTACTGCTGCTGACTGCATTGATTTCAATGTTCTTAGCAATTATGGACCCAGAAATACTTCGCATATGGAATTTTGAACAAGAATTCTCCTTTAACGTGATGATGTTGCAGTGTGATTTTATACCTTGTCATTAATGATCAATTGTTTAGGAGTGAAAGGAGACTTGGTGATCTCCAGGGAAGAAATGCTCGCGATGAAGGGAGTTCAACACTACTCCTACTTCATGGATTTCAATGTTTTTAGTGATTATGGATCCGGAAATACTTCGCTGATGGAATTTTGAATAAGAATTCTCCCATAACGTGATGAGTTTGTAGTCTGATTTTCTATCATGTTGTTAATGATCCTTTGTTTAGAAGTGAAATGAGACATGGTGGACTAGAGCATTATGTATAATAGTTTATGTATAGAATTTTTGTTTGCGTAGATTAGTTTTGTGACTATATCTATGTTCCATTCAGTTGTGACAAGAAAATGCCATGTGTTAACATCTCTACTCTGCATGGAAAAGGAGAAATATATATTTGATTGCCTAATGATATTTCTACTGCTGACAGGTCTTGGAAAAGAAATACGAGGATAAGACTGGATTGCCAAGCCCTGAAAAGATAGAATCCCGCAAAAGAAGGAAGGCGGCTGTTGGTTTTGGAAAATCATGAATTTATACAGAGATTTACATGCTTGTTGAAGGTTTCAAATAATCATATATCTGCTAGTGCTTCTTGTCGTAACAAGGCTCGATTTTTCAGTTTTATCCTCTCCCATTATTATTGTACTAAAATGTTTCTAAAATAAGTCGAGACTGATGCGCTATGTATTATCTGCAGGGTTTTGCTAGGCAAAAACACAAGATGAACCCTAGTATTACGGATTACTGCTTGTACAATATATTTCATTTTAGCATTTGGCGTGTTTAGCCTTAAGTTCTTATTTTGACTCCTACGACATTCTCTATTGTAATTGCAACATGGACAATTCAAAGGAAAGAATCGTTGAAACTTAAATTGTACTCATCTTTCTTGCTTGTGTCTACGCGTATTGTTGTTTGCACTCTGCGCGTAATTTATACGTTGGAAGTCTATGAAGAAATAAGATACTATTACAGGTCTTTTTTTATTTTTCACCCTGAAAGATTTTAAAATTTTATTTTATACCCTTAAAATTTAAATTTTTGATATTGTATTCTCAATATATCAAAAATTTTCATCGAGTTAACTGTGGTTCTAGTATTTATTGAGACTTATTATTTAGTATTCAATGTCAATAATTTATTAGGTCAAATTTTTAATTTAATTTTGTAAGTCTATTTAGCATTTTACTACTTTTAAACATGGGTTTTTAATGGCTTTCCAATTAATGTGTTCGATGTAGACTTTGATGCCATGATACAACATGATTATGTTTGATCTTTACGATGGTTTTCTCTATTTGCAAACCATATTTAATCAAAAGATGAAACAAAACGGTGCCGGTTTTTGGATATATAGGCATCATCATGTTAAAGAGCTAAACATGAGATTTTTAACATGCGAGGGAACAAAATAAAAATATTCAAGGCTAAATTGTCATTAGTCCCAATTTTGAATTTGACTGTATATTGATATTTCTTTATTTTATTTTATTTGGGGGTTCATGTTTTGACATTTCGTGTCGTCAAAGGATTGCACTGTGCATTTTTCAAACGGGTGCCTATATACGATCTCACGCAACTGTTATTTGTTAGATAACATTAAGAGTGTTAAAATAAGACATATTTTGTTAATACGACACAAATATAATAACAAATTAAAGAATTTAGATATTTTTTAAATCATCCGTTTTTGTAAATAAATAAATTCGATACGTTATAATTAATAAAACAAATTAAATATAAATATAATATTTTTTAACACAAATTCGTTAAGATCCAATATAATTGATAATCTGCATAGCATTATAATCGTTGACTGTGTGACGCATTAATCTCCACATTAGTGTCTAAAAAATAACTACTCAAATCTATAAAAACTTTACGCTTAAGTGAGCAAAATAATGTTATTTAAATTTGAGATTAGCCGTTATTTTAATCATCATTGTCATTTTTCGTTGAATTTTAAAATTGTGAGTTCGAATATCGTTATCCTCATTTTCTGGATTGATTTAATCTCGTTAAATTAACACTTTTTCTAATATTTTTTTATAAAAATAAAGACAGAAATATCTTAAAATAAAATTAAAATGTCTAAGTTATGTCATTCGATTGATTATTGAAAAAAAAGGTATATTCCTCGGCTAGAAATCCAGTCAACACCATCAAGTAAGTCCGTAACACCACTTACCCAAAAAAGTAGCATATCCAACAAACCAATAAAGAACACGTGTCAACCCGAATTCCTGAGAACGGACCTAGAAGCTCTTTCTGAACGAAATTCAACAAAACCACTTCGCGTCCGCTCTGCTCAATCAGAATCCGAAAGAAACCGAAAGGTCTCAGACATCCAAAGCTTGAAAGAAAGGTCTCTGAAACTTGGAGTACTCGGTTTTCACTTTACCTTCTCTCTCTCTCTCTAGCAAATTTCCTAGGGTTCGGTTGTTGTTCGGTTTGATCTCTGGTGTTCAAAGCTCTTCGGATCACAAGCTTTGAAGTCTGCAAAATGTGAGCGATTTACAGACTCAGGTACGTCTCCACGGTTCTTCTTTACATGATTTCGACATCTTTAACTTCCGTATACCAGAGAAAAAGTATGGAAGAAAGGAAAAAGTTACAGATTTTCTCTCTCTAGATCGAACTTGAGAAATCAAGGGTTCATTGAACTGAGGTTTTAGTGTTTCTCTTGTTTAGTTATTAGGTTGAGTATTTAATTGCTTCCAATAATGCAAAGGTCTAGATGTTATTGCGCTTCGTATTCATAAATGGTGGATGATTTGGAGGATTTTATATTCTTCCAGTTCCCAAAGATGGAGTAGCCATTCACATGGCAGAATGTGACTATGTCAGTCAACTTCATGTACCTTATTTCTGACTTTTTTTTTTCTGTAATTTTCGAAATCAGCAGATCACTGTTGCTAGTAATGCCTGTTTGACATAACTGATATCTTCCAACATCAAACAGGAATCATAGGTTAATCAGTTCATCATGTATAGTTGTTTTAGGGGAACTTGAAGATTAGTAGAGTCGTGACAAGTTGATGGCTCACTTAGGTGATAATCATGCTTGTGTCGAGGAGGGACCAAAAAAAAAGGGCGGGGGGTTCTTCCCGTGATTTCACATGCTTGAATGCAAAGTGCAATATGACAATATCTGAAGTGGCTATTAACAACTCAGACGTGTATGCACATGTACGTGACATGTATTTATGACATAAGCAATCACAATGCTAACATTTGTCTTTTAAGTAATGGAATATGACCTTGTGCTAAGGAGAACTCTGAAATTCTATTGACAAGTCACTAGCTCGGGGTGTATGCTTTTATTTAAGATATGGATGTTTGTATGGCAGAAGTCACAAAAGCAAGAATAATGCTAATATTGGTGGTAAGTAATATAATATGACCTTGCTAATATTAGCAATGGAATATGATCTCGTGCTAAGAAGAACTCTGAAATTATATAACAAACTTGATCAAGTAAGCTTGACTTTTTAAAATGAATTGCTGAAAAACTGTCTTTGATTTTGATTTCTGATGTACTTTATTCAGGTTAAGAAGTCGATACCCTTTAATTTGATTTGTGTGCTATAAATACTCCAACCAAATATCCCCTGTTTGTGTTCACCAACATGGCTTCAGTTGGTTCGGTTCCTTCAACAATTGGAAAACCTAGTGGTGATACTATGTTTGTCGACAAGCTCCCAGAGGGAATTAATGACATGAAGATCCAAGATGACAAGGTGGAAAAGGTTGCTTCCGGTGACTTGCATAACTCGTGGTTTTCTTTGTCATTTATTGCTTTTCTTTTGCAAGGCGTTTTTCTCTTGACAATTTTACTGTGATAGGAAATGGAAGCAACAGTGGTGGATGGAAATGGAACTGAAACTGGTCACATCATTGTAACCACTATTGGTGGTAGAAATGGTCAACCCAAACAGGTAAAGTTGTCGAACTACCTAAGTTCCTAACTGACATGGTTCGCTTTCAGTTGCTTTTGGAATGGGATTACATCATTCATATCTACTTCAGCTGAATTATTGTTCTTGCCTAAAATTAGATCAGATATGCTAGTAACAATCATATATTTTGGCACTTACTTCTACCCAAGTGATATGGTTTACTTTCAGTTGGTTTTGGAATGGGATAACACCATTCATATCTTCATGAGCTGAATTATTGTCATTGTTGAAATTAGATCTACTATGATGGTGACAACCTTATATTTTGGCATTTATTTGTGAAGTAATTATAGAAGAAAATGGTCTTATATGAGACGAACAAGAAATTAGCATGAATAAAGGGACTATCATATGTCACAGGTAATTTGGATAGAAATTATTTTTGATTGTTGTAGGGTCCATGTCATCTCATATGACACAAACAAGAAATTAGCATGAATAAAGGGACTATCATATGTCAGGTAATTTGGATCCAAATTCGTTTTGTTTGTTTGTAGTTTCCATGTCCTTTGTTTTTGGCTTCCAAAACTTATCAAATTTGCTTATCCTTGAAATAAGGATGATATCTAGATTACGTTGGGTAGCAAAATATTAGGAGAAGAAACTTGTGATTTGCAAATTATGAACATTTTTTTTAACAGTAAATTATGAACATTCACTAATGATTTTCTTAGATTCAATTCACTGGTTGGATTCAGATTTCATATGAGAAGAGTGCTGAGCATGTTGATTGTAGAACCTATACAATTACTATGGAGTCTGCAGTTCATTGTCCTTTGTCTCATTTTTCCTTTTTTTTTTATTGAGTGTTTAGTATAAACCACACGCATATACTTTTCAAAAAAATATGTGCACCCACACACATGATCATTGATAGAACATATAATTTATGTGGAAAACATTGTTTTTCTACTGGACATTGTATATCTCCATAACTATAATATATGCTGTCTACTTTTATTCAGACAATCAGTTATATGGCGGAGCGCGTCGTTGGACAAGGTTCTTTTGGAATTGTATTTCAGGTGATAGTTTAAATACATTTTTCTGACCAATCAGTATTGGTGAACGATTTGGTAGCTTTTAATAAGGCTACCATATGAAACACCGGTGTCCAGTAGTAGATATTACCATTTGCTAAACTTAAATATCTTGGGTTGCAGGCTAAGTGCCTGGAAACTGGGGAAAGTGTTGCAATCAAGAAGGTTTTGCAGGATAAGAGATATAAGAACCGTGAATTGCAAACAATGCGAATTCTTGATCACCCCAATGTTGTCTCACTCAAACACTGCTTCTTTTCGACTACAGAGAAAGATGAACTTTATCTCAATCTGGTTCTTGAATATGTACCTGAGACTGTCTATCGTGTATCAAGACACTACAGCAAGGCAAATCAGCGAATGCCCATGATATATGTCAAACTCTACACATATCAGGTGCACTGTTTTGCATTAATTGAATTTATATTTCTACCATTGGATGCATTGACTGGAAGCATTCCAACCATGGACCTTTTATTCTATCCTTGGGAGCACACCTTATTTGTGCCTCTCCAATTCTTATATTTCCCAGTTCAGTTAGACAATTTATTTGGTTATGCAGCAATGTTATGTTTTTGACATTATAGAAGAATGTTTGATTGTTGAAACCAAAAGAACAATTATGAGTGATGAAGTTCTTTTTGCAACTGTCTGTCCATCTATCTGTCCAGAGTCTGCAGACTTCAATATCATTACCTCATTAACTGTCTCAGACTTGTTCTAAAAATTTTATCTGCACTTCTTCGTTCTAGGTTTGTTTCCTCTGTATTATCAATTCGTCATTCTCACGTTATCAATTTTCTTTCACTAACAATATATAGCTATGCGTAGCATGTGTATTTACACTTTGTATGCTTTTTACTAAATTTAATTGGATAAAGACTTTATGAGTATATCTTTTCGGTATAATGGGACTTTAGCTTCCTTTATTTTTCAAAAAAGTAAATCTGAGAAATATGGCTGCCAGTTTGGTTTGGGCCAATAGTCTAGAGAAATTTGGTTGTCTGGTGTTTTAGATCTTTCCTTGCGCAATTTGAAGTCTTTGCATGGAACTTTGTAGTAAGATTACATAGTACATATCAAATGGCATGTATCACTACTAAATTCTGATAGTCTTGAGTTCTATCATGGCACGATGGATTTGTTAGTGATGAAGAGAAGATAATATACTTTTTAGCATTAATTCACAACATATGATGCTTTTGGTGTTATATAGTATCTGACTCTGTTGAATTTGGCAGATTTTTAGAGCTTTGGCATATATTCATGGAATAGGAGTCTGCCACAGGGACATTAAGCCTCAAAACCTACTGGTCTGTCTTTAAAAGATTAGATGTCTTCCCACATTATGATTAACTGCTATGACCAATACGATCTGTTGTTCCAGGTTAATCCCCACACTCATCAGCTCAAACTCTGTGATTTTGGAAGTGCAAAAGTCCTGGTATGGTATCTGCTTGGTTGTGACTTGCCTTTTCAGAACTTTAAAACCCTTAAAATTTATTTGTTTGCAAATTTCTATTTGGAGAGCTGAATATTCCTCGTAAGCTTTCCAATTCGCGAACTAATTGACAGTGTCATGTGATTTTTCTTTGATGCAAGTCTGGTGGGATTTGGCTCCTTTCCAATTGGTAACTGAGAGATCTTCCAACCAGGCCTCGAATGATCATAATTTAGCTATATAAGAACTCCCACTTTTCCCTGACTTAAATTTTTTAGTGGTTTGACAATTGACTTGCTAATGTGGCATAATTGTGGCCATTCAATGTGTATCATCCAATTACCCCTGTCTGAGATGCAGCATTTTGCCAAAACAACAGCACTATTTTATTTAAGAAATCTGAAACATCCTTCTGGAAATTCTAATGTGTCTGTTGCCACGGGCTGTCTGGTGGATGGTGCTTGGACACTTTGACTTTTTTATTTGGTCATTACCTCTTTGGCAAATTTCTATTTTCTTATGAAGAAGCTAGGAACAACCATCAAGAGTCTGTTCAAGGAGGGAGCCTTCTTATCTAGCAATGGAAAGATCTCCATGTGTGGTGTGACTAAATCATGTGACTAACTTTCCTGCATATTAGTAACAGAGTAGTGAGATTTTTGCACTTGCTTGAATGCGTAACAGCCCATACCTTACTGGATACATATTCTTTGCATCTCTGCATCCTGGCATCCGTGTCTTACTAGCTCATATGAATAACTTTGTTTATTTCATTGCATGAATTGTGAGCCTTAGACATACGTGTCATAACTGCATATGTTTCATTTTAATTGTATACCATGGTGCTTGTCTAAACCATTTTTGTTACATGTTAATTGTATGGCCTCCTATGTTATCTGATTTGTGATCTGTGTCTATTTTCAACTTCCTTTCCTAGAATGCAATAACTGTCATCATCTATCACAGGTAAAAGGCGAGCCAAATATATCATATATTTGTTCTCGTTATTATCGTGCACCTGAACTCATATTCGGAGCGACTGAGTACACAACTGCAATTGACATATGGTCTGTGGGTTGCGTCCTTGCTGAATTGCTTCTTGGCCAGGTTGATTACAAGCCCTAAAACTTTTTATATTGTAACCTGGGGCAGAGAGTTGAGTGGTTATGAACATTGAGCTTTTTGTTTTAATTTTTTTTTCTTTGTCCCAAACGCCCTAGCCTCTCTTTCCAGGCGAGAGTGGAGTTGATCAGCTTGTTGAAATAATCAAGGTAACTTCTTGGGTCCCATGCATGAGTAAGAATATCAATTGTGAAACTTCTCATTTTTGACTATGGAAATATAACTGAATAGATGCCTATTTGTTTTGTATAGGTACTTGGTACACCAACTCGTGAGGAAATTAAATGTATGAATCCGAACTATACAGACTTCAAATTCCCACAAATCAAGGCTCATCCCTGGCACAAAGTGAGAAACCTGGTTTCCTTGCTGAACTTTCTTTAAAAAAAAAAAAAATTCACACGGATGCTTCAGTTGACACTGTGTTCCTGTTGTGGACAGATTTTTCACAAGCGAATGCCTCCTGAAGCTGTAGATCTTGTGTCAAGACTTCTTCAGTACTCTCCGAACTTAAGGTGCAGTGCGGTGAGTACATCCTACCCTATCGAATTTCACTGCAATGAAAGAAATGGATCTAATTGAATCTCTCTCTCTCTCTCTCAAATCCTCTATTGAATAAGCGCACGTGTTGCCTTTATGTCATGCCTAAGAAAATAGAAATAGAGATTTGTGCATGCATACTTATTTCAGTATGCACCTCAGTTGCTGTGGATTATTGCATTTCTCATTGGAGTCTACAAGGACATCTTTTGCTGTAGTTGTGTGATGGCTCAGATTACTGATTGTTATACCTGTGTATTTGTCCCCGGCTTTGTTTGATTGCAGTTGGAGGCATGTAACCACCAATTTTTTGATGAACTTCGTGATCCTAATGCTCGCCTACCAAACAGTCGTCCTTTGCCACCTCTGTTCAACTTCAAACCTCAAGGTTCATTTTCATTGATTAATGTTTAATGTTTCTTTGTTCATGATTATTTTGTTGATGGCTCTGGCTTTGAGTGACAAATACTGCATTTTCAGAACTGAAAGGAGCATCTTTGGAACTCCTCTCAAAACTGATACCAGAACATGCTCGGAAGCAGTGCCCCTTCCTCGGTTTCTAAGGTGTAAGATTATTCTTAACATCTATGGACTGAATTGTTGGTGTAACATGTTTGTTTCTTTGTTGACTCAAAAACTAGCGACACTTCCGTTTGTTGTATTGCTTTTTTTTTCTTTGGATCAGTACTGTATTGATTTTCTTCTGAAAAATATTTGTTTGATGAAAATTACTGTGTCCTCTTTTGGTTTCTCACTGTGCACAGATTGTGTCGAGACTATGAAATAGCAAGGTCAAGTGCATCATTTCTGTAACGTTCTCTTTCGGCCCATGCATAATCCTGTAACAGGAACTATCGTGTGATGATACTTGTAAATCAAGTGCTCTCACAACCCAGTGGCTGATGTGTGGACTGCTGCTAGGATGGTTGTGTTGGGAAATTGTTAATTTTGAAGGGTGTTAATCAAATTGAACAAGATTTGTTTGATTGGCCAAGCTGAACTTGACTGTTTGGATGGTTCCTGTGACGCCCCTAAATTCATTTTCCTTTTTTAATCCGTTAATTATTCATTAACCCGTGAAAGTATCCGGCATAAATCAGACAGTACGTCATCACAGGACCATTCCAAAGTCTAATGTCCATTAATTTGTGTTTATCATTTTATCAAATTCAATCTTTAAACAATAAGGCCTTGAAATTGGTAAAATGTCAAGGACAAATTGATAGATATTGAACCTTGGAATGGTTGTGTGATGACATAGTGTTGGATTATGCGGTATAGACGGGAATTTTTACGGGTTGATGCGTGATCAACGGGTTAAAAAAAGACTATTGGGTTTAGAGGCGTCACAGTTCGATTGTTTCAATGAAACAATTTTGTGTAGCTGTCATCGCAACTGTATGTGCAATGTAGATGAACAAAAAATAACTACAGATGACGCGGACAAGGAATCTGGCCATTAATGGCAACAATATGAATTTCAGTATCATATTGACAATTATTGCTGTATAATTATAATGGTTGAGGTAATGTATGATCTAGTAAGAAATATTATGATTGATTATGAACCCCTGGGTGAAATCATATTGGACAAAGCAGAAGAGAAGAAAATGATAGGAGATTCGGCAGGAGGCTCACTAAACCTCCATAACATCTAACAAGTCGAGTTATGTCGGTTCTATAGATCACTAACACAAAAAAAAAAAGTTAAAGGAACCGGTCCATGACTTGATATTGGTAGAATGCTACCTCCAATTATAATTGCGATCAATCGAGCTAGAACTTGGCTCCATGAGGGAAAAGAACCTTGACTTCGTTAGGGGCTTGTGCCTTTTAATTCTATTGCGTGAGAGGTATGATGGAAGTCTAGCCTGCACCACACATTTTGTAATTGAAATGATTTTTTTTTTCTTTTCCGAAAATTCCAACATACGTAATATATGCACCGCCTCAATATATTTTTAAAAGAAATTTGAGATTTTTTCTCAAGTTTAGGAAACTTTATTTCGGTCGGTATATGATAAGATTAAAAACACTTTTCAACTTTCTCAATAACCATTTGTCTTAAAAAAAAATTTTATGACAAGTCAAGCTTTAATTTTTTTAAAAAAAAATACACATCAAGTTTTTTTCCAATAAATAAATAAATAAATATATATATATATATATATATATATATAGATTTTAGCAACTAAATAATCTTTTATGCCATCATTCCCTAAAATTTAAGAAGGTATAGTACTATGCTGTTCATGACCAAAAAATAAATAAAAATAGTACGATACCGTTTTCTTATATTTTCTTTTTAGAATTTTCAAATAATGTGTTGAATTTTTATAATTATAATTATAGTTTTTAATTATATTTGTTCTTTCTATCTAAATTATCTACATGCATATTACTACACACATAATATTTTTTCGTGTGATGAATTTATATTTATTAATCAAAAACAATTTATAATCAACTTATTAAATAATAAATGAATACATTTACATATATAAAAAAAAAAGTGTTACCAAACAAAGAAGATTTTATTTTAAATACATTCACCGAACACCCCCCTACCAATATGTCAATTTTATCCTCAATTATTTCAATAAAAAATTAGTGACATCAAACCCTCTTCAAACTCGAGAGTACAATAATTAGCTTACTCTCTTTATCCACACTTTTACCACTACACCAAACACATTCGTTTTAGTGGCATTACAAGTGTCCAGTCAATACTAATCATATCAAATGACCCCACACATACCACTCTCAAGTCTCAAATATTCATATCACACAGGAAAAAGTTACACCTGACCACCTTCTAAAAATTAGAATGTACCCAAATCATGTGTAACAAAATCCTATTTTTTTATCCGACGTGGCGCGAGTGGTGTAATATTATTCCACCGTGGCGCGTATCTTTTTCGGCGCTCTTGCTCCTCTACCCCTCGCCTGCACAAATTTAAAGCACAAAATGGCACTCGCCTTCTCGTACTCCTCAATGCTATTGTCCAGTTCTAAGCTTCGTCATTTTTCACTGGTTCTCTCTCTCCTTCTACTCCGGCGACGGGAATCATTTTCTCTCTCTGTATCGATCTTTCTGTTTCTATACGTATATTCTCTTTGCTTGTTGATTTTTCTTCGTCATCGTTTTGAATTTTTGTGTTTAATCGAAATTTACTAATTCTTCGATTGAAGGTTTTATTTTCGCCTTTTACTCGTAGGAACGAAGTACATTTTCGATGTTATCGAACGTTGATTCAAGATGATAGTGATTCTTATCCTGTCAGGTAAATTGTATGTGTATGAGTTCCATTTGTTTGATTTTCTTACCGTTAATTTTTGTTGAATTCGTGAATGCTGTTGAATGTATATGTCTTTTATGGTTGATTGAAGCTAGTTTTGGTAACCAAGAGATTAGGTGTGTTTTTGTTTAGCGTATCTGGGTTTACATGTATTCAGGTTGTCTTATTTTGTTAAGTGTGTTAGATGTGGACGGCATGGGGCTGTCTAGGGTTTTCCTGTAGAATTTTGAACTTTTGGTGGGTTTGATTGGTGGAACGATGGATTACGGCGTTCAGGAGAGCCTGAACACTTGAAAAAGTGTCCGAGTTTTCTTTTGAATTTTGAACATGTAGGGTCATGCTGGTGGTATGTTAAGGTCACACTGGGTATATGTTTAGTACACTCTCGTGACTAGTTCAAGACATCTTTTTCCTTCTTTCAAATGACGATAAAATGTGGATTATAGAAACATGGGTATGTAAAACAATTAGAAATTTTAAGAAGAGGGAAGGGAAAGAAAGGAAACTAGAAATTTTAGTTCCCAAAACCATTACATCTGTCAGTGTATGTCATCTTTCAATAGCCTTTAGTGATTGCCAACAACATATCCATTGTGCTCAAAGTCCTTATTCTTTTGAAAATTTTGATTCTTTTGTTTTTGTTTCTTATCTTCGTTGTATTGATTTTTTGAATTACAATTTTGTAAATTTTCTGTCAAACAAAGAAATAATGTTGCTAGGTTGAAAAATATATATATATAGTTTGGTTTCTCCATCCCTTGTCTGTGTCCTACTTTTTTGTGAAATTTCATGTCGGCATGTATGTGTCATGTTGTATTCATATTTATTGTATGTACATAAGGTATGATGCTTGAGGTTCTTAACTTCTTGATATTGGTCAAAGGCTTAAAAGACCTCCCTTGCTTTGATATCGTAATTATCTCTTGGTTAATTTTGCCATGTGAACTGCATCAGTTTGATACTTTGTTCCTTCTATTTATTGAACAGGTTAGGAATCTTTGTTTCACAACTTGAGATTCCTGAGAAATGGTATTCCATTCTTTCTCATGTTTTATATAATGAGTACCTATATCTTGATGTTTTCTCTTATATTCCTTGCCAGCTCTTAATTCTGAACTGCCCTCGATGTGATTTTTGGAATTTTAAATAAAAGATGATCAATCATGGAAAACAATGCCATTATCACTGGGTTCAGTTATGTTAATCATAATTCCCTTTCTTTTTTGCTTTAATTTGTGTAGGATGGGAATGCTTCTTGCGAAGAGAGTGGTAACATTGACTGGGATACTGAAGATGAACTCGAAATTCAAGATATCCCTGTATCTTCTTGTTCAAGGGTGATGATTCCAGGTGAACCTGTTCCTGGTACAGGAGAGGTAAATGTGTAGGCTTATAGCTGAAGCTGTGCTTAATCTCCTTCAAACATTGAACAAATTTATGATACTATAAAATAGAGAAGAAAAATTTTGTATATTGATTCTCTTCAATGAGATACCTGTCACTTTTATTAAATTGAATGAGATAGTGTGTAAATAATTGGAATCCTTGTCTTATATCTACTTGCAGCAAAGACACACATCAACCATGTTTCATGAAAGATTTTTGTATAAATTTGCACATTTTGCTGAAAAAATTCACTGAATCATAGTCTAAGGAACTTTTTTTTTCATTGAGGACATATAATCACCTCAATGATTACATACATCCTTTTTTTATTCATCTTTTCATTGTTTGTTTGCCTTTTTTTTTATACCAGGGATCGTGCACACATGATACACATGTGTAGATAGGAAGAAGAAGAAGAAAGCATGGGAAAAATGAAAATAGATAAATCTAGGGGGTTATGGGTGGTTAAGTGCAGTTGAAAAGAAAGTGATTTGCAATTAAAGTGAAAAGTAAAAGGTGTTATAGACATTTTTTATGTGGACACCATATTCATTCTCTCCCTTTATTAATGTTTACATTTAGCAATCAATATGGTGCATGTTGTTAATTCCTTCTACTTACCATTACCTCCTTTCTTTCTACCTCCAGGCAAGCTCATCAAAAGATCCTTCCCTCGCCAAGTTGGTTCATCATTTTGTAGGGATGGGTTTTTCTGAGGAATTGGTTGCAAAAGCAATTGAGGAAAACGGTATTTGCACTGTTACATCATATATAAGATATCTTTGATGGTGAAAGATTTGTTTGTAGTTATGCTTTAATTCATGTGCAGGAGAAGGCAATACAGAGTCAATTCTAGAAACTCTCCTCACATACTCAGTAAGATACTTTTACACTTCTGATTCTTTTTCAGATACTTTCCTACACCATTGTTTAAAAGGATATATGACTTTAATAGAGATCACATGGTAACCTGCTTTGGCTCTTTGCCTAAGTTTCTTGAGATAATATTATTTGTCGTTTTTTCCCTGATACTATAACTCTTCACTTTCTTTGGAACACAACAATATCCGTTTGTATTCATGTCTGAGATCGACAAGGACCATCGAATCTCTCGTTTAGCAAATTTTAGTGCTTTGTTAAAGCTTTTTGAAGTAGCATATACAAGTGTTTGTCTTTTATGTGCATTCACACTATTCACACATGACTTAGAAACAGCTATTTTCACTTTGTTAGTGATATTAATGCTTTGCTGGAGCTTTTTGAAGTATTGTTTACAATTATTTGTCTTGTGTTGTCACCAGAGTATAACTTCAAAATAATTATTTTCTCTTCATAACACTTCTCTATTCATTAGTAAGGGTAGATTAAACTGTGTCTAAGCAAAGGAAATGGATCTCTTCTTAAGAAGATACCAGAGATTCGCTTTTGGTAATGCAATAATTGGCTTAAAATTTCTTAACATACTGTAATGCATATCTGTTGATTTAATTTATGATTATGGGGGGCACAAGTGACGTGGAAAGACAGATCCTGTTGAAGGTTCCTTATAATATATACTGTGAACTAGTGCTGCTGAATTGGCTAAGTGAGCCATACTTTGGAGATTTTCTGAAGAGATGCAAGTCAAATTTTCTTGTGTGCTTTATGTTGAGCAGAGTTACTACTGCAGAAGTATGAGTCTTCCCTGTATGGCAACAATCGACGTAGAGGATAAGCAGCAACACTAAATTCTGTCCCACAAATTTCCCTATATTTTTGTTTTTGCCATCTGTAATCATGGGTTTTGGGGCTGTGGGTACATTATTAATTGTTTACATTTCTGAATTGCACCTTATTGGTGTTTTCTAGCCCTGTTGTCTTTTGTCGACTTCCACAGTGAGGGTCTGTAAATTGATGAGCGTAAGAGGTATTTTGATGATTTGTCCACTCAAGTTGGAAGGCTTTTTGCAACATAGCTAGAGTTCTTTATAACTTGTTGACAAAACTTTGAGGCCTGATTTAATGTCAAACAACTATAATGCTGTCATTGGCTGTGGAAAAACATGATAAACTAGAAAACGAAAACAAATTTGTACCAGTGTAGTAATGGTTTCCATATAAGTAATGTTGCATCTTTAAGCAAGAGGTGCATTACTTTTACAAAAAGTTAAGCTTCAAGGTCAACTTTTGAGTAATTCATATAGAAGGAAGCATACAAACCTTTAGAAGTACACCATTTGTTATGTTGTGTTAAGCAATTGGCTGCTATCATTGGAAATTGCTGACTGATTTAGTGTTTTAATTAGTTAACAACTTAGTATACGATTTTTACTGATCAGGCTAGACATCCATGTGGTTTTCTGAATGTTAGAACAGGCAAATGAGGTGATTTTTACCCAATATGCAAGATTTGAGAGCTTCGTATTCTAGGTCTCGTTAAGTATTTAACATCATCCTTTGCTCCCATATTTCCAATAATGGCAAATGATAGACCTAAGCATGGTGCATGCGTGTTTTTTCTGTATAGTTTTCACTCCTTAGGCAACTTTTATTGGATAATCTTTACTTGTACAAAATTGTCTAAGCAAGATATCGTAATAAAGTGGTACAAGTCTTATTTGTCTTCTTTGTTGCCTGTCCATTAACTCATTCTCTCTGTAGAGATGCTTCCAAAGATACAATAGTTCTTGCTTAGATTCGTCAGCTTTCACAAATTGAATCACTGACCGTTAACCTGGATAGAATTTTTCCTACATTCAGAACTTGCATTCTTGTTGTCCTTTATATTTAACAACTGTCTTGCAGGCTCTTGCAGAACCTCCTCAACAACAGCAATGTGTCAATTCCGATAAGAGCTCTTCAGAGTATGATGAGAACTTTCTGGATGATCTCTCTGATACAGATAGCTGGAATGAAAGCAAGTTAGCTGTATGTAATGCCTGACCACTTAATCGTTTAATGTACCCTTCTGCTACTATCTAACTGGTAGCAGAAGACAGTTCTAGTAATGTAACGGTCTTATCTTTTCTTTGTGCAAAAATGTAAGCATAATACGTCCAACTGTTTGGAGTTGTGTGGACAGGGCGTATTCGGGCTGCAGAAAGACGACTGTACTTTACATGCATCAATTATGATAGTAATTTGTATGATGCCAACTTGGACATATATCTGTTTGTGATGACACATCCTTTTGGTCTAGGCACTTCTATTTGCTAATGGTGTTTTACATCTGTAAATATCTGATAATCACTAAAATCTACAATAGAGTACCTGTGAATTGATTCTGTGGTTTTGGGTCGAGATATTTTGCTGATCGAACTTTTTTACACTATTTAATGTATTATATATCTACACATTGGACTGTAATTACAGATCTGTCCCCCTGTATCAACCAGTTTTCTCCTAAAGGATTCATCCATTTTGTTCATCCTTGCATTTCTTGCCGTTTATAGTACTCTCAATAGTGTTTCATGAAAGTATTCCTTTTGCCTTTCAAGACCTAACATTTTTCCCTATTTGCAATTTCTAAACTTTTAACACAACTTTCCCCTGGAATTATTTGTGATGTGGTTTATATATATAGAATTTGGTGTTAAAAATTGATTTTCTTGCAGGAAAATACAAGTTCCTTGTCTGACATGGATAAAATACTGTTGTCCTTGGCCAATATGGGGTACACAGTTGAAGAGGCTTCAATAGCCATGGATAGATGTGGTGCGTATATCAACATATGTTTCATACTAGTGTTACATGTCACCATGCATTATTGGGTTGGAATGTTTGTGCTTTTATGCTGGTTGTATATGCTGAGTCACTGTGGAAAAGCTAAAAATCAATTCATTGTGGAAAGGTTAAGCCGTTAATTTCTTGAGATAAAGAATTCATCTAAAGTGCAAAGGTTAAGCCGTTGGAGAGAGAATTCTTAATTTGCTCACTCACAACTTTTTACATGTTAAATGGAGATGCTTCACTATTTTGAGTGCATTTCTGAGTTCAAAATTCAAATCTCTTCTCATGAGTGCTCTATGATTAAGTGTGTAAATGGGGGCCCAAACTGTGGTAGATGGATAGAGCTGGTGCCTCGTCCCCCAACATTTTCCGGTAACTCCATTATGAGTATGCTGAAAACCCTTCTACCCTTTAGAATCAGAAAGCTCATAATAAAATGGCCACTTTATCTGCATCCGACGGTGTTATTGTAATTAAACCAATCCAACCAACCTAACCAATAGGAGGACAATAGATCTGCTAAACAAATAGGAGTCGTCACTTTTAGCAGACGAAGGAACTGATCCATAACTTTACATTAGACAGGCCGGCTCAATCATCACCTAAAAAGTTGGTTTGTATGGTACAAGATAAGAAAAGGACTCACCAATGCCAAGGATGGATCCAATAAGGCAGCCTTTTGAATTTTTTTAAAAATCAAGGGTAGTTGAGTCTGTATAGTTGGGGTATTTATAGCTAGCTAACAGCAGTATAAAGTGACAGATTTGCTTTTCCCTTTTTTTGGGAGGGGGACTCCCCCAGCCTCTTCCTCTAGATTCACCATTGACCGGATGGCCTCTAGTCATCACCAAAGACCCCAATGACCAAGACTTCATGTAGACCTCACTTAAGAAAGTTTATATTTCATCCAAAAAGCATATTGAAAATTTGAAAATTCAAGACCTATAAACAGGGCATTCTAAAGATCTAAGTGGAGGCATTAAACATCATGACCAAGTAGTAGGAAAACATGCTTTTAAGTAAGAACAAGAAGAAAATGTAGAAGCAGTTAAAGCCACTTACCTCGGAGGCAGATTAAAGCTCAAGTGTTCTTAATTTCCCTAAGCTTCTTTGTTGGCATTTGAGCATAAACAAGTTAATTTTGAATCCCCTAAATCAAAGCTTTCTAGGTCAACTTCTTTACTTGATCTTATTTTTCCAAAGTAAGGGGGGGTTCTTTATGTTATGGGCATGATTATGGTTGTAAATTGAGGTTGCTAAAGGGCTGGTCAAATCTCTTTCCTAATTATTTTTTCTTAGCCATTAAGTCATCCTTGAATGTTCAAGGTCAATTTGGAGTCTGTTGGAGTAAGTGGAACCCAAATCAGTCTTGTATAACTTGAGATATCAAAAATATAAGACGAAAGAATGATTTTTAGTACTAGTGTTAGTTGGGTTGTTTTGCCCAGTTTTGAGAGAATGAAAATTGATCAGAGAGGCAGGGTGACAGTGGGGGAGATGTGATATTTTGAGGATGCCCCAATGGTAAGATTACCAAATCCAGTATTGCTTTCAGGCATGAAGGGTGAACCAAGGATAACTATGGCTTATAGTGGGTAGCCACGCTATTCCATTGATGCCTTGAGGCCTGTTGCTATTTCATAGAAAGACTAATCAGGTTCAACAGATCGCCCAGTTTTCTGTGCTATAATGCCTGTTGACTTGCTGCTCCTATATGGTATTTTTGAATTCTGGCCGCACAATTTTTTAGTCTGCCCCTATATGCCATTGTCATAATGCCTCCCTTTACAATATGGCAGGCCCAGAAGCCACAATTGGAGAATTAACAGATTTTATATGTGCTGCTCAAATGGCAAAGGCAGCAGATGCCTATCTGCAAGAATTACCCACTGAAATTAAGGTATTTCTCCTCTTTGTAGGGCATGAGAATAGAATTTGTGAAAGCTTGTACATTTTGCTTAACTACCAATGCGTCAAATCCCATGTCATTTTTTTATCTATTCTATTTATATGTCTAATAAGTTCATTCCTATGTAATTTATTATCGATTCTCTGTACTCTCAGCCAAAGCTCAATGGTAAACACAAGAAGAGGAAGTATTATGAGTATGAGTTGTGGAAAGGGAAAAGGCAGAAGGGGTATCAAAAGAAAATCCTGGATGAAGACAGCGAGACTATTCGTCTTCCCAAACCAATGATTGGGTTTGGAGTCCCTTCAGAAGCATTTATGGTACCAAATAGAACTCTTCCAGAAGCAGCAATTGGTCCCCCGTACTTCTATTATGAGAATGTTGCGCTAACTCCTAAAGGAGTTTGGGACACTATTAAAAGGTTCTTATATGATGTTGAACCAGAGTTTGTCGATTCAAAGTATTTCTGTGCAGCTGCAAGGAAAAGAGGCTATATTCACAATCTTCCAATCGAAAATAGGTTTCCTCTTCTTCCATTACCCCCACACACCATACATGAAGCATTGCCATTAACGAGAAGGTGGTGGCCATCATGGGATGAACGGACAAAGTTGAACTGTTTGCAAACTTGCATTGGGAGTGCAAAGTTGACTGAGCGGATTCGCAAGTCACTTGAAGATTCGGACGATGTACCATCACTGCATGTACAAAATTATGTTCTTAATGAATGCCGAAAGTGGAATCTTGTTTGGGTGGGAAGGAACAAGGTTGCCCCTCTAGAGCCTGATGAAGTGGAAATGCTATTGGGCTTTCCAAAAAACCATACAAGGGGAGGTGGTATAAGTCGGACTGACAGGTATAAATCCCTTGGGAACTCATTCCAGGTGAGGAACTTTTTCTTTCCTTTTTGTTATTGTTGGTGAAGTTCCTCTCTTTACAGTGTTTTTCATGGCATATGTTGGAATAACCCATAAACACTTCTGTGAGGTGTTATCCTGTCATTTTGCTACTAGACTCAAAGTTGTCATGTTACTTATGAGAGAAATTCTTTTCAGGTTGACACAGTCGCCTATCATCTCTCTGTCTTGAAAGACATATTCCCAGGTGGCATCAACGTTCTATCACTTTTTTCGGGGATTGGCGGTGCAGAAGTTGCCTTGCATCGAATTGGTATTCCCTTAAAGACTGTTGTATCAGTTGAGATCTCCGAAGTAAATCGAAACATTGTCAGGTGTTGGTGGGAGCAAACAAACCAAAAAGGGACACTTATTGATATTGCTGATGTACAAGAGTTAGAACCTGACCGATTAGAGCAGCTAATGTGCACCTTTGGTGGCTTTGACTTGGTTATTGGTGGAAGCCCATGCAATAACCTTGCAGGCAGTAACAGGCATAGCAGGGACGGATTAGAGGGTAAAGAATCCTCACTTTTTTATGATTATTTTCGTATACTCGACCTGGTGAAGGGTATGATGGGTAGTAAACAATAATTCAACTAGAAATGGCCAATTTTTTGGATATCATGTTCAAATATCTTAGGTCCTTTTTTTAATCTGTTTTTCTGTTATCTGGATAATGCTATCACTGACTTGTAGTTTCCAATTTTAATTACTTGTCAAAGTAAAAGGAATTGTTGAAATTGTTGTTCATTTCTTTTGTTGGATGACGCATTTTATCATCTATTGTTATGCATTGTTTTACCCCAAGTAAAGAACAATCGAAGTAACAAGGCTCTAATAAGTAATAACTGTGTAGTATGAAGGGGATTGGATATATGTAGTTTTATTGAGCATGCGGATAGACTTTTTCCGTGTCTAAGTGTGAGATCTAAACCGTCTCTAATGAGTTGGTTCTCTAATAGAGAGAAGGTGCTTTGAATTCTACCCTGTATAGATCATTTCATGATGATATGATTCGTTAAATATGTTTTTTGGCTTAATACCTGTGCATATAAATTGGACGCGAATAGGTTAGTCCTTTGGTCCTAATTGCTCATGGTCACTGCTGCCACATTCTCTCGATATAATAATGACAAGGTGAGTTCGTTGAGCTCGTCAAGTCAAACACAAGTTTCATTTGATACTAACTTACAAGTGTTTAAGTTGGACTTGAGCTAAAATTGAGTTTAACTTCTCCGAAAAAATAATTAAAAAATTTAACCTTAGAACTTATTTAAAATAATGAAAGATAAAAAGAAAATTGAGTGAGACTATGTAGTAGAAAAATAAATAATAATGTTAGAATACGAAGCAGCAACATTGAACTAAATATAAAAAAATTAAACATCAATAGAGAGACTTTTTAAACCCACTTCCCTGGGTTTCGGTTTAAAACCCGTTATTTACTTGACATTTAAAATTATATTCATTATTTCATTTTAGTAATGTAATAAACTAAAATAGTTACTTTTATCGTCTATATTAATAGAGAGTGTGTTTCACACGCCAAAATACGTTGTAGGCTCTGATTATGTTGTTTCCTTCAACATAACATTGTATAAGTGTTTAAAATACTTTTTATAATATATGATATAATACCTAAATAGGTAAAACATCGGTTTTATGTCAAAAAAATATATAAAAAAAACATAAGTAATTTTAGAACCCGATCAAAATTGCTCTTGAGGAAAAAATAGACTTGATATGTTTGATTGAAATGTGTTGGTTTGTTGTCATATTACATGAAAGTAAATGAGAAGAATATCTGATTTTAAAACGTAGGTATTATAATAATTTTTTATTTTTGTTAACGCTGTGAATTACTTTATTTTAATACATAATACTGTTCATAGTTTTAAAAAACTACAGGGGTAAAAAGCAATTAATCTTTTTTTTTTTTTCCGGCAAATAACACTTTTGTGTTTTTTGACAGTGAAGAGAACCACGACTCCGATATATGCCTCGCCACAGTTTAACCACATTGAATTAAATGAATTAACCATGGTTAACCGAATGCTGACGTCACTCCATTCTAAATATCTCTTGCTGTCTCCTATAAATACCCTTCTCGGGCCACTTTACTTTTCCCTTCAACCTACGCTTCTGAGCTCGGAGGCGTGGTTTCCTTTCATCTACGATCGTAATATTCTTTCAGTGAAAGAGGATTATAGAGAGGAAAGAAGGCCATTCACAGAAGTGGAGCATATCTCACCGCATATTCATCTTCAAAGCGACGTTGTCCGGTACGATTCCCTCGAAATTTCCATCGTTTTAGGTTTTTGAAATGCCTTAGATCTGAATGAAACCGCCAACTAAATGTCTGAAAATTTCAACGCAGTTTATATTTTGTAGTGTAGGGGTTGGACTTAAGATTTTGGAGGTTTACCGTTGTTGAATTTTCGCTATTATTTGCCAGTTTTTTGACCTTTAAACGCATAGAATGTTTTCTTTAATCTAGGATTTTTGGTTTCGGTGATTAATTATCTGTTCGTTGATTTGTTGTACGATCTGATGCTTTGGAAAATTGTTAACTATGATTGTTTGTGTATGTATGAAGATATTATATGCTTGTCCGGTTCGGTGTTGTACATGTACTTTTTCCAAATTCCTTTTTTGTTTTTTCCATTTCTGCCTGGGTAAAAGAATCGGAAACAGTCTCCTGAATTTTTTTATTCGCGATTTTTTAGGTTTAATCTTGCAGCAGTCTTTATCTTGTTAAGTCTTTCAGGTTTCTTTTTACGCCCTAGATGGCTGTAATTTTGGTAATTTGAATGTCTGCTAGATTTATATATGTTTGTTGTTTTTAATTATTGGTCGGCTATGTATTTGAAGATATTATATGCATGTCCGGTGTCGTGTATGTAGTTTTTCCATATTCCTTTTCTTTTTCCCATTCCCATTCGTAAAAGAATCGGAAACAGTCGGCTGAGTTTTTTTTATTTCGCGATTTTTTTAGGTTTAATCTTGGTTTAGGCTTCATCTTGTTTGGCAAAATCTATTTTCTAAAGCCTTTGTAACTCTTTTGGGTTTCTTATTATGCCCTAGATCGCTGTAATTTTGCTAATTTGAATGTCTTTGTGATTTATATATGTTTGTTGTTTTTTATTTATTGATCGGCTATATGTTTGTTTTCCTTTGTTGTTTCACAGAGTATTATCCCTATTGTTTTGTTTTAAATATGTTTGATCACTAAACTTGGTTATGAACACATTTACTGGCTAGTATTTCATATTTTTTGGCTTTACTGTTGTTATGCTGCGCAAATATCCAGCCAATATCTGTTTTCCATAGGCTTACATTTCCTGCTTCTGTAGGATTCTTGAGAGTGAGGCGCTGATATGGCAGCTGCTACAACTGCCTCTTCTGCTGGTCCACGCTATGCACCAGAGGACCCCACTCTACCCAAACCATGGAGAGGTTTAGTTGATGGTAAGACGGGATATCTTTACTTTTGGAATCCTGAGACCAATGTTACCCAATATGAAAGGCCTGCTGCCTCATCTCATGCAAGTTCAGCTCCATCACATAAGTCGTCTTCTGTATCTATAAGTTCTGCTGTTCAAGTTCAAAAATCTTTTCAAGGACAACGTCGCAACGATGATGACGATAAATATAGCAGAGGTAGCAATGGTGATTCGAAGCTTGCTTCTGGAACAAAAAATCATCAGGTATGGTCTTTACACATGTTTGATCTATTTTCTTTAACCAGTTATGTCTTTTTCATGCAATGATGCGATTGAGATTTAGTGTGTTTGTGGGGAGCGGAACCAGAAGGAAAGGGTGGGGGAGGGGAAGCAAAGAACAGTTGATGTATATTTGATATGGAGTGTTGTGTGTTTATTTTTGTGTTCCTCACATGCCAGCTCCTGTCTGCTTCTGTTTGCAATTTTTTCTTGGACTTTTAACAAAAGAGAAAAACTAATTGAGGGGCAATGTTAAGTGTTGGTTTCATGAGCAAAGGATTGCAAAATGGGCACAAAAGATGTGCCTCTTTGTGATACCCCTTTTATAAATAGGTAGAACTAGATTAACCCCGAATATAATTGGTATTGGATGTTGCTATGAGGTTCTGGGCTTCATGATATTCATGGGCCTCTGGATTGATATAATCTTTTATTGGTAGAACTGGTGAGACATATATTTTGTCCTGAACTTGATCTGTGCTTGGAATATTAATGTTGTTGAAGCATATTATCTTTTGTATTGTTTTCTGTGCTTAGTGGAATTGCTGCCTTCTAATCTGTCCTCATATTGTAGTTCCGTTTATTTTTAATGGAAACTTAGATGTTAAGGTTTGGTGGTGCTCAGACAAGCACTATGGAAACGATTAATAGGATGTAAACATTATCAAGTGCTTATGTGAAAGTTGCTCAGAATTTTTAATTTGCCTTGGCAAACAGCATGATGGTTTTTTTTCTTGGTTTTCAAATTCAATACTGAGGTCATGTATGGGATCACTGTATTCAGTTTCAGTTTTATCCATACTTGTTAGCTAACCCAAATTATCTTCTTATTTTCTGTTAAGAGTGCTAGAGGTGAATCAGATCATTCTTACAATGTTCCAAATGGGGCAGTAGGTGCTGCACTTGGAGGGGCTTCTGCCAGGGGTTATGGGTCATCTGGTGCAGAAAGTGGTACATCTGCAGAGTCTTATCGCCGACGGCACGAAATAACTGTAACTGTGAGTTTCTTATGACAGATTTGATGAAGGTTTAAAGATAATATGTGTAGTTATGTTTTTCTTTTTGACTTTTGCATGCGTGGAATTCTGTTGTTGCAAACCCTCCCCATTGTTTGATCTCTCTCTCTCTCTCTCTCCTCTCTCTCTCTCTCTCTGATGTTGGGTTGCGTAAATTATAACGTCTTCCTTTCTGTATTGTCTTTAGTTAAAATATCTTTTGTGATCAATTTAGGAAAGGAGAATTGAGAATTTTATCTATGTATTTTTTCTGTTTTCTTGTATGATACCCTGGGTCAGAAGGCTAACCATGATTGTGAAATTTCTTGAGTTATAAATCCATTCAGCTTCTTTTGGCCACAATTAAAGGTTTTATTTCAAAAAAATTCGAAGATATAGGGTCTCGGGAAGAGTACTATTATTTTCCAGAATAGAGCATTATGATATATTTTTATGCTCAGATAAAAGATAATAGACATGCCCTAACACATGCTTCTAACAGAGACAATCATCCCATTTTTGCAGCAATGTAGTGGCTAGTTTGTGTAAATTTGCCTCAGTCCATGTCCTTGTTATATGTATTTATGTATGTATAGATGTATATATATGGCCTAAATTTGCTGTCTGGTGGTCTAGTTTATTTTATTTATCCATCCTGACTGCTGGTATGCTCTCTAATTCATCAGGGAGAAGATGTGCCCCCACCTTTCACCTCATTTGAAGCCACAGGTTTTCCTTCAGAGCTTCTTAGGGAGGTATGGATTTCTTTTGTGTTTATTGCAACTCTGCTGGTTAAGACCTTTGTAAGTTCAGTAAGCCATCTAACTAGTGTTTTCTGCAAAGTTTTGTGATTCCTGGAGGTTCATTGTCAAGTTTCAGGACTCATGTTCATTTTTTCAATCGGTACTTTTTTGTCGCAGATGCGATATTTGCTCCAGGGAGGAGCCAAATGTCGTACGCTGTGCCGTCCTCTTTTGGGGGCTTGCATATATTTGGAGTGCCCCTATACGGTGGACCAATTATTATCACCCAAGTTCGTGGCCGGGACTGCTGTAGGTGATGATTCAGTTTGCCACTTGGGCTCCTCTTTTGGGGGGCTTGCATATATTTGGAGTGCCCTTATATGGTGGACCAATTGTTATCACCCAAGTTCGTGGCCGGGACTACCTTTGGTGATGATTCAGTTTCCACTTGGTCCGAATAGAAGAAGAGGCCTCCTCCTGCTCTAGCTTGCACCAGCTAGCCTTGGCTGCCTGCATATGGGGGATGCTGCTTCTTCTGGCATTGGCCTCTTGCATAAGTCCAAAAAGAAACCAATCAGATATCTTGAAGCCGGTACCTCTGCTTACAGGGGTTGCTGGTTTTTGCTTTTCCAGGTACACAATGCTGGATTCTCTGCCCCTACTCCAATTCAGGCACAGTCTTGGCCGATTGCACTTCTAAATCGCGACATTGTAGCCATTGCCAAGACTGGTTCAGGGAAAACCTTGGGTTACTTGATTCCGGGATTTATTCATCTCAAGCGCCGGCGCAATGATCCTCGATTGGGTCCAACTGTTTTGGTGTTATCACCAACAAGGGAGTTGGCAACGCAGATACAAGATGAAGCCGTGAAGTTTGGAAGGTCATCAAAAATATCTTGCACGGTATGCTGCTTGTTATTTCTATTGTAGGTTTGTAAATGCATTGGGCTTGCTACCAATGTTGCTTAAGAGGATTGTTGAACTCGGTGAGCTATTTGCTTGGTGTTCTTAGAGCTGCTTGGTTATTGCCCCATTTGGCATCGTTCTTGCATAACTTCACATTGTTGTCTGACCTAAGGTTCCAATAGGAATCCCCATAAGCCAGTGTTATTAAACCTGGCCCGGTTTAGTAGTATATCCTCAATCCTTTTTTTTTCTTTTCTCTATTTAATGGTATTTTCTTTTGTTTAGTAGTATATCCTCAGTCCCTTATTAGACTCCTCAAGCCTTTTTTTTCTTTGGGTATATAGTAAATCCTTTTTTTTCTTTTAGTAGCTTATGGTAGTATGGTACTCGTATTGAATTATAACTTGGGCTTGTGTAGCGAGTCTTTTGGATTATGTCTGATAATTAATTTTGATTGGTGAGAAGTTTTCTGAAATTTTATTTAAATTTTCTTATTATCTTTTGGTATTTTTAAGATCATATACAATACTAGAAAAGGGAGAGTAAATCCCATATCAGTGGATTGGGGGCCAATAACTACTTCCATAGTTCTCCCCTTCCCCTTTTCTCCCCACTCTTGAATGATTACTTTATGGTTTAACAAAGAATTGTTTTAATAATATAGTTTGTTGCTGAACTCTAGTTCCTGTGTGTGTTTTTGTGTTGAAGTGTTTGTATGGAGGCGCACCGAAGGGCCCCCAGTTAAAAGAGTTAGATAGAGGTACAGATATTGTGGTTGCCACTCCAGGGCGTTTGAATGATATACTAGAGATGCGAAGAGTCAGCCTCCATCAAATTTCGTTTTTGGTGTTAGATGAGGCAGATCGTATGCTGGACATGGGATTTGAACCTCAGATAAGGAAGATAGTGAAGGAGGTGCCTTCTCGTCGCCAGACCCTCATGTACACTGCAACATGGCCAAAAGAGGTTCGCAAAATTGCAGCTGATTTACTGATGAATCCCGTTCAGGTTAACATCGGAAATGTTGATGAGCTGGTTGCTAACAAGTCTATCACCCAGGTGCAAATGCTTAAATTCCTATTTTTCCTTCCATATGTTTTCTTACTGTGAACAGGGCCCCCACGGGGGGTTGGGGGGGGGGAAGGTAGGAAATGTGTGGGTGGGTGGCAGATCTATCTCAAAGCCAGTTAGGATATTTCTAATGAGGCATGCTGATATTTGGTTGCCTTCCAGATCTACTGCCTTTCCATGGTCCATAATAATGTCGCTACAATTTTTCCATTTGTTTATTTGTTGGTCACTTGCAGTATATTGAAGTCTTGTCCCCGATAGAGAAGCACAGAAGGCTTGAGCAGATATTGAGGTCTCAAGAACCAGGATCTAAAATAATTATTTTTTGTTCCACGAAGAAGATGTGTGATCAACTTTCACGTAATCTAACCCGTCAGTTTGGAGCTGCTGCCATACATGGAGACAAATCTCAGGGTGAGAGGGATTATGTGTTGAGCCAGTTCCGCACTGGGAGGTCTCCGGTGCTTGTAGCCACTGATGTTGCAGCTCGTGGGCTGGACATTAAAGATATCAGGTTGGTGATTGTTGAATACATAGAAATTTACATATTTTACAAAAAACTCGAAGCTTAGTTAATGTTTTGCACTGATGTTTGTATGGCTAAATTTGTTTTTAAGTTAAACTCTTTTTTTTTTTTTTGTTTTTGGGGGGGACCTGTCCTGATATCTTTTTCTGCAGTGTGCATCTCAAGTTATTCATCAGAACTCTGAATTATTTGTGCATGCTAGAAGACTAACCATGCAAATGATGTGCAATGTGTTGCTCTGATCTGAAACAAAGTCCCTTTTAATTCAGCACGTAGGTTATACTAATCAATCAACTTATGTGACAAGGCTGATCAGGAAGTTCTATTGAATTTCTGTGCTATATGTGACAAAAGAAAAAGGCATTGCTTTATTAAGTTTGTAGGTATCAGGTTTCATTCTAGCTGTCTGGTGAAGCTGTTTGGTTTTTATGTTTCATTGGTTCCATTCCTGAAGTTATATTTATGGATGGCCGCCTTTATTATTTTTTCCTTTTCCTGCCTTCAGTGAATATGAAGTAAAATGATGTGTCAATTATTGTAATGATTAATCTCTGACACAGGGTGGTTATCAACTATGATTTCCCTACGGGCGTAGAGGATTATGTTCACAGGATTGGAAGGACTGGGAGGGCAGGTGCCACTGGAGTGGCTTATACATTCTTCTGTGATCAGGATGCAAAGCATGCTTCAGATCTCATCAAAGTTTTGGAGGGTGCTAGTCAGCGTGTCCCAAATGAACTTCGTGATGTGGCTTCCCGAGGTGGTGGGATGGGCGGATTCAGACGTCAATGGGGTTCCGGTTCTGGTTCTGGAGGACGTGATGGTGGCCGTGGTGGACGGTATGATTCAGGGTATGGTGGAAGAGATGGGGGAAGGGGTGGCTGGGGGATGCCTCAATCCTCAGAAAGAGGTGGAGGCCGTGGTAACTGTAGTGATTCACGTGACAGGTACATGCAGCTATTTGAGTTTTTGTGTTTTCCAAGTACGTGTAGTTGGTGTTTAGACAAGCCAGCACATTAAAAATGAATAAGGGAGAATTACACTGAGACTCTCCTGAGGTTTGTTACTTAATCATTCTGATCCCTGATATTTAAAATATTACACATAGATCTTTTAAAGTTTGAACGTGTTTAACACTTAAATTCCTGCCGTCAATGTCTGCTAGCTTATCTATTAATAAATTACATCTAATTCCCTTGAAGTATGTAGGCATGTAATACTTAGACCATTCAAGTTTAAAATATTATATTTAGATCAAAAATATTTCAATGAAAGTTAGAATATCAAATATTAGTTATAACCCGTGCCTGAAGGCACGATAAAATATAAAATTCGAGCGTCCAAAAAATTGATCCCATTATAATATTTTTTTTCAAAATATATTAATTACAAATTAATCAAATATTAAATGATTAAATATATGATAGAAATGAGTGATGTGATGTTTTTAGGAAAAAAATATATAAATGATTAAATATATTATATAAATAAGTGATGCGATTTGATGTTTGGGCCTAACAAAGTGATTATGGGTGAGATAAGTGATTGGTAATGGTTTTGAGGAGAAAAATATGACTGGGATAAAATTCAAACACACTTCTATTTTATTATATAGATTTTAAATTTTACATACAAAATTTTTATTCTTTTATGGCATTTTTTGAAATAAAATAAAAAATAAAAAACTAATTTTTAAAAAAAAACATAATTAGTTATATTATCTATTGGAACTTAATTTGGTCGTTTAAACAACCAAATTAAACAACTAAATTACCCTAATTAAAGTTTGAAGATATTGTGTCCATTACTGATTGACCACTTGTTTGATTTTTAGTTTTATTTCAATAGATAGTATAATTGTATATTAATTATAATTTTTAAGAAAAAATTAAATATTTATTTTTTTATTTTATTTTAATAAATGACATAATAGAACATGAATTTTTGTTGAAAAATTAATGTTCTATTATGAATGACTTAGATCCCTTGTTTCATTTTTTAGTTTTATTCTAATAGATAGTATAATTGTATACTAATTATGATTTTTTAAGAAAAAATTGAATTTTTATTTTTGATTTTATTTTAATAAATATCATAATAGAACATGAATTTTTGTTATAAAATTTAAAATATTTGATATTCTGTGTTTGATTGAAGCATTTTTTATCTAAGTATAATATTTTAAACTTGATGAGTTTAAGTATTATACGCTTGTAAACTTCAGGGGGTCCGAGTGTAATCTATTAACGGATATTGACGGCAGGGGTCGAAGCGTTACGCGTGTACAAACTTCAAGGGATCTGTATGTAATATTTTAAATGTCAGAGGGTTTGAGTGATTAAGTGACAAACTTCAGGGGTTTGAAGGATTAAATGACAAATTTCAAAGGGTCTACATGTAATTCTCTCAATGAATTATCCATCAAGGCGTCTGAATTTCTACTGGATCAATTTTTTATAACGGATATTTGGCTTATTTTTCCTGTTTAAAATCATGATGCTATGTGGAGCCAGATGGAATGTTTGTTTCGATCGCACATTAAGCTGTCTTTACATTATTTAAAAAGCAATGGTATCATCAACACGGTTATGATGAAATGACAGGTACAGCCATAGTTCCCATAATGGGCATGATGCAGATGCTTCTGGGAGCTACCATCATAAGAGCTTCCATGAAAGTATGATTCGAGCAGGAGACAAGCGCAGTCGCAGTCGCAGTCGTAGCCGGAGCGTTGAGAGGTATGGCAAAGCTCCACCAGCACGCTCACCTGTCCGCAGTTTTCACCAATCCATGATGGAGTTGGGTCAATCACCCCCACCAGCTCAAAATAAGCGTTCATCACCATATAACAGTACCAATACATCAGAATTCATTAATTCTGGCGATCAGAGGGAGAATTTCAGGGGATCACATGATGGTGGTCCACAGGAGAAGGGAAGATCACCACATGGACAACAGGATCATGAAGGATATGCTGCCGTATCTCGTCCACATCTTGGAGAGGAAGAAGAGGAGGAAGGTATGATTCCAGCAGATGAAGGTGGTGCATATTGAGCTGCTGATGGGACTCACCTTCCGTCTTCTCCATGAACATTTCTTTAAGAAAAAAGAAAGGGGGGTTATTTTTTTGGGGTGTTGTATCACCTTCCATCATCTCCATCATTGGTAAGTGGTTGGTTCTTGCAAGTCTGACACTGATCCTATCATGTGGTTGTTTTGTTCTAATGTTGTAGTAGCTATAGCCAATGGTGGCGTTATGACTGTAATTAGCGGAAGCAGGACTTCAGGCAAAATTTTGGCAAATTTTAATTAGGGCTGAACAATTAGGAGAACCTGTCACTGCCAGTGTCTCTTTTGTATTGTGTGTTCAGTCCGTCTAAATCTCTGAAATGCTTAAAAGTTGTAGAAGGAAGAAACAGTAATTGATACTTTTGTTGGAGCATGGTTAGTGCTGTGACTGTGTACTGCACTGCCCTGTTTTGACCTATTGTTTGTCCTGTTAATTGAAATTGACATAGATCCAGGATGTCTAGTAAAATGATTGATCGCTGTTTTGCAATACAAGTTCAAGTCCATTTGAGTTGAACCTTGTCTTTTTGAGACTGCTCGGCTGATGGGTTGTCCCATAGGCGGAATGCATTATTCATTCGTCTGTTTTTAATGCAGTTGTTGTATGCAGCTAAACTTTGACAGATGGTTTTTGGATGATGTTCTCTGAACCACAGGGATTTGTAGCAACCGTTCTATACGAAATGTACAGGTGCCTTTTGATTACTATGGTGGTATTTCCCCTTTGTGTAATACCAGATGATCCTATTGACTAGCCGACCTTTTCGGGGCTGGCGGAAAAGGAATTGTTATTGGTGAGATTCAATGTCATGGATTCTATTTTTGTGTGCCCCTTTGCGTCCGTTTTTTATTTTCTGAATTGCTCACGATGTGTCTTGAATTTATGATTTCATTTCTCCTTTATGATGTCATTGCAAGTACTTAAATGTTCGACAGTACTCATACTATTTTCTTTGCTCGGGGATTATCTTTTTGTTAGTAACATCTAGTTCGATCTCAAAGGTAATTTAGTGGCGGTAGTAATTTAGTGGCGGTAGGGATGAGTTGTTAATTCAAACATTTTAGTTTGAAATTTAGTAACTCTTTGGGGTGAGGTTATATATAAGTTCCAGCGTGAATTATTTGTATTTTAACATAATTGAGGTAAATGACCATCTTCAATGTAAATTTATACCCTTGCCCAAATTTAAAAAAAAGAAAGGTAAAAAGTTCAATTCAGTATAGGATTCTCTAATTTAAAATTTTTAATTTAAAAAAAAAAGAAATTCAAATTTAGAAGATAGAACAAATTTAAATTTAAAAAATAGTAAAATATGACCATTGAACTTTTAAAGGATAAAAAAATTTTATTATTAAAAATTTGAGTATAGATTTGAGTTTTTTTTTAATTTAATATACATATGTGTTTAACATTGGAGAAAATGTTTAGGAATTTTTTTACCTAAATTTAAATTTGTATTTAAAAAAAAAGAAGAGGAATTGCAGTTGCTCTAAGTAGGTCTGGATACTCTTGACTGAAATACTAAAAATATATATATCTAGTTCACGCATAAAATCATAAGAACAAAAATCATAGGTGGAATTACACTTAGACCTCATGATGTTTATCACTTAATCACTTAGACTCTTGGATATTTGAAATATTACACACAAACCTCTTAAGGTTTGTACATGCGTAACACTTAAATCCCTGTAATTAATATCTATTAGTAAAATTTCAACCAGACCCTAAAGTTTATAGGCATATAATATTTAGATCTCTCAAGTTTAAAATGTTATACTCAGACAAAAAATTCTCCAATAAAAGATAAAATATCAAATATTTTAAATTTTACAACTAAAATTTATGTTCTATTATGACATTTATTGAAATAAAATCAAAAATAAAAATTTAATTTTTTCTTAAAAAATTATAATTAATATACAATTATACTATCTATTAGAATTTAATTAAATCATTTAAACGACCAAATTAAACTATCAAATTACTTCAATTAAAGCTAAAAGATATTGTGTGTATTACAATTTGACTTCTTATTTGATTTTAGTTTTATTCCGATGATAGTATAATTTTATACTAATTAAAATTTTTTAAGAAAAAAAATAGATTTATTTTTTATTTTATTTCAATAAATAATGTAATATAACATGAATTTTGGTAATAAAAATCATATTCTATTATGAATGACTTAGATCCCTTGTTTGATTTTTTAGAGTTATTCCAATAAATAGTATAATTGTATAGTAATTACGATTTTTTTAAAAAAAATAAATTTTTATATTTAACCTTATTTCAATAAATGATACAATAAAACATGAATTTTAGTTGTAAAATTTAAAAAATTTGATATTCTATCTTTTAATTGGAGTATTTTTTGTTTAAATATAATATTTTAAATTTTAGGGATCCTTTTGATTGGAGTATTTTTTATTTAAATATAATATTTTAAATTTGAAGAATTTAAATATTACAAGCCTACAAACTTCAGGTTGTCTAGATATAATTTACTAACCGATATACTTTTGGACATTAATTGCAGGGGTTTAAGTGTTACACATGTACAAACTTCAAAAAATTTATGTGCAATATTTCAAATATCATGAGGTTTGAATGATTAAATAACAAACTTCAAAGAGTTTGAGTGTAATCCTCTCAAAATATAATATCTTATTGGCTGTTAACAACAATTTTGGTCGCGATTAAAACAAAGCACATGATTAATTTGATTTTCCCTTAATCATTCAGCACAATGGAACGTATAGATGTGGCAGGTACTGTGGTTTTATTTTTCATGAATCATTATTGACCCCAAATAAATATTTTTTTTTTTAAAAATACGTATTATCCTCCTCCTTTCTTTAGGTGTATCTTTAGCTTCTTGATCAATACCCTTCTCCCCAAAATAAAATATATATATATATATATAAAAATTATTTAATAACGTATTTATTTACGCGTCTTCAAAACATGGACTTAGATAATCACTCACAAATTTCCTTAAATTTTCAGGTAAAATCGCCAAATTTGATTGTAATTAAAAGTGAGAGTTGATGTGCCAGTTGGAAATTCGCAAAACCCGAATTGCCCTAATTTGGTAGATTAATAAAAATTATTACCCTTTTCTTTATCTCTTTCTTATTTGAATTGTGTTAATTTGTTTTTTTTTTTTTTTTAAGTTCAATGATCAGACGTGTGCACACCAACAACTTATGTACAAATAATATCTGACCCAAACAACAAGACAAAACCGTATACTTACCTAATCATTGAATGTCGTACCAATCCTTTGACGGGGTTTGACGATTACTAAGAAAGGAAAGGTAACCGTCATTCTCAACTTTCGATTTGATCCGTTGGATTAAAACATCGAATCGACGGTCATGAATCAATCAGCCCATTTTCCTGCCCCGTTTATGTAGGGTTGGTCTTACTTTCCAGTCCTAAAAATAATTTGATTCTCAATTTATATTTTTAAATATTAAAAATTTTAATTTATACCCTCAATATCATAAATTGATAGTAATGTGAACATTGTTCATGTTGTCATTCAATTTTTTGTCTTACATTAAAACGCATAAATTGTAAGTGCTTTGGGCATGAAAATTTATCAATCGCTATAAATTTTCGTCTGTGAACAATTTGATATTATTTTATATATAAAAAATAAGATTTCGTCAATTAAATAGAAGTTAAGTTAATCACGAATAACTCATGATGCGCCAACAATCTATGAATTTATACATAAGTCCATATTCAACTTCAATTTATTATAAAAAAAATTGAACGGTAATCAAGACAAGATTCATAATATTATCAATTCATAACATTGAGATATAAAATAAAATTTTTAATATTTAAAAATATAAATTAAAATTCGAACTATTTTTCCAAATACGGAGTGACAATAGCCCCTTTATCTATTAAAGCCTAGAGAAGCCATTCCAAAGCACACTAAAACCACTCTCACTTTCCTTCTTTTGCTCTCTCTCTCTCTCTCTCTCTCTCACTCATGGAGTTTGATACAAAACTCGAAGAAAATCTTTCTTTCCATCCCAATCTTTTCCCTGAAAATCCCTCCCAACCTCAATTGGGAGATAAACTTTCAATGGAATCTCTTACATCTACATGGCCGTATCAAAATTTTCCTAATTTTAATCAATTTACCATTGAAGGGTCATCATCAAATTCTCTTTTTTTTGTTTCAGCTCCATTTTATGACCTTTTCGACCCATTTCAAGCTTCTTCTGCTAGTGCATCAGATCCGAAAAATCTAAATCTACTCTCACCAAGGCCTTTTGCCTTTGATTCTACTACAAAAGAAGCCATGCATGGATTTCAAAGTGGAGGGCATTTGAATTTTAGTTCAGAAAATTTAATCCCTACCATGGATGATGAGTCTCACACTCATCAGCCTTTGAATTTTCGAGAATTCATATCAATGAACGTAAATTCCCCAGATGATCAGCTTTCATGCGTAACTGCAGAGAATGGGCACAGTAAAGCTGATCCCAAGCTTAAGAAGACAGTGCAGACCAAAAGGAGTAGCAATTGTCAGAAGAAATCCAATGTAGTTAAAGGGCAGTGGACTCGTGAAGAAGATAGGTAAAGCATATATATATATATAGATACACAACTATAAATATATTGTTTTTTAGTTTTTTTTAATTATTTTTTTTTCTTTGGATAATTTTTGGGTTCTTTCCCTCGAATTTCATGTAAATCTTTTTCATGGGGTTAATGTTGATGTTGGGTTCCACTCTGACTTAGAGGTCATGGGTTCGAATTGTTGAAACAACCTCTCGTATATTTAATCCTTTTCAAATCTCGTAATAACGAAAATCTCATGCATTAGATACGCTTTTTAGTGTTGACGTTGGGTTTCTCTTCTTCCCAACATTTCATGTTTTGTTTTGTTATTTTTCATGAAATTGCAAGGATTTTGTTAGATATATTTGGAAATGTTTTTCCTTTTGCAGAGTGTTGGTGAGGTTGGTGGAGGAGTATGGAGTGAAGAGATGGTCGCATATTGCTCCTATGCTTCCAGGGAGGGTAGGAAAGCAATGCAGGGAAAGATGGCACAACCATTTAAGGCCAGACATTAAGGTTAGTTTCTTTGTTGGATTTCTATTTTTTTTCCCTTAAATTCATTTTTCTTCTCTTGCTACCACCATGCACACACACTATACTTTGGAACATTTACTTCCTACATATCTTTTTTTTTTTAATAAAGCGTGTTGTTCTTACCATTTTTTTTTCTTATCAAATTTTCTCATGAATTCATGTGCTACAACAATATTATAGGGGTGAGGAATACTATGGGAACCTAATTTGCTGATATAATTTGTTAACCTAATTTATTGTGACTTTTGGATTGATTGTAGACTATCAAACATTAGAAGTTGATGTTGATCTAATAATTTTTATAAAGTTACATCATTATGTCAATAAATTATGTCAGATTTTTAGGTTAAAATGACATACTCTACAGAGATTTAGTGGTTTTCACCGAGTGCACAATTCGCATTAATTGGCAAAAGAAAGTTGGTAAAAAGTTGGTGTATAAGACGTTACAATTCCTAGGTTATACTCACTTACACCAGGTTGCATGCACGCACTCTTGTCTTGTCTGTATGCAAATATTCAAAAAATCAACTATCGTTTTGTAAAGTATTTTAAGTAATAAATAATTTCATCATAAAAGCAACAAAATTTATAAATTGCTCTATAATAAGAATGATATATATGAATTTAATACCAAAAAAAAGCATACTTATATATGCACCTTTGTATACTACTATAGTGTTGGCTCGTGCGATGCACGAAAATCGCACAGATCTCCTTCCCCCTTCCCTGTCCACCTTTATCTTCTTTTTTTTTTCTTTTGTCATCATTAATCATGCCATTTAAAAAATTGGGTAGAAAATAATTAAAAAAAACTAGGGTGATAAAATAATTATGTAAATTTATGGTGGTGAAACTATATTTCTAAAAAAATTCAATTAATTGCTTGTTTTAAAAAAAAAAATTAAATATGTGATAGTTAAGTGAGGTAGAGGAGTAATTACATGAGACATATGTCAGAATATAATTGGTTAAATGATAATTAAATAATTAAAATTCTAAAAAAAAAAAAAAGTGGGAGGGAAGACTCCTCAAGTTTCCTCTCATCTAATTTGATTGTTTTATATATATAGGTACTATTGGTTGGCCACATGCGTAGCACGAAATTATAATTCATATTTTTAATTTTATTACTTGATAAATTAAATAAATATTTATATTTAAGTTTTTGGATGATAAAAAGTGTTTGTTTTTAAAAAAAATTAAAAAAAATAATGGTTAATTATTAAAGAGTTAGTGGATAGTTATCAATGCCACATGTCAGCCTCTAATTAGAGGGAGCATCTAATTACCTCGGACTGGACTCACCAAATAACTCAGGAAAATAACTTAAGTATCACTTGGGCATTGTTGCTGGTGTTCATCGTCCAAGTGAGTTATGTGCATTGAATGCCTTCTGGATTGGGCTAATAATCGAGCCGAGTTACTCAAATTTGGCTCATTTTGAGTTCAGTTTAAGTTCAACTTGTTAAAGTTAGTCAAACTTGTACAATTTTTTATGCTCATTTAAAAAAATGAACCTAAAAAGTTAGATTTGAGTTCGTAAAATTTGGCTATTTTATATATAAAATAGTCAGAATTACTTGAACTTGACTCGAATTTTACTCATTTTGGACTCGATTTGGACTTGGATCGTTATCTAAACGAACTAAATTTGAACAATTTTTTAGACTCAATTAAAAAAAAAAGAATTCTACAAGCTAGACTCGATTATCAACCATACCTCTGGAGTTCAGTGACATCAAAGCAATAAGAAACTTCAGAAATTGCCCCTTAGTTTTCAATAAATTGCCTCATCGAGCTAAATTTATTCTCGCTTCATCAGTTATCACAATTATAACTTTGCTTCTCTTTTCCTGATCTTGAATCACTCCAAATGTTTACTTATATGCAAAATTTTATAATTTTGGTTCTGATTTGTAAATCTTCACTTGACAATGTAGAAACTACATGCAGTGAATTATTTAGTACTAATTTTGGAGCATTACATGATATAGGATCATTATTTAAGGTACTGATTTGTACATACAAAAATCATTGCTTTTAATCGGACCAGAGAGAGGATTAGTCGAAATGTGTATAAATTGATTCGGACATCCCTAACCGTTAAAACTAAAAAAAATTTAAAAAAAAAAATCATTGCTTTTTATCTTGCTTGCCACTCCAAAAATTGCTTATTTGGAAACTAGGACAAACTCGTCATGGTAGTTTGGATGAATACTCAAAGATTACTATCTCGATGTCTCAAATTTAAGTCTCGCAAGAGACCCGTTGGTTAAACCCATGGGCGTGGTCCGTGGTTTGAGGGTTATAGGGTGCACACTCACATACACACAACACACTCATTTGTTCATTGCATTTTGCAGAAAGAGACATGGTCCGAGGAAGAAGACAAAATACTAATCGAGGTCCATAAACAAATGGGAAACAAATGGGCAAAAATTGCACGGAGTTTGCCCGGGAGGACTGAAAACACTATAAAGAACCACTGGAATGCTACATTAAGAAGGCAATTTTCATCACCTAAAAGCCACAATCCAAAGTGTGACACCCTCCTACAAAACTACATCAAAACCCTGATTCAATCTCCTGGTGAAACTGAAAACCCATGCCCAGATTCGCCCTCGCGAGAGATCGATACCTTGATCAATCCACAACTTCAACTTGGGAGCTCCAGTTTCGAGTTTGAGCTCGAGCCTAAACATCAGCTACTCCAATCTGATGATGATGAGACTGATGAGACAATAAACTTTTCTTTTGGTGCAAAAGTGTTTCCTCAAGGAGGATATAGTGTTAAGAGGCCTTTGGAATTGGATACTCCGGTGCAGTTTGATGAGAGGAAAGAGATGGACTTTTTGGAGATGCTCACTCATGGAATTTTCTGAGCTGTGTTTGTATCTGGTTTTGCCTATCCTTTGATGTGTTTACTGTTTACTGTTTACACATGGTGCAAATTGATGGGATAGTAGTAAGGAATTGGCATGGTGGTGTTGGGGTTTGTTTTTTAGTGTTTATGACTTGTTACCAACTTTCTGTGTAAAGTTAAACTCGGGTTAAAACATGCAAGGATTAATAAAGTGTTTTGTTTGGTGTAATGATTAATTTGAAAGAAAAAAAACATGAAGTATGTGAAGCACCCAGCGCATGAAGCCGTGTTAGCCTTCATAATTCATGCACAGAGCAGCATGCGTGACCTACCCCTCGGCAGGCCGTATGCATGGCACTTTCTATATACATGTGCTTTTGTGCATGACTAATGTTTTCTGGACCAAATTTTATTTAACGTGGATGATTGGATTGTCTGCGTAGTTGGATCTTCAAGCTCAAATTTAACGTTCGATTTTGATGAAATTTTAATATGTTGTTCAGGACAATTAGAACTACGAAGTAATCAATTTATTTTATCAAAAACTTCTCGGATTGATATTTTTGCAAAACCGATATATTATTATTATTTTGTTGCATCTTATTCTTTTTTTTGGTACAAAAAATAAATATATAGATAAGTCACTCTACATATCCATCAGAGAGTATTGTCCCTCAGCACCACACAACTACCTGCTGAGAACCCCACCGCACCTACACGTTGCTTATTTGTTGCCTCGCATTCCAATTGGGCCAAGGGATTTTTCTTAATTTGCTTTTTTTTATTGAACCTAAAATATTGACAAAATTTATTGACCTTATCAATCATTATCATCAATTTAATTAAAGGTTTTAATATTTGTTTGAATCCACTATCAATTCAATGACTGTGATTGATAAGATTAGTAAATCATATCAATATTTTAGGTACAAATAATATTTTTTCTATTGTGATTCTTTTTTCATTGTAGAGAGATTCAATAAGAAAAGTAATATATATATATATATATATATATATATATATATATATATTCTATCTCTGAATACATTATATAATATCAAATTAATCTTGCAATGTTTTTATTTTAAATGATAATTTAGTTTTTTATTACGTAATTTATAATTAAAATAAAGAGAGAGGTAGGTGTAAATTGATGAAATTGTTTGATATTAGAGAGTGTGTTGATTAGATTATCTAACATTGGGAGTCGTGCAGAAAAATTAATGTTTTTGGGCAAAAAAAAATTTGAGATGAATTTTATACCATTAGATCAAAATAGATAGATTAAATCTTGACCGTTATTTTACTTTTATAAGTTGAGAATTTAATTTTTTAACTATAATATTAGATAAATATAAATGCTATTGATATAAAGCAACAATAACCAATATTGGATCATTAGCTAGATTTAGTGATTTTCACTGAGCGCACAATTCAAATTAATTGACAAAAGAAAGTTGGTAAAAAGTTGAGCATTATTGTTCCTAGGTCATATGCACTTACACAAGATTGCATGCATGCGCTCTTGTATTTATATAGATATTTGAAGACTCAACTATCTATTTGCAACACTTTTTTTAAGTAATAAATAATGTCATCATAAAAGCAAAAAGCAAAAAAAATTATGATTCGCACTATAAAAAGAATGATCTATATGAATTTATTAGCAAAAAAAAAAAAGTATACTATTATATATGCACATTTGTATACTATTATAGTGTTAGCCCCGTGTGATGCACGAAAGTTGCACATATTTCCTTCCCCCTCCCCGTCCACCTTTCCCTTCTTTCTTTCTTTTTTTTTTTTTCTATTTGCATCATACTATTTAAGAAATTGGATAGATAATTATTTAAAATAAAAATTTACGGTGATAAAATAGTTATGTAAAGTTATAGCGGTGAAACTATGTTTCTCAAAAAAATTAAAATAGTTCCTCTTTTTTTAAAAAAACTTGAATGAGTGGTAGTTAATTAGTGGGAGAGAGGGGTAGTTACATGAGACATGTATTAGAACATAATTAGTTAAGTGAAAATTAAATAAGTGAAAATTCTAAGAAAAAAGAAAAATGGAAGGAAGACTTCTTAAGTCACCTCCCACTTAATTTGATTGTTTTATGTGTATGGACTAGTTATTGCTCGTGAATGAAGACATTGAGTAATAAAAAAAATTATTAGTCATAAACATATTTGTATTTACACCCAAAATAAAATCATAAATATAAAGGAGAAAAAAATAAATTTAAATATTGGTTGTAGTGAAGGTGAGCAGTAGTAGTAGTGGAGGGTGGCAACGGTGGTGGTGGGAGACGGTGATGATTGTGGTTAATGGCAACGACCGTGGTGGTGGTGACAATAATGGATGGCAACAATAATAGTGATAGTGAGTTTTGAGTAACGATGGTAATAGTGGTAGTCATAAATAACGACAGCGATGATGATAGTGGTGGGGGTGGAGGTGGTGATCGTAGTGATGGTGGTGGTGGAGCGGTGACAGTAGTGTGGTGGTGGGGTGGCAACAATATTGGTAGTGGGGTAGTGACAGTGGTAACGTGTTTTGTAGAGAAGTAGAAGTTTTTTTTTTTTTATTACTTACTTATTTAAGTGGTAAAATTATTTTGACTTATTTGAAAGTAATTAAAATAAATCATTTCAAACACTATTTTTTTAAGTGCTTAAGAAAAATCATAAGTCCTATAAACACTTTTAAAAAATTGCCCAAAACACACCCTTATGTTATTTTTCCTAATAAATTTAGGGAGTTAATATTACCGGTCGGATTAACTTTAAAGTAAAATTTAAAACGATTTTAACCGCGAAAAACAAAAGGTATTTTTTATGATGTACTTTATTAGATAGATATACATTGAATTAACTTATAAAGAAAAGAGTAATTAGTTCGAACAAGAAAAAAGTGAAAAAATAGAACGTGCAAAAACAGTAGATGCTAAAAAGCAAGAAAGTATGTGAAACAGGTAATACCAAGTAAAATCTTACATTCGACATATATTTTAATTTTAACACCTCGAACATAATATCAAAAATTGAATTGATGCTGTATTATTTTTATTTTAAATAATAATTTAATTTTTGTTACATAATTTAAAATTAAAATGAGGAAAAATAAGTGTACATTGATACGATTGTTTGACTTTAAAAAATGTGTTGATTAGATTGTCCAGCATTGAGATTTCGATAGAAAAGTCGATATTTTTGGATAGGAAAAATTTTTTGGATGAATTTCATACCATTGGATTAAAATAAATAGATCAATCTTGATTGTCGTATTGTTTTTGTAAGTTGAGAATTCAATATTCTAACTAGATAGATTAGTTATTGTTTGTGTCTGAAGGCACAAAGTAATAAAAAATAATAAACAATAAATATATTTGTATTCATATTCAAAATCAAATCACAAACATAGAGGAGAGATAAATGAATTTAAGTATCAGTTGTAGTAAGGGTGAGAGGTGGTGGGTGGCAGTAGTGATGGCAGAAGACGGTGTTGATTGTGGTGAGTGACAATGACCATGGTGACGGTTGTGGAGGCGATTGTGGTGGTGGTGGTGGTGGCGGCGGCAGTGGCAACTGTGGCGATGGTGGTCGAGGCGTCAACTATGGCAACAGCGGTTGTGGCAGTGGCGGCGATGGTGGTAGAGGTACTGGTGGTAGGGATGGTGGTAGTAGAGATACTAGTGGAACAGTTTCAAATACTATTTTTTTTAAAAGTACTTATAAAAAATAATTCTTAAAAATATTTTTAAAAAATCACTTTAAACACACTCTTAGAGGCCTTTTTTTCTATTAAATTTAAAGTGATAATATTAACTGTTAGATTAACTTTAAAATAAAATTTAAAGTGATTTGAACCGCAAAAAACAAAAGTCATTTTGTTTATCTATTGAAATTTGAATGATAAGTTATTTTATTATATAGATATAGTAGATATTGTCTGTACCTAAAGGCACAGAGTAATAAAAAATAGATAAATAATAAATATATTTATTTTTTATCTAAAATCAAATCGCAAACATAGAAAAAACATAAAAAAAATTTAAGCACCAATTTGTAGCAGAGGTGAGAGGTGATAGTGGTAGGAGACGGTAATGGTTACGATGACCGTGGTGGCGGTGGTGGAAAGGAAGGCGGCGGTGAAGGTGGTGGTAGTGGCAGCGGCGATGATGGCGACGACAACGGTGGTGGCGACGATAAGAGGCAGCTACAATAGTGGTGGTGGCGGCAAGGGTGGTGGTGGTGGTGGCAGTGGTGGCGACGGTGGTGGTGAAGACGACGATAGTGGTGGTGGTAGAGGTAGTAGTGGGGCAGTTTCAAATACTATTTTTTTAAAAATATATATTTATGAGAAATAATTTATATAAATACTTTTAAAAAATCACTTCAAACACACCCTTAGAGACCTATTTTTCTTATTAAATTTATGGTGTTAATATTATTCATTAGATTAACTTCAAAATAAAATTTAAAGCGATCTAAACCACGAATAACAAAAGTCATTTTGTTTATCTTTTGAGATTTGAATTGTAAACTATTTTATTATATAGATATGCTCTTAATATAAAACAAAAACAAAAATTACCACTAATGGAATTGGAATTTTCATTTGTAGTCAGTGACTTCAAAAAATCAGAGTGTTGGTAATACAATTCATGCAATCTTTGGCTTTGGTTTAATCTGCTTCACTCTAGAATAAAGGAAGACTCCAGTAAGTGCCACAGCAGTTCCTGAAATCCAAAGCCAGACAGTCAGTGTCACAATGTTGCCGATGATTGGGCATGATTTGCCGATTATTAGAAATAAGGGTTTGTTTACCCATGGTGTTTATGGTTGAGACAGGCGTTTTGAAGAAGATAACCGAGGACACAATGACCACCACTCGTTTGACACAATTACCCACAGAGTGTGTCACTGGTGATACCATTTGTAGTATGTAATAGGAAACCTGCCAGTTGGAAAAAAAAACCCATTAAAGCAGAGCATGTAGGCAGTAAAAAAAAAAAAGGACCGACATAAAATTCGATTCAATGTATGAATGAGAACACCTCTGTATTTCCCTCTCGAACCCAATAAAAGTATAGGTTACTTGTGATTGTTTAAATATATATTACTCATAGCAATCAGTTTATTTTATTCAATTTTCCATTAAAACTAACAGGAATAATCATGACAAGGGTTTTGATTTATCCATTACATATTTTGTATGATTTAGAGATCAAATTTCTGACACAATTAAGAAAAAAATGTTGAATATGCGTTCCGAGAATGTAAAATTCCCTTGAATCGTACTACTGTTTGTCCCACTGGGGGGGAGGTTGTGTATCACCATATGTCCAATCCCATAGTATCTATTTGCACAATCGTGCATGAGCTCGTAGGAATCTTACTCATAATAAGCAAGAGGGCCGGGAAGGAGGGAGCGGAACCAGAAAGATTCCTTCGACAAATCTGCCCCGCCCCCGGGGGGGGGGGGTTACACCCCGTGCAGGGGTGCTACAATCAAGTACAAAAACCTCACCTGTTGATAAGAATGGAAGCAGACCCCAGCAAGAAGAGCTCTCACACAGAACTCTCTAAGATTTAACCCTTGACTTGCCTGGAGGAAAAAAAATAAAACCTCACTTATTCATGATAACAGAAGCAGACAATAAAAAATAATGAGAGCCAAATCCCTGCAAATATGTTTTCCTTAATTTATCTGGATCGCCAATCACCCATCGTGAATTGTTGGAGGATCAACGTATACATAATGAGTCCCACTTTAATTCATGATAGGTGATTGACCAGAAAAATTGAAGAAAATGTAGTAGAGGTGATCCTGCAGGTCAAGATAATCTCTACCATCTTAGAGACATCACTTACAGCAGATTGCAGGTATGACGGACTAAATTTGATGCCATCCATTAGTATGGCGGTTGGAGCGAGAAGGATAAAAGAAATGACTGTTAATACTGAGAAGAGATTGATGTTGTCCAACGCATCCTGTTCAGGACAGATAAAAAGTCATAACCTATGCACAATGTTCTCACATATGACCGGAGAGGCAACAACTAGTGAAACTAAATTACATCACCAAAAATAGTATGTAGATTAGGAAATTATACCTCTTTTCTGACCATGAACTTTTTACTAATTACGTTACGTGATTGGTTGGTTACATTGGAAGCCATAGCACTGCCAAAACCTATCCTGTTTCAAAATAAAAGAAATATCACAAGCAATAATCAGACAAACATTTCTATTTTGTTGATTATTTCCTTGCTGAAAAAAACCGCGGATTTGTCTGTTTACCAGTTAAAAGAGGCCTCGGTGAATGATGCCAATGCCACTCCACCTACAATTGGTACGAGGGAAGAAACTACCCAAAATGTAGGCCTCTGCATGCACAGAAGAGTTGGGCAGAAAGTTAAATGACTTCAATGTAAACCTTTTATGTACAAAGCTGAATTGATCTTTCCACGCAAACTATTCTTACATCCTAATAAAACCAAATGAAAAACCCTGTATTTCTACAACAATTTGTATGGTATTATTCAAAGAAATCAACCATTTTCTTCAAACGACGCGAATTAAATGGATTATTCAGATTTGACATTGACATGACCAATTTAATATTTGAATTGCTCGGTCAATCGAGTCATTTTGAAATTCAGGTCTTTATCGATTGTGTGTCGTGTCAAAAATTGGCATCTATTCAAGTAGTGGTCGCGATATTGTAGTGTAAATCCACTATGCATACAGACTACAGTTAAACTCAGCTACAACTGATAAAAAAAAGAAATATTCCCCCGGGGGGGGGGGGGGGGAGAATCCATACCTCCCCAAGCAACAAAACAGAGAGGACAACTGTGAAAAAGGGCTCCAAAGCTTTGATTGTGTGAGTGAACGAAACAGCAACTTTTCCAATACTAACGTTGGTCAAAAGGTTGCCCATTGTGTGCATCACAGCCAATGGTACGATCACTGCAAGCTGAAGATAAAACGTAGAAGAAACTTATCACATTTATACCACAACAAAAACCAATAGATGCAAGCAAATTCGAAGATAAATAAGCAAAAATTAAGAAAAAAGACCTGTGATTTAGTAAGCTTTGGTTTTGGATAAAGATTAAATGCCCACATCAACAAAACAATCACAGTCCCACACCCAAATTGGAAAGCCGTGACTGTTGCAGGAAATGGGTAGACCTTCAGAACCTGCAAACAAGAGATAGTATAATACATACATACATACACAAGTATGGAACATATATAATTTTTTCTACAGTTCAAGCCGCAGAGATAAAATCAAAACCCCATTTCCAAAAACCCAGAGCTAAATAGAGATGAAAAATCAAAATCCACAGAATTACAGTAAGGAAGAACACACACACACACACACACACACACACACAGGGAGAGAGGTTGAAGTACCTGTTTGTTGAAGAAATTGAAGTAGATGTTCAATAAATACCAAGTCGCAAACATACCCCCAAGTTGCAAAGTCCGCACCAAATCGTCTGGCTTTTCGGCCTCGTCGCCGCTTTCGGAAACCGAGGCAGCCTTGACTTTGAAGTCATTTGATTTTGGTTTCGAAAAAGATAGTGAAACTGGTCTAAGGCTATTGAAACTTGATTCAGAACGTAAAGAAGAAAGAGCAGTTCCATGAAATGAGTAGACGAATGCTTTAGATGATTTAGAACTAGGGCTGGTGGATCTAAGAAGAAGGTTTCGTTTTAAAGGTTTCCAAGTTTTGAGAAATGGAGTGGAAGGAGACAGAGCTAATAACGTATAGCTCCCCATTTCCAAATCTGTTGAAACAAGGTAAGAGACAGAGGGTCTCAAACGTTGCATGGGTACAAAATTGGTGATTGGTGATTGGCTTTGATCAAGCCTAAACAACAGGCTTCTTTTGGCAAGAATGATAAGACGTATAACCCAACCAAAGTGAAGTGTAACTCAAACAGTGGAAAGATTAGCTAAAAATTTAGAGGTTTTTAATTCGAATTTTATCAATTATTTAGAGAAATTTATTCTCGTGAATGTCATATTCTTGAATTGAAAAATAAATTAATCAAATCTTTATTTGACCGGAGCGAAAAAATAATTAGTTCGAATATTCTTAGTCGTTGAACTCAAAAAAAGAATGAGGAGATACCGGGCTTTGTGGTGCTAATTTTTCAAGCTATAACGTTAACACAGATGAATCAGGTATGAGATTTATAAATGGAAGTTGGACTAATTCTGGACATAAATTAAAAAATAATTTTACTCTAAATTAACAAATTAGTATAATTAATAAAAAATATACTCAATACACGAGATTTTCGTAACTGTGTAGCTGACAACGGACAGATACAAAAAAAAATCCACAGGTGGGAAGTGTGAACCAGAGAGATTACTTACTATGAGTCAGAACTGGTTTTGGATGTTAGTTTTGGGTGGTCCATGAGCAGAAAGCATTGGAAATGAATGGACAGTATGGCTTACATATCTTGTGTACGAATAGCATTCTGAATGAAAAATGTGGCAAGCAAGATTGGACTTCGAAGCTCATTCGTGTAGGCCGTCAATTTCTGCATGTTTTCTGATAATCCTGGCACACGAGACAGACGAATGACTAAATATCCGATTTATTATGCCATTTGGAGCAAACTATATAACAGGATCGTACTTTAGGTGGGGATTTTAGTCGAATTTGATTTAGATAGAATTTGAGTCAAGTTTGACTCATATTTTAAACGAATTAAATTTAACTAATTTTTTAAGTTTATTTAAAAAAATAAACCTAAAAAATTCAGTTCAAACTCACAAAAATCGTATCGTTTATAAATAAAATAATCGAACTACTTGGGTTCGACTCTATTCGGACTCTGTACATTTTTTAAACAAATTAAACTTAAACAATTTAGAAAAATGAACTCTATATGCTCGAATTCAAGTTTCCCACAAAATTTAACTCAATTATCAACACTACTAGTTAGAGGAATTGTGATTGACACCAGACATTAACTATGCATATATGCTGTTACAATGAGCAATCATTTCATTAAAATTTATAATAAAAAATAAGATAGATTTTAATAAACTGATTCGACGGTCTCAAATAGACTCATCTAACAGAGTCCACCAATATCTATCTCAAAATCATTTATATTAAATTTTTTTTTTCACAAGTTCATTACTTCTCAATTACGTTGCATGAGACTTTAGACACGAATTATCACTAATATATCTATAATAGAGAAAAAAAACACTTTGGGATGTGTAAGTGTAAATTGGGCAAAGCCCCAAAAAAGAGACATAATAGAAAAAAAAATGCTACATTGACTAAATTTTAGTACCAAATCAATAGCCCAAATATCATGGTAGTTAATTTGAGATTCTTTATTTTGTGTCATGTCATTGAATTCCAATAAAAATTATAAATAATATACTGTCATGTCATTTGTGCTCTTAATTTGGTCCCAAAATGTGAACAACATAGTATTACTATAATAGAAACCCCCAACGGGTCTGACCATAGATTGGGTAAGGCCTCAGGGCCTGGGTGAGTAAGAGCTAGAGTTATCCCACATTAGATAATTTTAGGGTGTGTGATGTGTTTAAATGGAACTTATAGCCCTCCAACTTTTAAGTGTAAGTGATTATAGATATCCTATGTTAAAAAAATAAAAAAAAAACCCAACGAGGAGAACATGAAAAATAAAGTGCCTTCAATGAGTATAGACCTCTTGACCTTTTGGTTTGACTAATCTTAGGAGAATAAAGAGTAATCAATTACGCCAGGTCCACTCGATTATTACACTACAAGAGAGGGCAGTACAAAAGTATTTTCCAAGGACAATTGGCCAATCTATGAGAATTTTCCAACATTATATACCACCTCAGTCCAATTTCAACGAATAGCGTTCAATAATTAGCTTAAAGACTTCACCATAATACATCCTTCGCAATGCAAACCAGTCTAAACTTCAAGATCACTAAAAAAATGAAGCTCCCAAGAGAGTTGGGTGGAGGCCTTTCTTCATATCTGTCCCCAAGCCTTTCATACTCCAAAAAAATGGAAATAATAGCAAGCCGAGAAATAGTTCTTTTAAGAACTTTCTAAGTGATCAGGAGAAGTAACCAATGCACAAGCAATGGAATGACCCAGATGTAATACTGCAAAACTTTTCTGTAGTATCAATACAAAATTCTAAGTGACACATTTGAGTCTAGCAAATGTCAAATAGCCGGTGTGACCTCTTGCTTCACCGGATGTCCTAGCCATGACTGTGGGAGAACTAGAAATCTCACTCCCATTCCTTCCTTCACTTGAAGGCTGCCTCCTCTTGCAAGGAAGAGACCCAAGGGAACTGCCTTCATCACCTTGGCAGCTCTCCATTTTTACTTCTCGGACCTCATATGTGCGCAGGAGTATCTCAAATGTTCTTATATCTACAGAAGCAAAAGATGTACAAAAATCTATCAGCGAATGCTTTTCAAGGTACTAGAGATTGCAAAATTGTAAGAGTTGAGGAATAAAAACACAAACTCTTCAAAAATAAGCCCCCAACTAATTCTCAAATTCTATAAGTTGTTGCAGAAAATCTTACCAGTAAAATTTGATCTAAGAGCTTCTGATGAATGTTGTACTTGCTCAATGCATGGAGAGAATGAGCACAAGATCCCATCTTGTTTCAACATTTTCCCAGCAGAAGGAATGGCCAGCCAAGGTTGAGGTAGGTCTAGGAAAACAGAATCTGCCAGCCCACAAAAAATGTCAGGAAACCCCTCACCCTGAATATCCCTGACTGCCACCGTGACTAAGCTGCTAAGTCCTGTCCTCTCAAAATCCTCCCTGTTACAATGGAAAATTACAAATGAGGCATATGTGAGGGTGTGAGGGTGAAAGAGAGCTGATATTATTTTATTATCAACTTGCACACAATCCAGAGTTGTATGAACATCAGATAACACCACAAGCACACATCAAAAAAGCTATATCTCACCTGGCTGAGGCAGCCCTATGTTCATGGAAATCAAATGTATGTACATGTCCGGTGGGTGCAACAGCCCTTGCAAGAGACGTAGTTAAAGATCCACTTCCAGTGCCCGACTCAAGAACCAAACAACCAGGAATTATTTCCAAGTACATGATAACAAGGCTAATATCTGCGATGTACAGTATCTGAGTTCTGTGACTCAGAACCAAAGTCCACAGCTCAGGGGTTGGAGCTAACAAGTAAACAAATCGACCTGTGTTGCTGAACACCTTGGAACCAAAAGGTTTCCCGATCCAGTCTGAATGCTTGAATACACCAAAACGATTCTGAAGAACCCCAGTATCACATACTTTAACAGCCTTCATGTTATCATGTCTCTCATACACAATTACCAAATCCCCATCAGCAATGCAGCGACTAAATGATAGTTTTCTTGAGTCAGTTGGCAGCATGATTCAAATCTTTGATAAAGTAGTATAGGGTCAGAAAAAGCAACTGCTAGCCAAGATGATACTTTTATGGAGCGGAAGCAAAAGTAGCTTGTCAAAAATCTAACAACAGAGGATATCTGCATTTGACAAACAGCATATGCGTTCAATTTTTTCGTGCTCTATTAAACTACCAATAAAATTGGTGCTATATATCCTAGATAAAAAAATGTAAAATACACAATTAATTGAAAATCCTTGTGGCATCTGAAGCATTAGTTTTCATGAATATGCAATTCTGAGTTAAAAAGAGAGATCACTAACCAAAAAAAAAAAGCTGAATTAAATGAAAATCAAAAGTTAACATGCAGCTCCCCTGATCCACATTGCAAAAGCTATAACTTGGATATAAGTAACAGGACATCCTCAAAATCTAGTGCGTTATAGTATACAACATGAAATTCCCAGGGGAAAGATGAAAGTGAAAATGTGATGGCCAATAGAGAGAAGCACGAATAGAATATAAACATATGCAAACAACGTAACTCCTGCATAGAGAACACACGTGAACATAAGTAAAATTGGAGATTAGTTTCTACCAATACAGCAGTCTAAATATTTCATGAGTAAGACCATGCACCTTCACATGCTCTTTTTTTGCAATAACAGCAAGGTTGCAGAAAGATGAAAACAAAGACTGAATTTGACGGTGAGAGCATGGAATCAAATTCGAGTTCAGTTTCGACAAATTTTCAAAATCAAAATCAGAACAAGTCCCCCAATGGTCATGCAAATTTCAGCTCTACTCCGAAGAAGCCTTTGACCTTCGAACAGGTGGCGTGGATTTGAAATCTGCCCAGCCCAAATATTCAAGTCTAAATGGGCTACATGGATTGGGGGCTAGGGTTTAAGTGTATATCATAGATTTATACGTGCGTTCAGACCTTAGTAGCACTAATCAGCTTATCTCAAACCAGGATGGTATTTACATGCAAAAACCGACATATATGACATATATACATACTAGAAATTGCCAGGCACTGCATAGAAAAAAAAAAAAAAAGCATCCATTAGAAGAGCGCTAAATTAAAAGGCATACCGCATAGAAGAACACTAATGACATTGTGGAATCTACATTTCATTACATCAGCATCCACTATTTCAACATTCAACTATTTGTTCAGCAACACTACTACAAACAACATATAACTTGTAGCTATGATTACACACATGAATCTCATATCAAGATAATTAGTATGAAAACAAATTTTGATAGTTGATATGAACCAACTTTTATTTTTAAAAAATTTCGACAAAGTTTCCTTTGAAAACATGATCTCTACACAATATCAACATGTGCGAATCTCATTACATCACATCATTACAACTATTCATCAACTACTGAAATATAATATTTCAAATACAAACGAAATTAACACCAAACTTAAACTAACAAGAATAATTAAGTCCATCCATTCCCTCCGTAGAAACCAAATAACCCCAAAAATCAAGCCATTATGTTTCACCATCTTTGTACCTAAAAAATAAAAATGTATACCTCATGCAATCATAAAAAACTAAAAGCACCATAACAAGTGGCCTAGCACTCGACCTTGAAATTGACCTAGCTAGTGTCCGTGCCATTATTTATTGTTTTTTTTTTTTTTTTTTGGGGGGGGGAAATGATTACTCAGTCAAGTTATTATTATAACAAAAAAAAAAAGTTACTTCTATATCATACCCAAGAATCATATATAATCCGTCCCACAGGCCCAAGAATCATAAATACACTCACAGCCCAATCCAAACCTTGTAACCTCTAAATCACATCTAATATTTTCAAGGCTCTAACCTGTCAAAAGAGGTAGTAAGGAATCGTTACATGCCACTTATAGAGCCACAATGAAATAATTAACTGCACTCACATATAGAGAGAGAAAGAAACTGGATGTGTGTGGCGGCTTACCAGAGTATGTACTTGGAGACTTGGTCAAGGAGATTGATGAAGGGGGTGGAGGTCAGAGATTGGAGAAATTATTGTCTAGTGAGAGAGATGAAGCGAGAGAACACAGTCGCGTAAGACGTTCGGAGCCTGCGAATCGTCTACAGTGAGAGAGAGAGAGAGAGAGAGTGACTGAGTGAGCAAGACATTCAGATAATTAGGGCGGCCGAACATTTTTGGTTTTATAGAAAATCCCTAACCCGCCTGTGTCTATAAGATTCTTTCGGGTCAAGCGGGTTTAAAAAAAACAATCTGGATCATCCGATTTTTTGACGGGTTTTTTAGAATAATATTGATGTTTAATCCAACCCGGCCCGATTCACCAGTTGATCCGACGGTCCGAACAGATTGTTTCCAAAAGATATGCGGGTGCCAAAATATAAAATAACACGTTAACGCGTTACGATATAAAATTAAAAGGTTTAAATATTTCTCATATAAAATTAAAAGGTTTAAATCTTTCTCAAATCACTTGTTTATTAAACGAGTGGATTCGACACGATACGATTAATAAACGAATCAAATTTTAGTGAAGCTTGATAATGTACAAATAAGGTTTGTACACCACATGTCAAATAATCGGTAATAAATATAATAATAAAGTAGAGAGATATAGAGACACAAGTAAAACAAAGATTTATAGTGATTTGGTCAAGGTGACTTATGTTCACTTTAAATGACTAAGGTCGTCGGGGGTATTTTATTACTTCAAAGACTGTAGAGAGAGCAGGGAGATACAAGCTGAGACATATGGGAGAGATGTGCTCGACTGAGTATGATGCCCTCAAATGCTGGCGGGACTTACAATTTATAATTGTCTCGTAACAAATTAGGACGAGTTTTTAATAACTAAGTGACTAATCTGGTAGACTTGGCGTCCAATCCTCAACGGATGAGACAGTTACTGTGTTCTCCATAAGATTCAATCAAATGATGACGTAGAGGTTGAATTTTTTCAAGACGACGCGGATGAGGCTCTCGAATGACTCTGTTTACTCCCTTGGGGAAGCTTGGCCGGGCGTAAACCCCTTTGGACTAGATATTGGATATTTATAAGTTGGATTCTTAATTTAAATTGGACTTGTAGAATGAGTTGGCCATTAGGCCTGATCCATCAAAGTCAATCAAAAGAAAAACACGTCATAACTCGTTTATATACTAATTATCCATTGTTCATACACGACATGAACTCGATATGGCATAAGTTGTTAAACACGAATTAAAAAATAAATCAAATATAAATAAAGTGTCTTTTAACAAAACCCACTAAAATCCGACACAATTAACATGTCAAATGTTGATACACCCAATTACAAAAAAGTAATATAAGACTGATAGAAAAATAAAACTAACAACAAAGACTCAAAAATATGTGACATTGATTTCATGTTGATTTTTATCTTATTTGTATTAATTTAAAATTGAATTTTTATTTATTATATCAACACCATATTATTTAATTATCGTTTTTTAATTATTTTTTGTCACTCTATGATTCCCACAACATAATTTGTTAATTTAGTCAAATTTCATAATCTCCCCACTCCGTGTATGTTCGAGGACTGCTACACTTGCTTCCATGGATGGTAATGGCTTAATTTGAGAGAAGCACACAAAGGAGATCAGATCATACAAGCTTCCAAAATATTTTGTGAATAAGGTTGATAATCAAATGAGTTTGAGTTGAATTTGTCAAGAATTGTTTAAGTTTGTCTCGTTTATTTAAAAACGAGCTGAACCTGAATGAGTTTTAAAATTAATCGAATCCGAGTCAAATTTGAATATTTACACATAAATGAGAAAAATTTGTCTAAGTTTAAGTCGAGAATGTTAAGCTCGTTTTCTAAACGAAGGTTAAAAATTGTTAGCCAAACTTGAGCCGAGTTTGAAAAGCTCGGTTCAATTATTAATCCTATTTGAACATGTTCGCATTTTTATACAAAAGTAAAGTAAGAAGAAGGTACTTTTTTCCACATAAACCAAAAAATATATGGTGCCCAATTCAATATTAACCGAGATCAACAAAAAAATATATCAATATTTACCAGGAGCTTTACAATTCAAAACAGGGCAGCTTAAGGTAATTTGAGGTCTAAACGATAATTTATTTTGAGATTTTTTTTATTTTTAGTGCTAAAAATTTGATTAAAATTATTTTTTCTCATTTTTTGAGTTGTAAAAGTATAAATTGAGTATTTATATTTAAATTTTGTTATCACATATTTTTTATTGATAATATCGTTAATCCAAATATATTTTCTTGTGATAGTCGATTTTAAGTAAAATTTTAATTTTAAAAAGTTTCTTTTTGTAGAAGTAATTATTACAAAAATTAATAATAATATTCTATAAACAGTGTATACATTTGAGGAAAAAAATTTAGTTTTTTTTTATATAATTTAGTGTCTCAATTGGAGTATTTTCTTTCATATATAAAATCTTCTTTAAAATATTTTATTTTTAAAATAAATCTAAACTACCAATGTCAAAAAAATTGTTATGTTTTAAAAAATAACCAAGATCAAGATAAATTTTTTTAAACCATCAACATTTAATAATTTTATTTTTTAAGTTAAATAAAAAAAAATCTTTATTTGAAATTGATATGGAGAGAGAGTGAGTGAGAATGAAAATGAGAGCGAGGGACTTTTCTAATAGGTGGATGAATTATGACTTGACTTTTGAGTATATTATCAATTTTTTTAATAAAATTTTGATTTTTTAGGTTTTTATTATTTTGAGTTGAATCATGAGCTCAAAAAATTATTAAAATTAAAATTTTTTATTGGCCTTAAATTTTAACTAAGGCTTTTTTGTAGGGTTTATAATTTTCATTTAAAAATTAAAGTGGATCACCTATTTACCTAAAAAAGAAATTTGAAGGCTGTTTCCTTTTTGTAGACTTATTTGGTGATAAGTCCATCAAATAAACTTGTTTAATATTAAGTTTATTTTGATCTCCATTGTTCAAAATACCCTCATTAGTTATATTTAATTACAACAATTTTAAAAACTAACAACTCTTAAATTTTAGAAGTTTGATTAACATTAAAATTTATCTCTCATATCTATTTATATCCATATATAGAATATAACTATTTATTTCTTTTTCTCCCCCTCTCTCTCTCATATATATATAAATAAAAAATAGTACCATTTAAATAAAAAAAAAAAATAATAATATTCAACAATAAAAAATAATGACATTGAATATTAATATTTGAAAAAAATAACAGTAGTAACATAGTCAACAAAAAAAAGTAACATTGAATATTGGTATTTCAAAAAAATAGTAATATTCAATATTAATAATAGCATACTCATTAAAAAAAACTAACATGTTCAACAAAAAATAGTAATATACTCAACAAAAAATAGTAACATGTGTACAACAAAAAAATAGTAACATGCATAGTGATATTAAATATTAAATTAACCATAGTCTTCTTAACAAAAAAAAAAATGAGAGAGAGAGAGATGGTAGTGATGTAAAATTTAAATTTGAATTTCAGATTTTATGAAAAAAAAAAACTTTCATTAAGTATGAATCAAGAATCACTGTTTAAGAAACTGATTTAATATTGAAGATTATTTTTTAAATCATTAGAAGAGTATTTTAGAATTTTAAAAAATAATGAACTTAACTACTTATTAATTAGATTAAAAACGAACTTACCTCCAAATAAGTTTCATTGATGAACTAAACTCATTATAAATCTCTTAAGGAAGAATTAATCCTAGTTTTCACTACCTAAAATTATGGGATCTAAAACCCAGACTTTTTCTCTTTTTACAGTTGGGTCAGTCCTAGTTCAAAGACGTCTGCTCAATAAATTTTAAATGAATAAATTATTTGAATCTAAAAATTTGACATCATTTGCTAACATAAATGACATAACTTCATTAGAACTATTGGATTAACGCCCAAGTTTCAACATTTGATGGGACCTGCAACTAATCCAAATATTACAGTGAATTAAGTCAGTAAATTATGTCAATAAATTATGTTCCAATAGCATTGCTCATTTTAAAATTTATTAGGTTAAACTTAAAAGTGTAAGATTGATTCTAATTGACCCGTGCATTTGGAATCATCAGACAAAACAATAATAGAAAATTCAGGAAAATTTACTCGAACGATCTTAAAAACTTAAGATTAATTCTAATGATTCGTGTATTTGGTACCATTAAACAAAACAATAATGATGTTCAAAAAAAAAAAAAAAACACTAATAGAAAATTCCCTGAAAAAGCTTAGACAAAAACTTTGAAAAAATGTATGGATTGCAGTGTGGACTGGTCACATGTCTGACGGACAAGCAAGCAACTTCATCATGTTGTGAGCCACAAACAAAACCATGATTTTTATTTTTTCCATATGAATAAGTTGGGGTCTATTTGCCATCAGACTTTCCTCGATCCATTTGTATTGAAGCAAAATTATAAAAATAATAAAAAAAATAATAATAAAAATATTCATAATAGTAATAAAAATAAATACATAATTGATAAATCATAAAAAAAATATAAATTTTTTAGTTATAAAATAACCTACAAACGTTATAAAAACACCTTTTAGAGTATTATGTTTTTGAGGTATGATTCTAACTTTTTTTTGGTCGTAGTTAAAGTCCAAAAAAAGGTGTTAAAATAAATTACGAAACGTATGAAACGCTATTTTCTCAAAACACGAAGGGGCAGGTAGTCATGCCTAATGTTTTTTAGATCAAGTAAAAGTCACTGACCATACACGTGCTTTAGACCATACAAAGCCCATGCTACCTTGTACACACGTCAGATGGTTTTGTCAATTTTTTTTTTTTTGGAATTCAACGGTGTGAGTAATATCATGATTAATTTGTGTATATTTTGATTAGTTTTTAATCTGATTTGATAAAGAATAATTTAATTCGTACCGAGATTAAAATATTCTTGACAATATTTTTTTTTAAGAATAACATTTTTTGAAAAAAAAGTTCAAAGTGTGGATTCTCCGCATATCGAAGAAGAAAATTCAGGATATGTAAACTTTCCGGGAAAATTCAGGATCTGTCTAGGCTGTTCCTCAACCAGACCCATTATGGTTCAATATTTTATTATATTATATTATTTCCGTCCAGAAGTCGGTCAATGCTAGAATAGTCTGTGAACAGCCGTTGTTGTCTGGATAGATCATGCATACAAACAAATACACGTGTCATCAAATTAAATAATTAATTTATAAAAACACGATAATAATTAAAAGAATAATATTATTGAGACAGATCAAATTATTTTAATTAAAATTTATTTAAATTATCATTTTAATTTAATAATTCAACATTTATCCCAAATTTTTATTTTCTGGTTCAAAAATATTATCTTCACCCCAGTCCCCCAAACAACTCGTCCAACGTACTCTCTCATTAATTTATATCCACTTCTTTCTTAATTTTTTTTATATTTATTATAATCTTAAATTATTATTTAAACTATAAATATTATTGTACAGTTAATATTTAATTTTTTATATTATAAAATATATTCAGACCCAAAATAATATTGGAGCACATATTACGTGTAGAGCTTCGTTATGAGGCGTGCTTAAATGCGATACCGTCCGATCCATTGATATGATTGTTGTCGGAGAGAGACTTGACTGGAGCATAGTTTTCTAAGCAACGGTACACAAACAAAGAGAACAAGAAAAAACTTCTGTATATTTTCTATCTATTCTCGTAAGTTTCCCACTTTTTTTTCTGGAATGCTCCACTTTGTTGATCTCATTTGTTATGCATCTTTGTTGAATGTGAAAGAAATTTGTTTTGTGGGTTTGCCATCAATTAAATGCCTACAAGGTGTTTGTTATGTGAATATGTATGTAGATTTTGAGTAGATAATTTTTAGATCGATCAAATGGTCTGCCATTTGGAGTTCTGGGTTCAGATTTCTATGTGGTAATGTTATCTTGAGGAGACTGTGCAATCTAGAATTTTGTGGCTTGATAGTTTTGAGTTGGGTAGAGCACCACATTCTTCTATTCAAGTTACAAGGAAACAAGGGATTGCTATGGTTATTAAGTTTGATCGTTGGAATCACTATTTACAGGTTTATGGATTGTCTTGTTTAAATATACGATGATTATTGGATTTGATTATATAAATTACTCTAAATCCGTGTTTATTGGGGTTAAACCCAACAGGGTTATCTACCATTATGACTGAATTTGATTATATATAGCTTAATTGCCAAGGGCCTTGGTGCAGTGGTACAGACATGGTTTTACGGTTGCTCCATCATGACATAGGTTCTCATACAGTCGAGTCACAAAAATAGTCTCTCCGTACTCCGAATAAAGCTGCATCCACCTGTCTTGTGCACTGAGTTGTTCTTTTATTGTCCAAGTGTCAAGAAGTCAATGTGAGTTGAGAGGAAAAAATGCTATGCTCGTGTAGATGAATACTACCACCCAGGAATTGCATGAATCAAATTTGAAGCTGCTAATTAAGGTTACATGTGTGCAAACTGATTATAGAATGCCTTTGTTGAACAAAGCTTATCTCGTCAGCTTTTTGATATGGGACATGGCCAAGTAAGCATTTTGGTTGAGATACAGTTTCAGTGTCTTAAGGTTTTGGATTCATAAAAGGCTTAAATCTTTGGCACAATTGACATGATTAAGCTCCTGTAGAACATATATTCAAAGTATCTATTTGGACCTGTAGCTAGGCATAAGTTCCTCTCCTATAGAGGACAAAAAAATGGTCACTATTAACCATACTTCCACAGTAGTCCTTTTGGAGATGTGCCCTAAATCCAAATGTTCTCACATAAGCTGATCATAGACGATCCATCCTTTCAATTTTTTTTTTGGGGCATCCAAAAAATAACACGAATCCAGTTGGCCAATCTTGAAAAACTGCATGATTATCTGAACAAAGTTATTGAAATGCATAAACAATATGGATAGTACCCTTTTCATGAAGTTCAGAACCTTTTTTCCATTAGAGAGAAGCATGCGGAAAAATTAGAACATAAAACAAGTGGAAAAGTGTAGGGATATGTTTAGAAGTATTAATAAAATGTTTCTTATGCCTGTTTTGGGGATGGGTATCGGGAATATTTGACTGACGTCAAAATTAGGTTTCGTGTAAGACAGAAATTCAGAATCCCCCACACCCCCCAAAAAAAAAAAAAATTAAAAAAGCATATAGCAATATATTGTTTGGTGGAAACTGTTTCCTTTTTTTAATATTATATCACAGCAAAAATGACACCGTGTGTTTTAAACAGAATGCAGCTACAGGTGATTGGTGACCCTACTACCCTGAGTTATTGGTTGAACTGGAGGGTCTTGCTATGTGCAATATGGGTCTTTACATCCATGTTAATAGCATCATTTATAATATGGAGATACGAATATTTGGGACGTAGAGACTCTTACAAAGAGGGGACTCTGCAAGAGAAAGCTTGGTTTGTGGGTGAGGATGATTCTTGGAAGCCATGTGTGAAAGAAGTACACCCCATTTGTCTGATGGCTTTCCGGATATTTGCATTCTGTTTGCTTTTGGGGGTTAGCATTGTTGATGTTGTTGTCCATGGTGGTGACTTATTTTACTATTATACACAGTTAAGTCATCTTTTCCTTTGGCATTACGGATTCTGATATGACAAACTGGTACAACCAATATACATTGGTACTCTTGACAGCCATGCTGGTGCGCTGAATTTTCAAAAATAAATGATTGAATTGCGTCAACATTTGAACTATACTTCTGTAAATTCTTGACTGATAGATGATTTTCAGTTAAGTTTGAGTAATAGTTTTTTAATCTTTACTAACTACGTGTTTGTAATGTTTTTGGCTTTTTGATAGGTGGACTCTTACTTTGGTTACCATTTATTTTGGGGTATGCCTCTTAGCTCTCTTCTTCAGAGCCTTGAGTCCCAACTTGATTGATATTTACCTATTTTTATCCTCTGCACATCTTTTGGTGTGAATGAGACCTTATATGGATGCACATGCATTATCTGTGTTTATTGGAAATTTCTGTCTTGTTAGACATAAGATTTAAAAAATGCACTTGACTGCTGTCTAATTTCTTTGTAGTTTGGATCACTGCTCTCCATTTATGGATGTTACCAGCATCAGAAAATATGTAGCGGGATTAATGTCCATCATGTGAGAATGGATGCAGAGCAAGGATTATATGTGCCTTTCATTTCTGGGGAACCTGTGAATGGAATCGGAAAAGTGAAAAACTTGGATCATCATGGGAAAAATTTTGTTCTTCAAACTGCTAGAATTTGGGGCTATATGTTTCAAGTTTTGTTTCAGGTATACTCTCCCTCAAGATAGACCTTGCCACCGGAGAATATTGAAAAGTGATTCATGTAGCTATTCCAAGGAATTGGGACCAGGCTTGTTTGGTTTGGATAATAGCACGTGCTCTTTTTCTTATTTGTTTGTAATGTCTTCTATTACGCCTTCTTTCCTTGATTTTTGTCGTCCTTTTTTTCTGTTTATGCTACTACCTTCTTTCTTTCTGTGGAACTATTTGATAAGCTTTATTGTGTTCAATTGACATGGGAACTTGGTCCATCAGGAGAAGGCAGAGCAAGTTCTATTGCTTCTGGGTCTTTCTGGTCTAGGATTCCCATTTTTGAAATATGAATACCTGCATTAAGCATATATCTGGTGCTGTATTTGCTGTCATCCTAATTCAATTCTTATGTCAGTAGACTTGCTTTTTTTGTTGAAAATCTACATGTCATAAGGAATTGTACAACTTTTTTTTATGATTGCTTATGTTAAATGCACGCAAACTGCTCATGTTTTTTTTTTTTTTTTAAATTTTGTTAAACAGATTACTGCTGGTGCAGTGATGCTGACAGATATTGTATATTGGTTCGTAATTTTTCCTTTCCTTAACATCAAAGATTACGAACCGAATTTTGTAAGTACCTAATGCTTTAAGTAATCCTTTTGCTTCCATTCCTCAATTTATTTACTTTCCTAGAGCTATGCAAAAAGATTATTCATGACCTCTAGAAACCAAAAATTACATCCCTTGTGACTTGCAACAAATGCTTGATATAGTGGGAGCATCTTGGGTGATCCTGCAGGACATGTAAATTAATTGTGGGTTGTTAGCTAAGATATATCATTGCTCATGTGAAGATCATTGAAGGGGATTTTTTTCTGAATAGATAATACCACATGGGCTTTAATTATTTTCTTCACAATATGGGAAGATATTTTATGATTACTTGGTACTTATGAAGAAGAGGCTTAATATTATGGGTGGTGAGATGATGATAAGAATGCATAAACAACGCACTGTTATTGTTTGATTGTTGTTGTCAAGGCTAGCCACAACTCTTAGATATATTTGTGCTCTCTTTATTTAGGGTGGTATATTGCATGTGCTCTTCACAGCAGATGTATATTCCTGTCCTGATTTTCAGTCCCTGCTTCAAGCACAGATAAAGGAGAAAATATGCTTGGTTAGGGGAGTCGATGAAGAATGTATAATATAGGGGGGATCATGTCATAAACAGTTTCCATTATCACAGGTCGAGACATTTTTATGGGTAGATGAACATAATATTTTCTAGTGTAGTTGTATGGAATCGACTCAGTGATCACATCATTGAAGCAAAATCATCACCAGAACACATTCCTAGGAATCCCAGTTGCGAGTACTAAACTATAGCAAGCTGGTAACATAGCGATGAAAACCTAGTTAACAAAGGAGTGATCTACTTATTGCTTGGTTATGCAAGCTCTATAGCCACCTTAGATTTTAGGTGTCTGATTGGGTCCCAGAGATGACTGAGTAGCCAATATGACAGTGGTTGTGGTGGAGTTTGATTTTAGCCTTCAATTTATAAAGGGCACTAAGATTATGTGCACAATCAATGCATTCTCAACTCATGAATCAACCATTATATCTTGTGGTTGCAACTTGTGATGGTTAGTTGGAGCAGCATCAATTCTTCAGGGCTTGGTTTAAGTTTTGCTCTCAGCTTCACTCATTCTGTAACATGAACAACTTGAGTGAACATATAGGATTATGATGGTATGGGTATAATTCCCACTTTTTGTAATTATGAACAGCTTGCTCAATGTGCTACTGATTTAGCAGGCCATATATGCAATGATTTGTATCCGACTAACAATAAACCACATCCTACTAACTATGAAAAAAGTTGAGTAAAAAAGGTAACTTTAATTTCAACAGTGCATCCACTCCTACTGTCACCCATAAATTGTTGCCCACGGGTTTAGCATGTTCCTCTTTGTATTAGTCATAATACATTTGTTTCCAATCAATGATGAAGTTTTATATTTTCCTTGAGCAAAATATGCAAATATTATTGAAGGAGTCCTTGACTTTTTCTTCTATTCTTGTGGTGTTTCCTTTTCATTATGAACTATGTTTTCTTCTATTTTATGCCAGTCAACTGTCGTTGCACATTCTGTCAATGCCATTACACTTCTTGGTGATACAGCTTTAAATTCCTTGGTAAATTTCTCTTTTATTCATTTCTTTTGGTTTTTCTTTCTATTTTTCTTAATAAATTATGGTTATCTTTCATCTGTTTGGTTACAAAACACCTTTGAACAATTTTAATGTCATTGTTTCAGCGGTTTCCATGGTTCCGGATTTCTTACTTCATCTTACTGACTGGTTTTTACGTCATCTTCCAGTGGATTCTGCATGCCTGTGTCTCAATCTGGTATATTGGCTTCCCTTTCTCTTGCCCCATTGGAAAAACATGTTGGTTTCTGAGTCTTGGTGGCCTTCCTTTGTTACAGGTGGCCATACCCATTTATGGACTTATCATCATCATATGCTCCATTATGGTATGTTGTCTCCTATGCTTCATTGTCATGAAAGCTCTAAAGAATACAATCAGAGATAAAGTGGCATCATGTGCAAACAATGTTTAATTCCTCAAATTTTTACTCCAAATGGTTTGCATGCATAAAAACTGCATTGTTTAAGCACAGGTTTTCTAAAATTTCTGCATCATCTTAGCAAGTTTCTCATGAATTTCACTCACCATTGATTACTCCTATAAGATATATTAAAATGGGTTAGTTGAAAAAAATAATGAATTTCTGCCCCACGGTAGTCTTTTTTTTTTTCAGCAGCTGGGGGAGTTGGTGGTTGATCCAATTTTTAATTTTTTTTTCAAATTGTTTCAGGCCTGAGTTAATTGGTGCAAGCCATATAATTGAAACTATAAAACCATGGATCAGATGTCCATGGCTATAGTCACCCACCCTTAGATGCTATTCTTGAATTACTGAGCCCACCATTATACTTTTCTTTTCTTTTCCTTTGCTTTTTGGTTCTAAAATCTCTTTGAACATTTACATGAAATTTATTTACTGCTTCTATCTGATGATTTGCTATATTCTCTCTAATGATTTTTAGTTACTTCTTGGTGAACATTACCACAAAATTGATTTACTGTTTGTATCTGATGAATTCCTATATTCTCTTTAATGGTTTTTAGGTACTTGGTGGTGGCAGTAATGCATATTCCATGCTATGGGATCTTTGCCTTACTCGTGAGAATAAAGCATTATGTGTTTTCTAGATGGTTTGCTCGATCATATCGGTGTTAGCGATAAAAATTGTATGCTTGACCCCTCCAAATCCACAAGTATTGTTGTCTTTCAATTGCAATTAGGAGGAACCTGACTGAACAGAGCTGGTTCTTTTGAAGGTTCAACTTGAGACACTCAATACCTGGAGTTACTTGTGTCATGCTTTCCCTTATTATTTTCCGCGTTGGGAAGAGAAACTGTCATACACTATATGAATATCATCAGATTATTTTGTACTTGTTATGCACTGAAACGGGTATAATCTGGCGATCCTTTGATATAAAAGAAAAGAGAGGAAAGGAAAAAGGAAATCGCTATGTCAGGTGTGTTTTGGGTTGAGGTGGGTTCATGTCTAAGATGGTGGAACTGAAACTGTTATAGGGCCATAAGTTTGATTGGAATCCCAGTGTTGGTGATGTTTCTCATCATTCCTTTCTTTAATATTATTATTATCATTCTTGCTTTTGCTGTTCAGGTATCATTGCTTGGTAGAATGGGGCCATGACCACCATGAAGCAATATACATTATTCAAGTACATTCTTGCTATGTGACATTTAGACCTTCTTTTTCTTCTCTTGTTTTTTCAGGCAGGTTGGATAAAGCTTCTTGAGACCTTGAAGTGCGTGGCATAATTAGATATGATTGATCATTTCTTAAGTGCCAATTTTAATCACTAACATAAATAAAATGTAAAGCTGCATCAATCAAAATTAAAATAACATATTATTAGTACTTTAACATGAAAATTTTTTGAATCTCTATTTTATCTTTATAAAAAATTATAAAAATTATTTTATCATTTCATAATTAAATATTTAAATTATCATCATATTCATATGTCTTTAAATATCTAAATTATCTTTAAAATCTCTATTAATTATTTATTTTTTATGTATAAATATTAATTTCTATAAAAAAATTGATTGACTAAATTACCCTTAAAAATATGTATTATTATATTTTCAATAAAGTGTTTAAATTTTTTTTAAAATTCTATTAATCTGATATTACTCATCTCATATGTAAAGATAATATTATGCTTACATATGTGTATTTTTTTTTATCAAAAAGTTTTAACCTTTCAATTTTTAAGATAAAAAGTAATTGTATATATAATTTTTTGAAAATAATTTATGTTATATTAATATAATTTTTCAATTACAATAAATTATTTAAGTTGTATTAAGATTTTATGTAAAAATAGATATAGTAGTGTATTTTTAAGTAAATTTTGAATTTTTTAAAATTTTAATATGTTTTTTGTTTTATCAAATTTTTTTTTAAATTTTAATATGTTTGATAATATATATATTATAGAGTAGTATATTAAATGTTATCCCAATCCAATAACTAATTTTTGATTACAGTAAAGTTACAATATGATTAATATATTGACAATTATTTTTATTTTATTTAAGGAATTATAAGTGAAATCCTAATCAAATGAATTTAAAAAAATTTAATTTCTCAAACATTACAAAATTCTAAAAAAAAAAAGAAATTTAACTATTTTTTTTATTTTTCTTTTAGTTAAAACAAAGAATTATGGAAACATATAAAATTTTTATAATTCTATAATAAAATATTAGCAATAAAAAATTAAGGTTGGTAAATTTGAAATGATATTTAATTAAAATATACGTATAACTAATATTTTATTAATTTTTGTGTATGAATGCTTTGCCAAGTAATAAATGAATTAAGTTAACAGTAAATAAAAGACAACCGTGGAGTTGGTATTATAATTTTTTTTTTATTTTTAATCTAATATTTTTGTGAATTTTTAAAAAAAAAAAATTATAAATATGAACCATGACACAGGCTGTTGACCCCAGAATCGAGGGCAACTGCCAACGAAGACTCTCTCTCTCGCTCTCTCTCTCTCTATATATATATGCGCATTTAGTGGAAAGAGCACATCAACGATTGTACAAATGATCTTCGAAGCTTTTGGTACGTAACGATTCAGGTTGATCGACAGCGAAGCGAATTAATGGCGCTGTTTAGATGCAATGCTTGCCCCCCCCCCCCCCCCCTCTCTCTCTCTCTCTCCCCCTTGTATTCACAGGCACTCGCGGGGATCATCATCTGAGACTTCGCAACTCCTTTACTCCGCCTATCACCCTACATTCAATTCCTTGGAAATCATGTTCTTTTGCCGCTGAATTTCCTCTTTCTCGCTCTCGCTGTCGATTGGAGCTACCTATATCGTCCTATAAACAGGTAATGAATCGGCATTTCAATTTTGAGCTGTTATGAGCCAAAACAAATGAAATATATTTTAAAATTGAGCTGACTTAGCATTTGATTGAATACATTGGGCTACTCCAATACTTATGGCCGGCCGGCCTGTAGTTTACTTTCTTTGTAGTTTGTGTGATTTCTTAGCAACCAAACAGAGTGTAGCGTTGCTGTTTTGTCTGATTTGATTATTAAATTGGCAATAAATGTTGATTGTGAATGTTTTGTGTGCGGTTGATTGATTGAGTGTTTTAAATCGCGAGGACTTAACTGTAGGGGAGGCGGAAGCGTCCTCCTCAATTGCTTGATAGGTGATGGTAATGAAGCTTTGATTAGTGCTTTTCTTGTCCTATTAACATCCAACGGAGAAAGTTCCGAAGAATTATGTATTTGATCTGATTAATGATATCCTAATACACATAGACAGTCACACAGCCTATAGTTGCGCATGGAAATAATTTCTTTTATGCTCTCTTGACGTGTAGATTGTAGGATGAGCCAGGGAGATGATTAAATGCTGTAGGAAAGTTGAAGGATTCCATAATCTAGTTGCCATTTTTAGAACGAGACGATGGGGCAAACAAGGTAAATATTTCAACAGGGGCTACAGAACTTGTGGCGGCTTGTGGTGCAAAAGTTGTAAAAGGGAGATCAATTTTTTATGCAGTGGTTTTGATGTGGTGTGAATGAGGTTTACTTAAAATCAAAACCATTACTTGTCATAGTGTTTGAACTTTGAGTTGCAGGAAGGAAACTGATCAAGTTCATCTGCTTGTGGAAGTGCTGGCGTTTTGGAAGCCCTCAGAGGGATCATTATAGGCCATCATAATTCAAATGGAAAATATGGTTGTTAATTCATAGGTGACTTTGATAAGTCTTTTAGTTTTATATATATTATACAGTAATGGAATGTCCTACCTGAATAAACCAATGATCGATTTCTCTAGCAATCTTTTCAAATTTGAATTTCCGCGTGGTGTCCTATATCTTTTCTACAATATACTGTGCTGACTTTGGAAGCCTTGCAAGTTGACAACCCAATTGGGCCTGACCTCTGTTTCTCCTTATGGAGTAAACCTCCAAATCGGCATCACTTCCTCTCCTGGGTAACTTCTTTCATCAGAGGACTTCATGGATCATATTTTAAATCTTCTGCAGTTATCTTTATGATAACTGCTAAAGATTACTGCTCCTATTTCGTCATTGGAAGTTATACAATGCATTTCATAATGTCTACTCCTTTTGCATGATAACCTATCCCCCATTCCCCTTTCTTTCTTCTCAGTTTGTACTAAGGAGCAATCTTCTCGTCTCCCGTGATACAGTTACTTGAGTTCTTGTTACCTTGGGAGTGCCTGGAGTAGTCCTTGACATCACACCCAGGAAGTTTGAGAAATTCTCTTCTGGCCTATTTGACAATCTCATTTTCTTATGCTAGTGGACTGCAATGAAACTAAATCTGTAAGTTTTTGAGCTCACTGTCAAGAGTCTCAAGACCTGAGTCCAGACTATCCATACTTTAGTCGTTCCAAATTCCTTCCAAGCACCGTTGTGTGTGTGTGCACATGCAGATGCAAATTCACTTATTCACCTTCACACATGTATATCCATGCCTGCATACAGGTGCAAAAAAAAAAAGCATGTATACGCAGGACTAAATATACTGGTGTATGTTTGTTCTCTGTATAGATCTTGTTTGGTGGCTCCTAACTAGACCCAAATACATCAAGATTAACTTGTTTGAGGAATTCTGTATCTGCACTATTCTAGATTTAAAGTTAGTTGTTTCCTTGTCTTTCAGTGGATTTTGTATTTCTCGCAGCTCTGTTGAAAATTTGCAAGGGGAGGCCCAGAATATAAAGCAGTGGTACTACTGCTTGTACTATCTGGTGAGAGAGGACCCACTGCAGATGCATTTGCATGTATCTTGACATTTTCAAAGATGCCCTGTGGACAGACGTCTTCTAAGCTTTCTAAGATGGACGGTCAGATATTTACCTAATGTCTACTTTGATTCTTCAGCTCTTGCCATCATAAATATAGCAATACTCTTCACCTTTTGCATGCCATTTAATACCTAGAGAAAATAGGTTCATGGCTAAAGTTTATACTTTTGACTGCTTATCTATCTTTGATGTTCTCTCCTTTTCTGTGTTGACCTTCTGAGAATAAGACAGAAAGGCAATAATATATCTTCAAGTTGCCTTTCTTGTAAGGTTGCTTGGAGCCCAATAATACTGCACATCTGGCCTAACCTGTAATTGTGTCATACTTGTTTCTGGCCCTAACATCATATTATAAACACATAGGGCAGCTCTAGATTTAATTCTGTTTTTTGCTACATAATGGATTTGGTGCAAGTCTGATTTTTTCCAATCTCGGGTTTTCCATTTAAATCTGTATATTATTTGTGTGTGATTATTTTGCATATTTATTTCCCTATCTGTTTTTATGACATGCCAACACCATGCGCTAGGGAGGTTAATTCCCAATGTTAATGCAGTGCACCACCGCAGGCATCACTAGTTTGGATCCCAATGTCATTGTCTAACTGACTCAGAATGATTAAGTAATTGCATTGAAACGAATCAGACCCTAAATGCAGCAGCACTAGAATGCCTATGCTATATATTGCAGTCGGACTTTCGAGTGCCTCCATCCTTACTTTTATGAGAAGCCTTTTATGACTATAAAGGACAGGTGACTGTCCACCTTAGCCTGTAAAACACATCAATCAGGGAAGGCTCTCTCCATATGCTTGAGTGGTGGATTAATACCTCGTGTGTGAGTGAATCTTAATTTATATGTTTTATGAGTCATTTGCTTTCTGAAGATTATCTTATCTCTTAGATCATTTATCTCTGATTATTACAGGAGATTAAAGAAACTAGCTAGCATCACGATTGCCTGATTTCTGGGTACGTAATTCTTCTAAAGAGGCCAGTTGAGATTCTCCTGACCATGTCACATATAGCATATAACTGCGCACTTTATTGTTTAATTCCTTAATACATTCCTCCTATTGGTTAGTTCTAGCTCCAAAGACCGCGTACATGGATCAATGTCGACTTGCAAACTTCTTGTTGACTACACAATCAGGTACATTGCACCACTTATCATCCCATCTTTTTATAGGAGACTGATAACGACGTGAGAACTTAAGAGCGACTAGAACATAATATATATAAGCCATCCTTATTTTCTTCGTGTCAAATAGTTATTAATTGTCATTGTAAGGAAACTCGGTGGTGTAATGGCAACCGGGCAACCTCCACGGTATGGCGTGGATTTGAACCCTCACCTTCCCCTACCAAAACACGAATTATTAAATTGCTTGGCAGGCGGAGTCATTGTTATCTTTTACAAGAGTTACTGTTGTTCGGGAAATGTGACAATGCTTGAACTGATTTGGAAATCTAGAAAAAAATTTATTACTGTTTCGATAACCCAATGGGTTATGATGCTTGGGTAAACTCATTTGGGTACATGATTCTTCTTGATCTAGTTGAGATTCTCCTAACTATGAACATCACAATTGTCGAAGATTTCTAAGATGTCACGTGAAAAATATACATGCCATAGTAATTTTGTATTAATATTTCCACCACCGCGCCTATGGTGCGCAAAAAAAGATAATCCATTACTTCAGCCAGCGGGGTCATTGTTGATTTTTTGGAACTATCAAGCATATGAGCGGAGGATTTGGAAAGTTGGAAAAGAAATAACGGATATTTTTGTACTGCTTTGATAACCTTACGAATTATATTTAACCCCTTCCCCCCAAAAAAAAAAAAAAAAGAAAAACACTCATTAGTCTCCACCTTTCTCTTGTATCTCTATGGCTTGTAATCTAGGCTTTTAACACTAGGAGGAGGAAAATGTTATTTTGACCTAATGTAGGGACCTATTAACTATAACTGTTGAATTGAATTTTTTTTATTTAATATTAAAACTCACAATTAATCTAATAACTGTATTAAATTAGGTCTCCAACTTAAGTTTTTATATGGCATTGCTCTTAGGAGAACAGTGTCCACTATGCTGACACATGAAAGAAATCGGTGATTGGTCTAGAACTTCCTTGCCTGTTTTCAGAAACTTGTGGTTAGCAATCGGCACCTTGTATAATACTTTTGGATTCCTATGAAAGTGGTACCGAGCTTCTGTAGATTTCTTCTGAGCCACCTTCAATTGACTTTCGTGGTAGAAATCCTTTTTTTCCCGTTAAAAGTCTCTTGAGCAAATTGCTGATAAAAAATTATTGAACTCCAGTGACCTGCCTGACTGGTTCTACCATTGAATCCCATCACCAATGGTCTAAAGAGGGAGAGTACTGTGCTACGTCATACAAATGCTCGAATTTTTCCGAATGTTTCATTCCGCTGGTCGAGTGAGCTAAAGCAACACCCAGCAGAAGAGAATATGGGTGTTCATGGGCCAGGTTGGGTTAAGCCTGTGATTTTTTTTTTCAGGCTGGCCTAGGTAGTGTTGGCCCAAGACTTTATCTGGTGAATTATCGGGCACGGTTGTGTGAGCTTCGGGTAAAGAAAAGTTACCTATAACTCAAACCGTAATTCATTGGACAAATTTATAGATATATAATTCTTCATTTAAAAAGTTTTTAACTTAGTATTTTTGTAAATTATATTTTTGAATTAAAAATAGAGTTAAAATGGACAAAAAGTAAATAATAAATAATACCTTAGATTAATCAACTTATTATTTAAGTAAATAATTTTTTTTTAGAAGAATATACCTAATTTTCAAACAAAGTGGGTGGACGGTGGGCTGGGTGGGTAGGTTCTTGGGCTGGGTTTTTATGAGTGGGCTAATGGACTAAGTTTTTGTGGCCGAGTAATTGGCTTGAGGGCAGGCCCAAAATTCTCTCTCGAAGGATATTAAATTCAAGTTTGGGTGAACCAACTATACAGCCTATTAAATTTGGATTATTTGAAAGTTGATATACTTAATTAGACTTATTTGACAAAAAGTATATAAAACAAAATGTTTTAAAAAAAAGTACACAACTGAAATACAAAGACGTAAATGCTCATTTTAGGGTCATTTAATTCAAAATCTCTTATTTTTAATACACTTTGATTCATGTGTATTTGTTAATATATATATATATATATATATATATATATATATATATATATATATATATATATATATTTGTTGTTAAATCTCTTATTTAAATTTTGAATTATGTTTAATGCACCTTGATTCATGTGTATTTTTTTTAGAAAGTGGTTTTATTTTTAAATTATATTTATGCATTAAATATTTACTACTACTATTTTTATGGGAGAATTTTAATATTTCATTTATTTTAGAATATATCACTTGTTTGAATTTCAAAATTTGTTAATATTTGAACTCCATAATAGTATAACAAATATACTGTAACAAAAACAGTGTTCAATAGTTTCGAGCATGTAATAACAAATTTAAAATGGAGATTGACTATTTTGAATGAGATTATATGAAACTATATGTTTAACAAAATGTAATAGTATAATATTTTGTATAAATAGTTTGTTACACTATTACACTATTCGGATATTAAATAAATTTAAAAATAAAATTATTTTCCAAAAAAAAAAATGCATGAATCAAGGTAAATTAAATATAATTTTAAAAAAAAATCACTTTCCAAAAAAAAAATACGCATGAATCAATGTGTATTAAAAATAATTTAAAATTTAGGTAAGAGATTTAACAACAATTATATATATAAATACATACATACAAATATGAAATATGAAATGTTAAAGTTCTCCCATAAAACTAAAAGATATTTAATGCACAATTTTTCAAAAAAAAATACACATGAATCAATGTAAGACAAGAATATCACAAAAAAAATCAATAAAATTAAAATAATATATTTAGATACAAATAAGTATGAAAATTAAGGACTCAATTATCCAATATTTTTTTTTGTGTATTTTTTTATAAGTCTAATTTGGTGTACCTTTTTCTAATTTTTTCATTAAATTTTAGATCTAATTTTTTGAGCCAAGTAATGGGTCTCATGGGCCAAATCCGATCCATAGACACCCCTAGAAGAGAAATTTAACTGGACATTATCAGTGCAAATCGCAGGAACAACAAGTAGAATGAGAATTTGGTGCAGAGCGCTGCCCCTGACCTTAGAAGGAGAAATACCAATTTGAAACATCTTTCTAATTTTCAGAATCTAATCCTCCATTTGATACGATGAAGAAGTGGAAGGATAAAAAATTATGAGGATAAAAAATTTGAGGGATAAATAAAACATAATATTTAATAAAGATGAAAAAATAGATGAATTAATTTTCCTTCCAACTAACTAAAATTAATCCCTCCAAAATCGAAAGAAAAGTGAATAAAAAGTTAATTATTTGTATTGAGATATATCTTATTTGTCTAGATATCTTTTTATATATACATATATTATATATACATTAATTTCATATAAAAATACAACGGTAAAATATGTATGTATATATATATATATTAAAAAAAAATTCGACTCAACACGATGACACGACACGACTCGATTGTCATCCCTAATCTTAGCCATAATCAAAAAAAAAAAATGATCATTTTTATTTTTCATTCATCAAACCAAACACAAACCAACCACAAAAGAAAGAAAATGTATCATTCCTACTTTTTATTCTTAAAAGATAAAAAGTGTATCCCTCCTACTTTACATCCCCTACCAAACGACGAAGCAGAAAACACCTTTCCCTCCCTCCCTCCCTCCCTCCCTCCCTTCCACCCAACCAGATTAGAACTATTTCACCATATATTTAAATATATGCTGCCCATAAATCATCACCTCAATTCACAACTTCATATAAAAGATTAAATTGGTTTTCGAGAACGCAACGGAGTACACTTACACAAGCAACTAAAATAGACAGCAACACTTTTATTAGCATAGTGTTCATAACACTTATCGACAGATAGGATAAAGCCTCTAAGCTGAAGATTTAGCAACTGCACCAGCTTCATTTAGCAATGGCATGAGGTTCCCTCCCTTATGCATGGCAGTGGTGGCTGCAAAAAGAATACAATACATAATGAGCCCTGAGGAGGAAATAATAAAGTTAATAACAACTGGAATTAGTACAAATAGTATTAAGGGATTAAGGGCATACCATCACATCCACCAATGTGCTTGCCAGCAATGAACACATTAGGCACAGTCCCCTGTCCAGTCCATTCACGCAGTGCTGATTGAATCTCGCTCCCATCAGCTTCAAAACATGAAAAACAAATGCAAAGTATCAGCTAAGGTTTTTAAATTACAAAATTTACACACACACAAAAGATGGTTGTCCCACACTATATAGATTATCTCATTAAGAATAATTAAGCGGCACACATAATCATCGTCAAGCATATAGTGTTAGAATAGGTTACTCTCTTATAATCATAATTGTCAAATCACGTATCAGTATCATTTTTTAAAAATAGTCTATCGTATCATGTATCGTAAGATACAACACAATTTTAAATAATTATTAACAAAATATATATACTTTTGCAAAAAAAACATAGACTCATAATAACATAACATTTCATTAATATTTCACCAACTATTCAAGTTTCTAACATAGTTCACTAATATCAAAATGCAAAGATCTCTTAATTTAAACTTCTAAACAGTCATAGACTAATTCAAACAGTCGAAGATCCTTTGCAGATCCAGTCGAAGAAGGAAAAACCTTAGGAAGGCGGCCGATGGGAGTCACAGCCAATGGCATCTCCCTTATGGTCTTTTGGTGGACAATTTCCTTGGTCTTTGTCAATTAAAAAAAAAAAGACAACCTTCATTTATTTTTTAAACCATAGACACTAAAACAACGTCGTTTCACGGGCTATAGCGATTAAAAAATAAGTATTGGATAAAACAAACTTGTTTCACCCCCAAAAAACCAAAAACAAAAATGTATTGCGTATTGTACGATACGATGTAAAAACGATCCAAAGACACGATTGTAAACATCATATATTCTGTAATTAGGGTGATCATTGAGTGAGAATTGCACAGTATTGAGAAGCAAAGCAAAATCCTTTCGGGTTTTCGTGAAATTGTCAAAGGTAGATATTACAACATGAAAACAAATTCCAATTATTACCTCATCTTATTTTTAGATTGAAAATTTTGAGGGCGTACACACACACATACAAAAGATGGGTCTGTAATCTGTATTCAAAGAAGGGAAAGTGATGAAAACGCAAGTTAATGATAATTTTTAATGTACTAAACAAGGAAACTAGCATGAGACATGGAAGACTTGTTTGGTGTGTCACGACAATATCATCACCTTCCACAGATTTATCTATGGTCATCAGCATGAGAAATGGAAGGCATAGTTTGGACAAGAAACAAATGAATAGTGCATTATTTGGACAAGGAATAGATCTTATGTTTTCCCACAGGTATATCTACCACAATGCTAGCGTGTGGATATGTGTATTACTGACCAACAATATGATGAAAGATTTCTAAAACTTGGATCAAAACTTCATCAGATTTTATAGGTCAATTACTCCTGATATGCCAATTACTCTTTATCTCACAAAATTTTGATCATATTTTATATTCAACTAACAATTTATATACTCTTTTAGATTGATGTCGGTTATCAAATATTTTTTCCAATCTATCATCTTATATCCAATTTCGCCATGATTATTGACAATATATATCATGTATATTTCTGATTGTGAAAAACTAGGGTCATGTTTGGTTTGTGTTCCGAAAATAGTTTTTTGTTCTCAAAATTTCAATAACACTCAAAACTTATTTTTTTAACATTTTGTTCTCTAAATTATGGAAAAAAATGATATCCGAGTCAAAGAAACAAAAAACAAGTTTAACTTGTTTTTAGAATTTTCTTTAAAAATTTTGGAAATAAGGGAAACAATTTTGGATCTTCAGATATATATATATATATATATTATTAAATTGTTAATATAAAAATAATTTTTTTTATCTTTTTTTATTAATGTTTAAATTACTGTTCAAATATATATTTAGCCTGTCCAAACAGATTTTACTATTTTCTGTATTGTAAAATTGTTTTTGAAATTATCTAACCAAACAAATTTTTTATCTAAAAAAATATTAAAACTACTTTCTTAAAAAAAATTTCAAAAATTATATTCGAATACTATTTTTAAAACGTAAACCAAAAACCCCTACCTCACTCTTTCGAAAGTTTGCACGTAAACTATTTTCACCCCCAAACAATTGAAAGTACTACTATAACTGTAATTACAGAGTATTCGATAGGGATCTTCTGATCAAACAAATCCAGTTTTATCATCTCGATTGTTGCCGATATATATGAAAAATGTCTCTGATTTTCCAAAACTATATGATCTTTGGTTTCCATTAAAATAATTTTCGTCCAAATAATCAAAGAGAAAAACTAAAAATATAGAAAATTTCCATAGTTGATATGAATACAGCTAAAAATCGCAAACAGAGAGAAAGTATCGAATACCAACTTTCAGTGTCCAACTCAATAGCCTTGAAGGAGGCACCGAGCTCAGTGAGCAACTTCTTCACGCTCACGCAGAACGGACAGTACGTCTTGCTGCCAAAATCCACAGATCCATCGATCAACTATAAATTACAGAGAGAAGATATAAATAACCAGAAGGATATATGGAGGAGAGGCCAAGAAATGGGACCTGAAGACGACGACGGGGTTGGCGGAAACGATCTCCTTAGCCTTGGATGTAGCCATCTCTCTCTCTCTCTCCACCGATACTGAAACCCTAGGCGCACCGATAAGTGGTACATCTCTACCTATTCAATATATAGGCACGCGATGAGCGGTACCTCCCTTTTTTTTTTCCGTCCTTTTTTCGCGGATAAATGGGAAGGTACGGATCAAACCAATTTAAGATTAAAGTAAAAATATTAAATGAATGTCTTCTTATTTTTAATATTATTTTTAAAAAAAAATTAATTTATTTTTAATTTTTTATATGAGAGAGAGACAAAAAAAAATATGTTAATATTGTCGAAAAAGAAATTTTAACTTTTATATTTATTTTTTATCACAGAGGGGATGTTTAATTTTAATTTTAATTTTTTTTTTATTTTTTTTACTGGAGAGAGAGAGAGAGTAGAGTAGATGATAATAAATATGAGTTGGCTTTTAAATATTTTTTTTTATTTTTTCAATTTCTATGTTTTTAGTATTATGGATTGGATTATAAGCTCAAACTATTGCAATAATTGAATTTAATTTTTGAGGACTTTTTTATAGGGCTTAAAATTTAATAGATTTAATTTTTTTTGGACTGCACCTAAAATTATGGGATTTTTTTAAAATTTAAGACCTAAAGCTCCTACTTTTTTTTTTCATATTGTTCGACCAGCCCAGTAATGGGGAAGTGATATCGTGTGCCTCTTTCCTAGAAAATGAAATGATGCTTCAACTTGTATTATTATATTCGTATATATTACATATTATATACATAATATTACAAATCAATAATAATAAAAGGACTCGTCTAATTTGAAATGGAACAATTGAGGCCAAAAAATTGTTTCACACTTGTTTGTGACGTGTGGTTAAATATATAAGAAAGTGTATACACTCTGGACAAATTTATTATCTCTCCTTACTTAGATGCTTGATTGGTCATTTTATTTATCATTTGCTAAATTTAAGGAGCGATATATGTCTAATTCTTTTGGGTCTCAATGCAACTAAAACACCTTAAAAAGTAATTATTTTGTTGGTTCTATCCGAGGAGTATGAAATCAATAATGTGTAATTGCAATTAAATGTTTTGTTATTGAATATAAATTAAGCTTACTTTATTAGGTTTAAATGAATTATTATTGATTTTGTTGTCTAGTATCAATGACAGCATGAAAATTACCATTAGGCTAATATTTTCTCAATAAGCATCTTTGTGTTGTGATTCAAAGTGGTCAGCCAGACCCGGACCAAGGCAATAGATTCCATCGCATAAAAAGTCAAACGTAAACTCATGGGTTTAAGATTTTAAATACGCTGATGGTGACTCAAAGCCTAACCCACACGATTGATTGCTTTCAAAGTGGGGTTGCCATTCTTATCTAATAAATTTACCAAGCTTTACTCCTATAAATTGGTGGATCCTCTAATACATGTCTAGCAGAACTGAAGAGGCGAGGGTTAAACTCATCCATATCCGGTTTAGGTGGAACAGAATCATCTTTATCCGCTCTGTAAAGAAGATCATATGTCATAGTCATCTTACAATTCGGTGAGAACATGAAGAATCATAATCATTGCGAGTTGCTAGAAGGGAGCCCAGTCTAATGTCAATTGTCAAAGTGGGTCCACAGATGCAATAGCAATTTTCCGCAATAGGGGACTGAGTCCGAATCAGAACAATTAAAAGCATCAATGAAGATCAAGTCGTTCCTCACCAATGAACTGGGTCAACCTGTCTTTAAATAGAAGCCACTATCCTACTATCATAAATTCATAATGCATGCATTATTCAATCCATACCTACCTGCATAGCTAGAAGCAAAGGAGGCCTGGTCCAGTAATTTTAACCTGGAAGACATTGTTTAAATTTCTGAACATTTCTAAGTGCGCAAACCTACATAGTTTATAGTTAACGGTATTACAATAAAAGGGTTTTCCAAACCCCGCACCTTCAATCCTATAGACCCACCATTTGGCACGAGGACACAACCAACTACTTCCACCACATACCATAAATTCGAAGCACAAAAGCCGGCATGAGAGAGAGAGAGAGAGTCTATCAGCCACAATAAATAAGCAAGTGTGGATTTCGGAAAAAGACATGCATTGTGAACATAAACTTTTGCAAAAAAATAAACCGCAATAGTAACATACCATTTGCCTTAAGTATAAAAAATTGCATTAAGATGCACTATCTAAAAACCCTAACAATGGCAGAAAAGGGTGCTATTGAAATCAACTTCTAATTGCTGCTCAACCCCACTTGCCAACATCATCTATAGTTTGTCCTTTCAAAACAAAGATTTCAGCAAGACAACAGAAACTCGGATCATAAAATGTTCTCAAGCACAGCTTGCAATATACTCCCCCTTCACAAGCAAGCAGATATGTATAGTTGCCGTTCATGGCCCTATTCCACCAGCAATGTTCCCCACCTTGTTAAGTTTTCCTTAATAACTCTCTCCTAAAACTACAGACTACTTTGTAATGTAGGTGCACGAAGCTTAGACTCCAAATTCTGTTTGACGGCATCAATGAACTCTTCTGTGTTCAGGTAGAACTCCCTTGAAACCCTGTATGTACACCAAGGTATGAATTAATAAGGTTTTACCCAAAAAAAGTACTGCAAGCATGTTGGACCTATATTACTGGCAATCCTGAACTAATCAGCATGATAAAACACAGAAACAGGGTACCCCTTTTTCTAGCTAGTTTACCATAGAATTGTGTTTGAAGCAGTTCAAGTAAACATGATAGAAATTCATTGGAGCTTCTAAAGTGGCATTTTTCTTCAACATTAAAAGAAAACTAATTTTATGTTATGCATTTTTTTCAACTCCAGATTTTATGTCATGAGCTGGTAAGTTCAAAGGCGGTTTAACGAAACGAAACAAAACTCACCTTTAGAGCTACAAACATTAGTTTAGACTCAAATTCTATCAGTGCTGAAACGAATTATATACATTGAAATACATAATCCAACATCTTATACCGTGTTTTGGCCATTATATCTTAGACATTCAAAACATATACGTTGCATGTACATTAATAATACCCATGGATTTTATCACGTCTTGCTAATAAAGGTGGTCCAGTGTAAAAACCTCCCACCACTGCTGGTTTTGGAGAGTCAAATGCACAACCTTACGCACGTGAGGTTGTGCAACCCTTAACACCTAGCTCACAATGGAGAAACCTTACCGTTGTACCAAGACTCACCCTCCAACTTTTATCGTATGTCTAATTTTTTTAGATGTACAACAATGTGAGAGAGGATTCAAACCTATGTTCTCCAGATAGTCACCCAATAGTCACAGTCGGCATTTCAACCTGGGAATAGAACTGTAGTTCTAACTTCTATGATTTAACTAAGTTCTGAGAGCAACATATTTTTACTACTGCAATGGACGAAGTTCATTTAGCTTTCCCCTGTTCCCCTTCGAACACATACATGTCACCCAATCTTTTGTAGTGGTACAGTCATGGTTTTCCCCACATGACAAGCAGTTGACTTTCACTCATCTTATACTCAACAGATGCCAGCAATAACTTTTCAAGGTGGATATGTCTATTTGCCTAATGAACAGAGTAAACATTCCCAAAATAATTTTTGCCCAAATTGGATTGCAATTGAGTTCTAGCTTGCAGGAGGGGGTCTAGCATATATGTCATTCTAAATCATTAGAATTTATACAACGAGATCAATTTAATTGTTGTTTTATTTGGTGAAAATGTGCATATCTACCGGTGACATTTGATGGCTTACTGTACGGCCTTCCTCTGGTAAAAGGGAAAAGTATTACTGCATGTACAATGGTAGCAGCAGAAAGATTAGTTCTTCAGTTTTTTGAGCCTGAGAGTCGCATTGTCTCTCTTGTTGCCCTGGCCAAACACCATGGCCTTATCAATTGTAGAGTAAATCTGTTTTTCTATCGGTCCAAGCCAAACTGAGGTCTTGTTTCCTATATTAACCACCCTTTAAACTTCATTTTCAAGAAGTTCAGGGGAACTAAACTTCTCACTTGATCAACATAATCATTTGGTGACTACTTCACGAATTACCCTCCCCATCAATTTGAATTACCATTATCTATGTATCTGGTTTGATTGGTACACCCATATTTCAATTCATCTTGAAGACTGATACACCACTACAGTATATTTCCCATCCCCCGCACCCCAAAAAGAAAAGGGCAACACAATTTCAAAAAAGATTAACAAAAAATGGGACTGATAAAGAGTAATTGGAGAGTCAAATCATAAACTTCTTGTAGAATAAATTAAGGGACATTGCCACTTACTTGGGTCCATGGATCAAAATGGCAAGATCCTTGGTCATTTTCCCGGTCTCCACTGTCTCGATGCATGCAGCCTCTAGCTTGTGAGCAAAATCCAACAACTTTCCATTCTTATCAAGTTTGGCCCTGATAAGATAAAAATATGGTATTCAGAAGAGAATGTTTGTTGTGAAAAGACCTGAACATATAGTACAAAGAACTTTTTCAAAATGTGGAGTTCAAAACACACAATATTATTCATCACGATAGGCACAGAATTCATCAGAATTTCAAAAATACACATTCCTACTGTGATCCTAGCATAACCAGACTTAACTATGCACAACTAAGCCCAGCCATGTAATAAAATAAACATCATAATCTTCACCCGGTTTCCAATTGGTTCAAGCATTTCTTGAATCCAAATAATTCATTCTAATCTTATGTAATTTCATTAGGCCACCAATCCTAGAATTTCCTCCCTCCCTCACTGCCCCTTCCTTCACTTGGGTGTTTACAACTTACATCTAAGCACAAAATGGTTACCAAAGGCATAGTATTATCTATTCATGCAGCAAACAAGCATATACTATACTTGCCAATAGCATATGACTCAACTTCTTCAGTACAGATTAAAATAGTCATAGACAGGTCGGGCTATGGCACCCTTTGCAAAGTCAACAATACAAATATTCTAATTGATTGGGTAATTTTCAGAAAAAGAAGAGAATCAAAAAAATACCTGTGTTCCAGTCCTCGTGTCCATGCAAATATGGAAGCAATACTGTTTGTACTGGTTTCTTGTCCCTTTTGATGCTGTCGGAAATGACGGGTTACAGTTCCATGAGCTGCCTCAGATAAGAATGTCTTCCCATCAGAGGCTAACTGTACGCCATGTATAACTAGTTATTGATAACACGACCAAATATACAGCTAAAGGAATAAAGAAGTAAGCCGGCACTAACCAAAACAGAGGTCATGAGGCCCAGAGAACCAAATCCTGCCCAAAGGAAATGAATTTTCAGTCAAACTGAAAATATACCATACGTAACTAAGGGCTATTGAAACTTGCATGGATACCGGAATAGTAACAAAGGCTATATACAAAAGGAAATATCACCATAACAGAGAACAGATTTTCCATCTTATTGATTCACCAAGAGGAACAAAACTTATGCATAACCAATCCAAAGAAAGCTAAAGGACCAGCATAACTAACTAAACTATCCAATCACTCAGGCCAAATAACTGTCTTGAGCCAAGCTCAATAAACATTAGCTGCAATAAACGGAATTTAACTTTTTCCCTCATCTATAACAGAAAGCCAGGCAGGAAGATCCACCATTTAAAACTCAAATGTGCAAGTAGGTAAGCAGCTTCAACAGCTTGACCCAGGATGCATATATCCTTGTACTCGGGACTACGTTTAGCCTAATCTCAAATCAAACATTTACTTCCAATAAACATAAAGGATGGGTTTGACAATCAATTGGATTCACATATGATAAAATTCAATAAGAAAGATCTCTCTACATTGAAAATTGAATTTGCTTTCAAGAGGACAATCAGAAAACTGCAGAATAAAATCATATTCAACTGACACATATTTTCTTAAATTTAGACATTAATTTCACCTTGAGCAAGTAAATCACTTAGGACATCTCCATCATAGTTCTTGCATGCCCAAACATATCCGCCCTCACTTTTAAGAGCATACGCCACCATGTCATCAATCAACCGGTGCTCATACCTGAATGTCAGCCAAATTTGCATGAACTATTGAAGATAACTGAAACTAAGTGAATGAACAATTCACTGTAAAGCTCAAACTAACCACAATGACTGTTCTTCAAACTTCCGCTTCCAATTTTCTTCATATACTTCCTGAAATATATCCTTGAACCTGCAGTGGTCAAAAAAATTTCAATGCCACAAGCAGTTTTAACTCGTTGAAAAATTAAGGTTCACAAAATTTCAAAAACAGTAAAGCAACCTACCTAATCAAAAATAGGATTTATGAAATACCTGCCATCATATTTCTTCAAAATTGTATTTTTGGTGCTCAAGTAAAGAGGCCACTTTTTGCCATATGCCATTGCCATTGAGGATTCAGCAAAAGCTCTAATAGACTATAAAGTGCCAGAAAATTTTCTTTTAGGTAAAGGAAAAAGATATATCAAACAGATTACCAACCAACAGTTCATATGACAAACCTCATCTAGATTGTACATAGCGAGTGCAATGCCGGGGCTTCTAAAATCATAAACTTCAAGCTCCACAGGGGTTTCTTCATTTTCTGGGACTGAGAAAAAGGAAAAAACAAATGACTTTGTCAGCCCACTATTGTTTGAGAAAGAAAAGGTTTTTTCCATTTATCTAATCACCAATTCAATTTAAGTAGCTCACCAAACACCATTTTGAGCTTTCCAGGCCCTTTAATGACCATATCAGTGGCACGATACTGATCACCAAAGGCATGCCTACCTATGCAAATCGGTTTCTTCCAACCTGCAAATCAGCAAAGAAATACCAAGTGGTGGTTCACATATTTCACATACATTGACGAGGAGATAAACAATGCATTACCAGGAACGAGTCTTGGAATGTTCTTGCATATGATAGGTTCACGGAAAACGGTACCTACAAGGCAAATTAGTAACCATCTAAACAGGGTGAAAAAAAACCAGATGCATCAAACAATGCATATTAGCTAGAAAGTAGGTTAAAAGAGAACACGACAAGCATTTACCAGGAAAATGGATGTGTTGACAAAGAACAATGAAGAGTGAAATTACAAAAATTAGATAGACAGATGTTCTTGCCTTCAATGATGATTATCACGATTGTACATTACATACACAACGGTGACATTCTTAAAATGCTATTCCAAGTGAAATACTAAGTTTGGATGCAACTAAAACTGCAAATATCTGAGCACATTGTCTGCAGAACCATCAAAGCAAACCAACTAGTACTTTCCAGAGCAAGGAACGGGCTTCATTTAAGACATTTGGCACGATAACTTTGAATACAATAAAAATAACACAAATGGAATTTTCTGTTTCAACCATATCAGGCCTAATGTATAAAAAAACGGACCATTCAAAATGTTTCTTATTGTGCCATTAGGACTCCTCCACATAGACTTCAGCCCAAATTCCTTGACTCGGGTCTCATCTGCAACATCAGAAAAGAATCAAGATCAGATCTGGTATAGCTATAACTCAAAGACAAGTAACATGAATATCACAACAAAATTTCATGAAATCTCAAAGATCAAAGTCTCAACATATCCTCTTGAGAGGTCAACATTTAAGGTAGGAGTTTCTTCAAACGGAAAATGGTATACAACCAAAAGTTCCACCAACCAAGAAGAAAAATGCAAGATTTGATGGAGCATGTTGCTTCATCCAATTGTCAAAGGGTATCACCCAACAATATGAACTTCTTGTGATTGTACTGAGAACAATAATCCATCAAGCAAGTTTCTGACATGCACAAACGTGAAATCTTCTTGAGGATAAGGAGTGACTGACAATAAAGTTTCTGCCATGCACAAATGTCAAATCGCCCTATCCAACTCACCAGCCCTAACTTTTCCAGTAGAAAATATGGGTATGGCTAAAGAATCACTGATCCAATTGGCAAGCTTAAAAAAAAAATAAAACATTATCCAAAAAACAAACAGCATTTCCCATCCAATCACTGACATTTAATTACCAATGAGAAACAAACCAGGAACACATTGTACTATAATTCTTATTTACTGACTATCAAGGGCAAACAAAACCGCTGCTCCATATATATAATTAGCCATGGCAAACAAACTACGAACAAGTCGCATTATAATACTTTCCATATCATCCATGAGACAGAAAACAACTTTTAACATGCCTATTATCCCAACTAAGATGACTCCAGACCTAAAAGAGCACGAATACCCTCAATGAATTTCAAATTGCTAACACAATCTGAGAGCACAATTGTATGAATTTAGTTGTACCATAAGAGAACAGCTGCTTATACAAGTCTCTGTCGCAAAAACATTTGATGCCAACATACTAAACAGATGTACAATTTCTAAATATAGAAATCCTTCATTTCAAATGCAACATTATTAGAGACATGACTCATGAGTAGACACAATAAGCATTTTTTTTTTTTAAAAATAAAATAAGAAAATAAGAAAGCACCACTTGAGTGATTTCAGAAGTGCATATAAATCTTAATATGCACTGAAGCCAGTGTGTTTGTTATAATTCACTCTTGCTTACAGTAGAATAGAGCAGTAAATGGTGGAAAAATAACAACTAACCAGGGGTAATTGTAGCACATTTTACAGCAGCATTGTACCTGCCAAACATATATGGTCAAAATGACAACCAAATGAGGTTATAGTACATTGCTTTGAAATTAGGATTGCGGTTATACAAACACAAAAGAATCGCATCGCAATCCATTACTTCTATCGTACTTGTTTTTTTGCCTCAAGCCAACTATGACTTGAACCACTCGAAAGCATATTTGTATTTCTATTCTGACATGTCTTTCATAACAACATTTTATTTTATTCAAGGTCCTACACCAATCATGTATTTATAAACTTAATACATACAATTTACATCATTTCACCATTAAAAATCCCAGTTATATTTAAAGTGAAACTGGGACACGTGGATTTACATCATTTCACCATTCAAAGACTCAGTTACATTCAAAGTGAAACTGGGACACATGGATCCCCAAGATATTTCATTGAAACATAACTCAGCTCTAGCAAAAGAACACATGCACGCAAGCACAACAAACACTCGAACACACATACAAGTTAATTGATAGATATTTTTTAGACTCTCTGGGTGTTGAGATTCATTATCCCCAACTCCCCCTGATTGGGTGATTTACAATTATACGATAACAATAATAATCGAAAGAATAATAATAACAATAACAATAATAATATCAATTATAATCCCGTTGCGCTGTGATTATTCACTGATCATGGACATCACAGGTATCTAATAGCAAGAAGCAGAGCATCCTATGAAAGAAGTGCCAATGTACATAGCCCAAAAGTTATGCATAACAATAATCGTACTCCTAAATTATATTATTGACACAAAACGAATTCAAAACCTCAATTAACATATACAATACAAATATATCCAGCAAACTACAGTACGCGAGAGTTACAGACTAGATAAAAAGTCTAAATGAAAAATAGTCCAACGGACTTACTGAAGAGTTGCTTCAGCACTTTCCACGGTAACTTTATCATCAGTAGAATCACGATTCAATATCCCTAAATCATAATATTTTATATCCAAATCCAAATATGGAAATATCAACTGCAACCAAATTGACCCGCAATCATTTGGAAAAAAAAAACATTACACAAAAATAAGTTTCAAAATAAAAATTAAAATCACAAGAACTGAGGTAAAAATAAAACAATTAGAACTTGCCAACTCAAACCTTGTCTTTGATCATTTTCCATATGATCCTGGCCATTTCATCGCCTATGATCATCAAACAAACCAACAAGACAAAACTATAGAATAAACACACGGAAACGAATACTTGTAGGAATTGTGAGAGGATTCAAGGGACATTACCGTCCATTTCGACGATGGAGTTTTGAACTCGGATTTTATCAACAGCCATGGTGGCTGAAGCGAAGCAACGGATAGAGACACCGGCAAAGCGAGTGGGAAGAAAGGGACTATTCTTGAAGGAAACTCCACTGATCAGCTTTGTGTGCGAAGACTCTAGTAACCTAGGGTTTTTTAGGGTTAGGGATGATGAAGACAGAATGGCGGTGGCACCGTTCATGGCACCCAGGCGGAGTCTGAGAAGCATTAATACTTTGTCTGGATTCTCGAAGTTGGCTTTATGGGATCGCTTTCGTGGATTGGTACCCCTTCCCTCGTGTTGTGTCTTTTTTTCTGTCGCCACACCCTCGTTCTTTTTGTCGTTTACCGCCGAGGGATTTTTGGAGGGAATTTAGATTGGATTTCTCAAATTTCTTTGTAAAAAAAAAATTTAATGTTGATACTCATATTTAATATATAATAAATATATATGTAAGATTCACGAAAATATTATTATTATCATAATATATTTGTTTTATAAATAACTATATTACTCATTAGTTAATTTAATTTATACTCATTTATTTAACTTAAGAGTACAAATAATTTATCTCACTAATTCAAGTATGATTTGACTGAAATTCACTCTCGCATAAGTTTGATAAAACCCACGTTCAATAATTTAAAATGTCGGACTAGCTACGTCGGACTAGCTACGGACAGAACTATTGTCCATGGCTTGAAAAAACCATCCAATTAAGAATTTTGGGGTCTATTAGATTATTTTCTCCACCCCCATGTTACCAACACACTCCTATACCGACTTACCAAATAGCTCATTGAGTGGGGGCAGATTTGGACTGGTCAAACAGGTCCGATTGGATTGATGCCCGAGTAATTGTTGAGCCAATAGAACCATAAATCTAAAATTGTTGAGCATTTGTATAAATGGTGGTATTAATTCGTTAAGTCAGAGATGAAATTGGGTGATTGATGAATCTAGGAAAGGGTGACAATTTTTAAATCAACATAACGCCATGACTCGAATTGTATATGAATTTAACGAGTTAAAATTGATTATAATTTAACACGAACTCGAAAATGATTCAACATGTAACACACGAAATATAAACGAACTTTATATGAATTCAACCCACAAACCCCCGATTGGGTGATGGTGGTGATTGTCTAGGCCCTCGGTCCATACTTGGTTCAAATTATTAGGTTTTATCAGCTTTGTAAGATGGTGATTTTTGTAGTAAAGAAGTGGTGGGTTTATATCAAGAGTTAAGTGTGGGATGAGGAGAGTGCAATGACGAGGCAGTCGCTAGTCATTTTTGCTTGTGGTGTTGGGCATTTGTTTTTGTTGCTTGGTGGTAATGAAGTGGAGATGGTGGAGCGAAAGTGGTCCACAACGGGTGGGGGCACAATGGTGAATACAAGAGAGAAGGACGGGAAAAAGATGGGAGAGAGATGTAACATACTAAAGATGGGAGAGAGATGTAAAATACTATGTGTGTGTGCAAGATCCTGCACAATATAAAAAACGAGAACAAATCTCTCCCTTGGTGAACTCGAGTGAGCCGGTTGAGTGACCAAACACGCTGCTTGGAACAGCCTGCGAGGTCCGGTGGTAACCTGGAACGGCAATGGGAGACCCTGGGAACGGAAGAACGATCCAGTAAGGCTGAAAGAGGTTCCTGGAACAAAGAAGAACGAGTTAGAAGGGCACCGGAGTGTTTTCCGGCGTACCCCTCCGACGATCTAGTCAGTCTTTTAGAAAGAGAGAGGAAGGAAAAAACACTGAGTGAGTATTGTAGTAAAGAGTTTTTTGTTGCATACCCGTCTTGCCTTTTGCAATGAGTATTTATACCTCAAAAGCTCATGATTGCTGTCAGTGTAGTCAGTAGATGATCATTAGGTACAGACAGTGTGCGCACTGATTCTGATGAGGAATGTCTTCTCTTCTTAACTGCTTGGGGTTCCGAGCAATCAATGCTGGGTCATCGGGATGCCGAAGGTACAATGTACTCCTCTCGGGGAGGATGCAATAAATGCTTTGTATTAGGAGCATTTATTACCTTTCATTTCCGAGCCTTACCGCATTGAATGCGGTCTCATCAAGGGAATGATGTAATTAATAGTTTGCTTTCCCAAGTCGCGTGTCAGCAACGACATGCGGTTTCTCTGTCTTCGATGTGATATCATATGCCACGGTCCATCCGTCATTGGCTGTGGCCCCTGCATTCCAGTACGTTCTGACACTAATTGTGTAAGACGAGGTCATGATGAATAGCCTAGGCTAATGACCTGTACGTCAATAGCTTATCTTGGAGTAAAGGAGGGGTCTCGGATGGTACACCTCGGCACCGAGGAGAGGCTGATCTCGGAACCGAGGGAGGGGATACCGACCGAGGTACCATATCAGACCGAGGCCACGTGTCGGTTGTAAAACATACTGAATGCATGATCCTATATGACGATTACCTCGGGGGCGAGGACCTTTGTGCGCCGATCGTGCTTGATCTTAGCAACAGTGTTTTAGTAACACCGAGGACACGTGTCTTCATCATAAGGTTTTTCAGAAAAGTCCCATCACTATGTAGGCTTGAAATGTTGCCGTAATTAATTATATTTATTGAATAGACAATAGTTTATAATAAATATTAGAACTCACAGTAAATCAACAATAGTGATTGATTAAATAAATATTTTAAACCTATATAAAATTGCTCTAGAGAAATTGGTGCTCATGATAAGGTGCAGATGTTGGTTCCCTAAATTATCCAAAAAATATCCAATTGTAACTAAAAATAGTTATATATATATATATATATATTTAAAGAATAACTAAAAATTGGATTAATTAGACTCAAATTGAAAACACCAAATATCAAAATTAATAAAATTATAATTTTAGGGACTAAATTAACAAAGAACATATATATGAATGGCCCAAAGCGTATTTCATCCTAAACGAAAAAGAAAAATCGTTGAGCGGCGGTGATAAACGTTGCATTGACGCCGTGAAGTATTTATAATTAATTTTTAGGGCAATTAAAAAATGGATTAATTACAAAATATTCCCTTCAACTTGGAGTCGTTTGTCGTTCACCCTTTTAGGTTTTAATTTTAATTTTGTCCCTTTTAAATTTAAATATTTTGCAATTAATTCCAATAAGGTAATTCAAGATATGCAAACAACTCTGGGATATTAATTTTAGACCATAAAAAATGATACAAGTTAGATATGAAAAATTTACGTGATATTTATTTTGTTGAAAAGACAAAATTACTGTTAGAAAATAATTTTTGTGTGTATGTGTGCACTAGTGTTATTGTTGGGTGGAGGTGGAAGTGAAGATGAAGGCCAACATGGCATTGTGTAACTTGTTGATGTTGGGTTGAACACACACACACACATATATAATTTTTTTTTTTTTTTGCCTTTTTCGTTTCCATATTTTTTTAGTGATATAATTGGTATTTCAAAAAAAAAATATGAGAAATAAAGTATAAGATGGAGAGTGTAATGGTACTTTCATGTTCTAACCATTTGAAACTTGGAGTGGAAAAAATTGTAGTATTTGAAACTATAAAGAGTTGATTGCAATAAGAGGCATAGTTAGTTAGGACAAATTGTAATTAATCCTAAAAAAAGTATCAGATTTCATTCTTGCTTAAACCCCGTGCTCGCCTATTGACGGCGTCTCTCGCGCTTAAACTCTTAAACCCAAAACCCTCGCCACCATTCTCCACTCTCTCCGCCATGGCATCGATGGCGAGCAGAACCAACCCACTTCTCTCATGCCTGCCTTACATTTTCACCTGGAGAAGATTCGGATTCCGTACAATTTGCAGTGGTCGTCTCGGTTTTGCCCCGTCGACTTCTCCGTCGGCGTCACCCGCGGATTCCGAAGGTGCACCCTCTGGAGAGCCTGGAGTGAAAGTCCTCGAAACTTTTAGAGAAGAGTTCGAGATCGGATCAAAACAAATTACGCTAGAAACGGGGAAGATTGCTCGGTTCGCCAACGGTGCAGTCGTTTTAGCCATGGAAGAGACCAAAGTATTATCCACCGTCACTTCGGCTAAAGGCGATGCTGTTCGTGATTTCTTGCCTCTCACTGTATGTCCAATAAATTTCACAGCGTTTATATCTTTTAATTTCAGAATTATTCAACTGCTTTGTGGTCTTCTGTACACTTTCAGAGACTGAATTTAATATTCGTAAAAAATTTGATTCTAAGTTAATGTAGCAATGGCATACGATGACACTTTATGTAGATGTAGATGTAGAATAGGTTAACGGATATTTGGGAGTTGAGTCCACCATCAGTGGAAATGAGTGCACTTTATTTTGAGTTGGATATATAAAGGGTCCTTGTGAAAATATGGAATACATGATCTGACATTCAGAGGTTAAGGTTGAGATTAATGGTTGGTGGAATGTGTGAGTTTGGATAGGAGTTCGCTATAGTGATTCAGAAAATTATATTTAGACAATATACTTGTCCTACAGATGTACAATGATAAATCACAAATGAGTTTTGCATGGTTCTTTGGTTCAAATCTGCGGACAGAAGCACACTGGTTGAATAATCAATGTTATGAACACGGTCTCAGCCTCCAACTTCACCATCATTTTTCTTTTTAAATGTTCTATTATTTTGTATTTGTGCTTGGAACTTTAATCATCATGATTTCTAGTGTAAAATTAGGGATTCCCAGTGTACTTGAGAGTTAAATGCCATCTACTTTCGCTAAGTAAGTTGTCATCATGCAGGTTCAGTTTTCATATGCCTATGAAATTATTGTGTTATTTTTCTATTAAAAATTGAAGTCAAGTATGTATTCTTCATTTTGGACATTGTGGTATATATTTGAAAAATAGCGGATTGCTGTTAAGAAAATCAACAAAAAACGTAAGGGAAGAAAGAGCTTCTCATGACAAGAAAACAAGTAGTCAACTAGCAAAAAAAGCAGAAAAAAGAACATTATTGGTTTTGGAAAGATCCATTAAAGATTTTTTCAGGTTCCTTATTGCAAAGAAGAATATTTAAAATAAGAGGAACTAATTTCAGGATATGACAAGCAGAAAACTCAATGCTGAGAAGAAAAAATAAAGTCAAAGACAGGTCGAGGGCAAGAAAGTTGTTCAAGATCTCTCTTTACATGCTCGTTTTGCTTTTGTTTTTGTTGGGGCTAATAGGGAGGTGAGGTGAGTATCCTCAGGCCTATATGTTTGCTTCTTATGACCTCCCTCCAGATTCATTCTCTTCATTTACAAGAGAAAGAACAATATGATTCCTGCTTATTCTAAATGTGATGATATGGACATCTTCTAAAGTCCACCCACAACATTATTCCCCCAATCCCGTGGTAGCGCCATAAGTAGAGTCAGCTTCTGATTTAATATTTTTGTCACAAAAACAGAATACTGTTGAGTTAAGATTAATGCCTATTGATATTAATGCCTTTTCTTCCTTGAAGGTGGATTATCAAGAGAAGCAGTTCGCTCAGGGTGTGATCCCAACCACCTTCATGCGGAGGGAGGGTGCTCCAAAAGAACGTGAACTTTTATGTGGTCGTCTCATTGATCGACCTATACGACCACTTTTTCCTGCTGGATTTTACCATGAGGTCCAGGTATGATGAGATTTTGCACTCCTTTTTCTTCCCTATATGGTTCCTGCTCCCAACTCTATACTATTACGTGATCACTTTGGCATTCTTTTAGGTAATGGCAACTGTCCTTTCTTCTGACGGGAAACAAGATCCAGATGTAATGGCTGCTAACGCGACATCCACTGCTCTTATGTTATCAGACATACCTTGGGCTGGCCCGATTGGAGTGATACGTATTGGCAGGATTTGTGGGCAATTTATCGTTAATCCAAGTATGGATGAGGTAGTACTTCTGTCAGTTATTTACTTCTCAGCAATCAATCATTTTATTTCTTCTATTGTTTGGAAGGATTAATTGGCGAATGTTCTTGGGCTTTCTGTGTATGTTCTAGGTGCCTTATGTGAAAGTATATTTGAAATTGTTGGGTTTTTCTTTTCTGTGCTGGACCTGCTGGTGGTCTTCACATTAACTCAAAGTTTTCATTTCACAGAGGTTCCTTCCTTTGGGTAATGTTTGACTTGTGTGATGCAATGTCGTAATAAAGTAGTGGAAACTATTTTTTGCACAGTTGTACAAGTTCTTAGTTAGTTTTGGATTTCATATAGCTGCTGAAACACCTAGAGCAGCTCGATTTTATGTATTCATGTTCTCTTAACCACTCAAATTGATTGTTATCAACTTCAGGAAGAGGCCATCCTACCACTAGTAAGACTGATGCTTATATACTATAGGATTTCTTTACCATGAAAGTAAAAAATGACATGCAAGACATGCATATCTCCAGATGGCCTACTTCAGTGAAAAGTCTAATTCTGAATTATGCTTTTGTGATATATGATGATATCATGACATGTCCAAGCCCTTCTCCCCTTCCTTCTTCTCAATCCATTTGAAAATTTCTTCTTTCTCCCACTTTTTATGGATTTGTTTACATTTGTATGACTTCACTGGATCTGTTTATATAATGACTTCTATGTAATATCACCTCCAATGGACAACTTTCAGCTTTGTTTGGGTAGCAGATACTCTTTTATGCTTTGGGTCTTCTCCTCTTTGCGTTTGTTTTCCTCGCCTTGGTTGCTGTTTTGCTGCCTCGCCTTGGTTGTTGTTTTGTTGCCTTGGCTTTGTTGTTGTTTTGCTGGGTTGTTGTTGTTCACTGGGCTGCGGTTTTTCGTATTCTTCAGTATCTTCTAGGTACTTTGTATCAGAGTTTGTTATTTTCCTCTTATTTCTCTATGGAATTCAGGGCGTATTCTGATGCTGACTGGGTTGGTGACTCTATGGATCGTAAGTCCTCTACGGGCTTTTACCTTTTTCTAGGTGATTCTCTTATTTCTTGGACAAGAAAGAAGCAAATTGTTGTTTCTCTTTCATCTGTTAAAGTTGAATATCGTGCTATGGCGTCTACTGTAGCTAAGATAGTTTGGTTACGATAGCTCCTTGCTGATCTTGGCATCATGTTATCGGCGCCGACTCCTATGTATTGTGACAACATTAGTATCATTCAGATTGCTCATAACTCAATCTTTCATAAGTACACAAAGTATATTGAGATTGATTGTCACTTTGTCCGTCATCATCTTTAGTTGGGCACTCTCTCTCCCCTTTACTTATTCTACTATGCAGTTAGCAGATTTCTTCACAAAGTCGCATACTATCACTCGTTCTTGTTTTTTTTTGACAAACTTTTGATGTTTTCTGTTACCACATCATGAGCTTGAGGGAGGGTGTTAGAATAGTTAGTATATTTAGACTTAGGGAGTAGTTTAGTCATTTATTTTTTTTTATGTTGCCCTATTATATAAAGACCTCTTGTATGTATTTTTTTTATGTTGTTTTGACTAATTGTGTCTCAATAAATTTTTTTTATTTTTTCTTTGATCTAAATTAACATGGTATCAGATTATGTTTAGGTCCTAAATATTTTCAATACTATAGAGGAGAGATGAATAGTTGCTAGGGCTGACGTCAACGAGCTTCAAAGATGATGTCATGCTGACGTCATCATTCTGGACTAGATGAAGAACATTGCTAGACTCGATTTTACATGGGTAATATTGTGGTATGCTTGTTTTTTGATTTCGTGGCTATTGGATAGGGTTTTTTGATTGTTGAATTTTTTTCAAAACCTTTGACCTATTTTTCGATCTACAATTTGGGGTTGATTTCTTTGCTTCAAATCAAGTTTAAAAGGTGCGATTAGGGGGATTAGATGGCTGGTTGTATGGTTTGAAAACATTTGGTTGGACTTTGGTGTGATTTGGAGGGTTGGGACATTCGGCCTATTGTTTACAACAAGAACAATGGCCGAAAGTTGATATTTGTGAGACTTTCAGCTTTGTTTGGGTAGCAGATACTCTTTTTTGCTTTGGGTCTTCTCCTCCTTGCGTTTGTTTTCCTCTCCTTGTTTGTTGTTTTGCTGAGATCTTCCATTGTTTTGTTGCCTTGCCTTGGTTGTTGTTTTGCTGAGTTATTGTTGTTTGCTGGGTTGATGAATTTTGTTGGGTTGTTGGGCTACTGGATTTTGTTAGGTTGTTGGGTTGCTAGATTTTACTGAAATCACTACTGTGGGTCATTATTTTGCTTTGGGTTGCTGGATTTTGCTAGGTTATTGGACTGTTTGTTTGCTTTAATATTTGCTTTGGATTGCTTGATTTGGGTATTATGATCAGTGAAAATTCTGATTCTCTGCAAGCTATTAGTGTTAGATTAAAAGGTGAGAACTATGTATATTGGGCTTATGTTATGCAAAATTTCTTGTTAGGTAAGGAAATGTGGAGTTATGTTAATGGTAATTCATTAGCTCCAACGGATCCTAAGGCCGAGAAATATGTTGACTTAAAAAATACTTGAGAAATCAACAATGCTAAAATCATCACTTGAATTAACAACTCAGTTGATCAGACCATTGATGTTCATTTGACTAAGTTTAATACAACCAAGGAGATTTAGGATTATTTAGTTACCTTATTTGTTCAGTCCAATTTTACAAAGAGGTATCAATTAGATTATGAAAATCGAGCTTCACGTCAAGGTGATAAGAACATCCAAGAGTTCTATTCAGTTATGACTAGATATTGGGATCAGTAAGCACTTGCTGAACCTGTTGAACTGAGTACTCATATGATATATCACACTTTTAGAGAGGAGCAACGGTTGGTGCAATTTTTGATGGCCCTCAGGGATGACTTGAGGGACTTCATAGTTCTATTCTCCATCATAATCCACTTCCCTCAATTGATGCAGTAGTGAATGAGCTTTTGGCTGAAGAAGTTCGTCTTAAGACTTTTTTGAAAAATGTCTTATTCCATTGCCTATTCAGACTATATTGGCTATGCTTCCCAAGGTGACTTCTCATTCACAAAATAAATAATGAGTCCGTGTAGCTTTAGATGAGTGGTTTCTATCATGAGAAGGGCCACTGGAAGGCTCAATGCCCTAAACTAGTGAACAAAAATGCTAGGGGGACAGCAAGTCAGTCATTTCAACCCAAAGATCGTCATTCAACAGCAGTTGTAACACCGGTGAATAAGTCTTCCTCACAGGCCCCCAACCAAATTATGCTTACTAATTAGTTGCAGAAGCTACTCTCTCTCCATCAGTCTGGTGCTCTTACAGTATCTCCTTCAGTAGGTTCATTTACCTCAGGTATGTCCCGCACCGTCTGGGTCTTTGACTCAGGTGCCACACATCATATGACTAATAATTCTTCTTTATTTGCGTCTATTATTTCTCCTCTATATGTATCTGTACTTGCAGCCAATGACACTCAAATGTCTTTAGCTGGTGTTGGGACAATTATTTCTTCTCATCTTAGACTTCTTAATATCTATTACATTCCTCAGCTCACTTTGAATTTAATCTTCGTAAGTCAATTATTTGATTCAGAATTTTGGTTCATTTTTTCTCTTTTAGTTGTATTGTGCATCCACAATCCAAGAAGCTGATTAGGACAAGCCATAGAAAGGGAGGATTGTATGTGTTGGAGGAGCTCCATGCTCCAGAAGTTTCTACGTCTACTGTTGATTTATCTTCTTTTCATTTGAATTCACAATCTTCTAGTTTTTATTTGTGGCATTCTCGCCTTGGTCATGTTTCTCATTCTCGTTTAAACTTTTTAGCTTCTACTTATAGTTTGGGCAGTTGAGAGTGTTATGACATTTCTAATTGTAGTGGATGCAAGTTGGCTAAATTTAGTTCATTACCTTTCAATAATAGTGATACTTGTTCCCTTGCACCATTTGATCTTATTCATTCTAATATAGGGGGACCAGCTTTTGTTCCTACACAAGGAGGGTCCAAATATTATGTTTATTTTATTGATGATTATACGAGGTACTGTTGGGTATATTTAATGAAATGTCGATCTGAATTCTTTTTAATTTTCACCACTTTTCGTAACATGGTCCACACTCAATATTCTGTTGTCATTAAATATTTTCGATGTGATCAGGAAGGTTAATACAATCTTACTTCTTTTCGTGATTTGTTGAAATTTGATAGTAAACTTTATCAATCCTCTTGCATTGACACACCTGAGCAGAATGGTGTTGCTGAACGTAAACACCGTCATATTGTAGAGACAACATGCTTCCTTCTATTATCAGCCCATGTTCCCATCTTATTTTGGGGGGAAGCAGTTCTTATAGTAGTTCATTTGATCTACTGCATTCCTACTATTCTTACCTCTAGAGTCTCTCCATTTGAAAAAATTGTGTGGTAAGCCGCCTAACTATTTCTCTTTACGTGTGTTTAGTTGTACTTGCTTTGTTTTGCTCCTCAGTGTTCTTCGTATCAAACTTTATGCTTGCTCAGCTTTGTGTGTCTTTCTTGGTTATAATGAGGGTCAAAAAGGGCATCGTTGTTATGATCCTATTACCCATAAACTTTATGTTTCTCGCTATGTTGTCTTTATGGAGCATATTCCTTTCTTTTCAACTCCATCTAGTTCTTCTCCACTGAATAAGTCCGATCTACTATACATTGATCCATTTTCTGCTTATGTTCCTCATGACACATATATTGGTGATTTAATTGTCCTAGATTCTTTCCCTTCTGAATTGACTGGTCCTCGTCCTCCTATTCTGGGTACTTATGTTCGCTGGACTCCATCTATATCTTCTACGGATGTGGTGTCTCCCCACTTTCCTCGTGCTGCCCAATTAGGTTCAGATACTGTAGATTATACCCTACGCTATCCTCAACGCTCTCGCAAATGTTCAGACAGGTTTGGTTGGAGTAATACTTGTTATTCTCCTGACTTTTGTTCTTTTCTTACTTTTATTCACTCTCTATTTGAACTCACCTCCTATAAGGAGGCTTTACTTGATCCACAATGGAAATAGGCTATGGATGAAAAGTTGTCTGCCTTACATAAGACTAGAGATTGGGACTAGTGTCTTTATCACTTGGTAAACGCACCATTGGTTGTAGGTGGATTTATAAGATAAAAATCAAGTCTGATGGTTCTGTGGAACGGTATAAAGCTCGATTAGTAGCCAAGGGTTTTGCTCAAGAGTATGATATAGATTATGATGAAATTTTTGCCCCTGTTGCGAAGATGACTACCGTTCACACAGTGATTGCAATTACTGTCATTTGCCAATGGAATTTGTCTCAGATGGATGTAAAAAATACTTTTCTTCATGGAGATTTAAGTGAAGAGGTTTTTATGACTAGTCCTGGATTGTCTCATAGTCTTGGTCAAGTATGTCAACTTCACCGAGCTTTATATGGCCTTAAATAGGCTCCCATGGCATGATTTGCTAAATTTTTTTCGATTATTTGTGACTTGGGCTTTCGCGCTAGTGACCATGATTCTGCTCTCTTTTACGGTTAACTTCCTCAGGTTCTATTATTCTCTTACTATATGTTGATGATATGATTATTACGGGTGATGACACTGCTGGCATATGTTTATTGAAACTCAGTTGCAGGACCATTTTGAGATGAAAGATTTGGGGTATCTTAGATATTTGTTGGGTATTGAGATTGCTTCCTCCTCTAAAGGCTATATTCTCTCTCAGTCCAAGTATGCTTCAGATGTTATTGAATGAGCTCGTTTTTTAGATAATCAGACAGTTGAAACACCTTTAGAGCTCAATGTCCGTTACTCTTCTTCTGATGGTACTTCCCTATCTGACTCTATGTTCTATCGCGCTATTGTTGGGAGTTTAGTATATCTTATAGTCACTTGACCGGATATCTCCTATGTTGTTCATATTGTTAGTCAATTTGTTGCTTCACCCACCACTGTTCACTGGGCTGTGGTTCTTCGTATTCTTCAGTATGTTCGAGAGAGTTTGTTATTGTCCTCCTCCTCCTCTATGGAACTTGGGACTTATTTTAATGCTGACTGGGCTGATGACTCTATAGATCGTAAGTTCACTACGGGCTTTTGCCTTTTTCTCGGTGATTTTCTTATTTCTTGGAAAAGTAAGAAGCAAACTGTTGTTTCTTGTTCATCTGCTGAAGCTGAATATCGTGCTATGACATCTACTGCAATTGAGATAGTTTGGTTACGATGACTTCTTGCTGATCTTGACATCATGTTATCTGTGCCGACTCCTGTGTATTGTGATAGCATTAGTGCTATTCAAATTGCTTGCAACTCAATCTTTCATGAGCACACAAAGCATATTGAGATTGATTACCACTTTGTGCGTCATCATCTTCAGTTGAGCACTATCTCCCTCCCTATTCTTTCTTCTACTATGCAGTTAGCAGATTTCTTCACAAAGTCGCATTCAATCACTCGCTTTTGTTTTCTTCTTGGCAAACTCTTGATGTTTTATGCTACCATATCATGAGTTTTAGAGAGGGTGTTAGAGTAGTTAAAATATTTAGACTTAGGGGTAGCTTAGTCATTTGTTTTCTTTTATGTTGCCTACTATATAAAGACCTCTTGTATGTATTTTTCTTTTATGTTGTTTTGGATTATTGTGCCTCAATATTATTTTCTTTTTCTTGTTTCTTTCTTTTTTCTTTGATCTGAATTAACACCGTTGACCCTTTTTTACTATTACACTCATACATGTAATGTAATTGGTGTACCAACATGGGCTTAAGTAAGGCTGAGTCAGCTTGAAATATTTCTATGTTCTCTGTTATCCTGGAAGTATAGCGCCACTGTCACCCAACCTTTTATGTTTTATTGCCAGGTTAGTTCATACCTTAGATAATAAGATTTACTGCAAACCCATCTTACCCATATAACACTTGAGCCAATGGCTGTGCCCCTCATAATATGATGGATGCCATTTCATACTTGCAATTTATTTTAAATTCTGACTGGAGTTTATGACATGTTGGGTGTCATGCAGCTTAGCTTAAGTGATCTTAACTTGGTATATGCCTGCACAAAGGATAAAACTTTGATGATAGATGTGCAAGCCCGTGAGATTTCGGAAAGAGATCTCAAGGCTGCATTACAATTGGCTCATCCTGAGGTCAGTCATATTACTCATCGTTCCTTTCTACAGCATTTGTGTTACTATTTGATTTGTATAGCATGCATTGATTATTCGCAGGCAGTTAAATACCTTGAGCCTCAAATCAGACTGGCAGCCAAAGTTGGTAAACAGAAGAAGGAATATAAACTGTCTGTGACGTCAGAGAAAACCTTTGAAAAAATCAAAAGTCTAGCCGAAGCTCCTATTGAAGCTGTTTTTACAGATCCCACGTATGGCAAGGTTCACAGCAGTCTTGCTTATGCAACATAATGATTTTGAAATTATACTGAATTTTGTGTATTTTCGTGTACATTTGGTGCTGTTTCCTTGCGTCTTTGTTTGACTTTTCCTTTTGAATGAAATGATTTTCTATTATTTACATCCAGTTTGAACGTGGAGAGGCCCTAGACAAGATTACCCAAGATGTAAAAAGAGCACTTGAGGAAGAATGTGATGAAGAAAGCTTAAAAGTTTTATCTAAGACAGTTGACACAGTGAGGAAAGAGGTATGCCTACAGCATAGATCTGCAAAATCAGCACTTTCCTTTGTAGCCACTGTAGTTATTTTGCAGGCCATATCCATCAACTGATGATAGGATATGTTTGAACAATTCCCCTTTCCTCCTTGTTGAACACATAATAGATTATGAATTCTTTCCCATGTGTTGGCATTTGCTATATGCTTCTCAATGCCACGATCACTATATAAAAGAGCTAAGAGAGTTCAGTGTATCCTATTCAGAATAGATATTGCTGATGTGTGCTTCATTGGATGATATGTCTCCTTGGCTTGAACAAGATTACAGTGTGCCATGTGACCTATTATTGGACCAAAAACCTTCAGATTTGCCATTCTTGAAGTTTATGATGATGGGAAGTACATCAGGAGTACAAGGATGGATGGTCTTCTGGACCCCTAAAATATCGGGGTTCTTTGATACGTTTATTTTGTTAAATTTATGTTCTTGAAATATGATGGTGACTTTTTTTTTTCCTTGAAAATTGCAGGTTGTTCGCAGGAGAATCATTGCTGAAGGACTTCGAGTAGATGGGAGACGTCTTGATGAGGTTAGGCCTCTGTATTGTGAAGCCGGTAATTTACCTGTATTGCATGGATCATCACTCTTTTCACGAGGGGATACTCAGGTTAGTCACTAATTTTTTTCTGTTATGTTGGTTTACTTCGATCAATGATGGTGTAGAAACATTGTACTCCTTTGTAAGAACAATTTTGTGAAGTTTTATTTCTCTTGGCATACATTTGATCTTATATACAGGTTCTTTGTACTGTTACCCTTGGAGCACCTGGAGATGCTCAACGTTTGGATTCCCTGGTTGGTCCCCCAACAAAGCGCTTCATGCTTCACTATAGTTTTCCACCATTTTGCATTAATGAAGTTGGTAAGCGAGGTGGCTTGAATAGGCGTGAAGTTGGGCATGGTAAGCTAATTGACATTTTTCATACTTCCATAACATGTCAACAAATTTGCTGTTAACATTGTTTAGCTGCGTTCAACCTATATAGGCACTCTTGCTGAGAAAGCTTTGCTTGCTGTATTACCACCGGAAGATGACTTTCCATATACAGTCCGTATCAATTCAGAAGTCATGTCTTCTGATGGTTCAACTTCAATGGCAACTGTCTGTGGAGGTATCCTTTTCCAACTCCTGTAATAGCTTCTTATCACTGGGTGATAATATGCACATGGAAATTTCCTCTCTTCAATTGTTTGGTATTAAACTATTAATATCAGTTGAAAACCTTTGATATGAATAATATACTTTTGACCAAACGTTCAATTCCAATTGCAGTTGAATGGTTCTCCACGATCTAATCTGTCATTCACGTATGAATCTTTGAGTATTAAAAGCTTTTCCTTTTTATCTCCTTCCTGTAGGCAGTATGGCTTTGATGGATGCGGGAATTCCTTTAAGAGAACATGTAGCGGGAATGTCGGTGGGCCTTATTAGTGATGTTGACCCATCAACCGGCACAATCAAGGATTATCGTATTGTAACTGATATTTTGGTAATGATTTTGCCATACTTGTTTTGATGTTCTTTTCGAGCTTAACATTTTGTAGTCTACAAAAGCTGGTAGACCGTCCGGTTCTTTTTGCCATTCTAAGTGTTTTTCTTGTTTCTTTCTTTCTCTGTGTTTTTTTCTTTCATGTGGGTTATTTCTAGGGCCTGGAAGATCATCTGGGGGATATGGACTTTAAAATTGCAGGCACACGAAATGGGATAACAGCAATTCAATTGGATATAAAACCCGCTGGAATTCCTTTAGATATTATTTGTGAGTGTTTAGAACCTGCACTTAAAGGGCGGCTTCAAATCCTTGAACATATGGAGCGAGAGATCAATGCACCGCGTACTCAGGATGACAAGAACTCTCCTCGGTTAGGTATATCCCATCTTTTAGTGCCCTCTTGGTTTTGTGGATTGCTTGTTGCTGTGTAACTTTATACCTTCCTTGTTCAGATAGTTACTCAAGCTAACAGCTGGATTTTCATATTTTGATGTACTTTTATGCTTCTCTAATAGTTCATTGTTCTGTGTTGCAGCCACCTTGAAGTATAGTAATGATTCTCTTCGTCATTTGATTGGTCCTCTTGGTGCTTTAAAGAGAAAAATTGAAGAAGAAACAGGTATTATTCAGTTTGATTATGCTTATGATAATTTTTGTGCAAAAAAGAAACAACTGACTATAATTACTTTGGGTGTTTGGATAAAATTTCTCTGATTACCCTCTTTACCTAGTTGGTAATGGTCATTTGGACATGGTTTATGTGGCCTTATTTTGTGATACTATTATTCTTAGCTTTCCTTTATGAATAGAGTGCATAATTGCATTTTGGAGGACAGTCCACTGGCATGAATGACCTGAATTTGTGCATTTTCTATTGAGGCTCATCCTTTTTAATGTTCATAACTATTTCTGAAATCCTGACCCTTATTTATGTTTTTTTGAGACACCATGTCTAAAACCTTAGGCATATATATGTATGTGTAGTAAACTTAATAATTTATGTGTGATTTGCCAAGAGGGCCACATTCGGTTTTGTGACGAAGTGGGTGAGGAACTTTCTTTTTTCTTCTTCTTTTGGGCTTATTCTTTTAGATATGATTCTGAACTAATTGAAGGACTAATATATATTCTGGATTCCTGCAAACTCTACTGGTTTTTAACGTGTGACACTAGATGCTTTCAAGAATGCTCTGAACTTGCTTTATAATTAATTTATTTCCTGTTGTTTGACAACTTTTTTTCTCGACTGTTATAACTATGGATTATGATTTACTTACATTCACAGAGTTATTTCATTAATGTTCTCAATCTCTCAAATGTGTTCTTTGCTGAAATCCTTAGAAATATGTCTGAATTGTGCATATGAGTAATGCTACATGGACTTAAAAAGTAGACTTAAAAATTAGACTTGATAATCTCAACCATTGAATAGGTAGTGGGTCCCAATAAATGCTGGGACCCACAGTGAAATCAATGGTTGAGATTTTCAGGTTTAATTTTTAAGTCTACTTTTTAAGTTTATGTAGCATTACTCTTGTGCATATACATGCATATTACTTGTCTAAATCTTGTTTTCGTATCAAAACTCAGGTGCACGGATCTCTGTGAGTGATGGAACCCTTACGATAGTTGCTAAGAATCAATCTGTCATGGAAAAAGTACAAGAAAAGGTATGTTTTTTTGCAATCTTGCTGACCTATTTTGCTCGTAGCATACACTCGTTGGAATTGCGTGAGACTGGACCCTCATCTTCTGCTCTGAGTGACCTATTGTATTTATTTAGTTGGAATAAAATGTTGTGCCTCTTCTGAGTGACATTTCATTACGAATTGGTTTTAAAAACTATGGTCCTAGGATCTGTTCACAACTTTTAGATATGCTCTTCTCCCTTCTTTGTAAAAAATATGGTTTATTTTATTAAAATCATGTATAATTAGAGTCAGGAGAATATGATGATGATGCATTAGATTTTAGCTTCATGCCTTGAGGAATTGAATCCTTGTTGCCAAAGCAACCTATGCAGTTGTGCTAGTTGATAAGTTTCAAACTGACTTGTATTTTCTATCCTAATCTGAAGGAAATAAACTCTTATTATCAAGATCAAATGTCTATTTCAAAATTTCATCAATTTTAATTTTGCAAGCAGTGTTTCAAATTAACTGTTGCTTATTAAGTTCCCTCATATTGTTTCAAAGCTGTGGGACTTTCTGTCTACTGTCGAGTGAATTAAGCGGAATGTTGGTATTATCTATTCAGAAATGAAATTATTGTTCTCTTTATCTCACAAACCTAATAATGGAATGTGCTTCTACCACCTCATGTACATACCCTATTGATTGGTTTCCGAATGTGGGCAATTTTTTTTATATTAAATTGGTTGTGCCACTATTTTATCTTCTGCAATAACAAGTCTGGTGATGGATGTCCACTGTGTCTGTCTTCCATATTGTCCAGTACAATGCAAAACTGTCTTACAAGTTTGTTTTACGTGTATTGCTGCTTTTTCTGATTTACTCGTGTCACTTTGTCCTGAAGTGTGGAAGCGGTTGACCGAAAGTTGGTTCCCTGTTTTGCTGTTATAGATGGTAGAGCTAATCTAATTATATTTTTTTCCTGACAGAAATAAACTCACAAATATTAATTTAAAAGGTATTGAAGATTGATGAGATGATAAGCTAATGAAAATGAAAGAAGGATGGATGAAGCAAACCTAGCTTGGGCAGAAATTGGAATCAGAAATCTGTCTTGCCATGAGGTTATTCCAGTTTGGACTTTGGTCTGCCATGTGATTTGGAATTCACAACATAGTGATTCATAACCATTCTTAATTCGTAGCATTGAATCAGTTTCATTTATTTAATAATTTCTAGCCTCTTGCGGGTCATGGAAATGGTAATAGTTTAGCCCTAAAGGAGTCCTTTCTTTTTTGAAAATTATCATTAGCTACAGATGAAACATAAAACTTCTTACTTTTATTTTCTTTTTTCTTTTGGAGTCGTGGAGAGTTTATTCTTCCTTAGTTTTACTTTTAGGCCCATTTCATTTTAATTTCATATATTATGCTGATTGTTATCATATTGTTTGCAATTGAGCCATCTATGATTTTATCTAATTGAAGTGCTTTTAATTTCTTCTCTCAGGTTGATTTTATAGTTGGGCGTGAGATTGAAATTGGAGGGATTTATAAAGGGGTTGTAACTTCAGTCAAAGAATATGGTGCCTTTGTGGAGTTCAATGGTGGCCAACCAGGGCTCTTACACATTTCTGAATTGTCCCATGAACCGGTATGTAGATCATTAGGGGTAGTTTAGAGCGATCTTGATGGTTTCCCTTCTTTCCTCTTAAACAATTTGTAGTTCACAAGGCTTCCCACCTGTTGTGGGGAAGAGGTAAGTAGTAGGCACTAGGCAGTCTTACCCCCATTCTGTAGAGTTTCGACTCCCGGACTCGAGCCAACACCTATTGCTTGGGCGGATTTTGCTTAGACTGTCTAAGCTATCATGTATTTCCCTTGCTCCCCTGGCGTTGTAATAACATGCTGAAACCTGGAGATTGTTTTGTACCAGTATCAAGGATTAAAGTTTCATTTCAGTTTGTCTTATTTTTTTAGCCATTTTTCTTGAGTTTCTATTCATGTGCTCCTGGAAACATTTTATACCTCAATGTCCTAGGGAGTTCAGGTTTTCTGTTATGGATCTACATATTGAGGAACATATACATATGCCCTTCGTGATGTTATTGTGAATCTCTTCTGATAAATCATGTCTCTAAATCTCATTAGGTATCCCGGGTTTCAGACATGGTAGCTGTTGGGCAGCAACTTTCTCTAATGTGCATAGGACAAGACGTTCGTGGTAACATTAAGTTATCTCTTAAAGCTACTTTACCTCGACTAGTATCAGAGACAAACAACGTGCTTGGGGGATCTGTGGATTCCAAAAATCATGTACCTAATGTTTGGGAAACTGTTGGTGATGTGCCTGACGAGCAGGAAAAACAAAAGAATGTGGTGGACGATTTGCCAGTGGATAAACATGACACTAGTGGGGCAAGCTCTTCTTCTTCAACACCGGCAGTTCTGATTCGAAGTGCTGCAGAGTGCGATGAGGAGGAAAAATCTGCTGGTTTAAATCTGAATTTTAGAAGTAGCTCTAGATCCCTAAGCACTTCGAAGTCTGACTCGAATCACAAGTCAAAAGCATCCCCATCTCAAAAAAATGTGCTTGACTCACCATTTGCCGATTCTGATATTTTTTCATCCAGAAATGCCAAGTCGTCAAAATCATTTTCGCCAAAGGAAAAAGAGAGAGAATCCAATACTAACTTTGTAGGTGATGATGAAGATGAGAATGAATGCAACTCTTCATCCGCAACTCGTTCGCGGAATGATTTAAATGATAGGGAACATGCAGTTGAGGCTCCCATGAATGCGAAAAAGCTAAAGCTTGGAATGCAGGTAACAGCTAAGGTTCATCAAATTCGTGCACGTGGGTTAGTTCTTGACTTGGGTGGTGGAATTCGTGGAATGTACCGGTTTGAGGTATTTTTTCACTCTTTTGTTTGTAATGTTGCCTTTGAATTCAGTTTTGTTTTGGGTATATTTGGTAATGGTTAAAGGCTTTATGGTAAATGCTTGTAGAAAGTACAACATCCATCCTTTTATCTTCCTTTCAGTTGTTTTGGCAGAAGAATATGTAAGTTTTATGTGGCTGCTAAATTTTGCACAAAGAATTTAGATTAGTGGTTTCCAAAATTCCCTGCAATGTCATGCATGGTGTTTGATTTCTTTATTTTTTGTCCAAGGATGGCAGACATAAGTTTTATATAGACAGAGTTTGATGAATTCAACAGTTACTCAACCCTTAAGATGTATAATTTAATGTCTAATTTGGGGTTCATGTCATTTTAACTTTCATTTTGCCTTGCAGACTAGTGGCAAGAGGGACTTTGAGATAGGAGACGAGGTGCAAGTCATGTGTTCAAGTTTTTCTACCAAGGGGATTCCAGTGATGTCCATGGTGGAAAATGAGTAGTGTTTTATTTGCTATTGGTGCCTCAGACATACAATGCAAGGATGATGGATGGCAACTGGAATGAAAATTGGCAAGAAAGTATACCGTGTATCAACAGCACAGAGATGCTAATATATGGGCTCAATTATGCCGCAAATTTTGCATGGATTGGAGCATGCGCTGTTTCATATGATGTGAAGGACTCTGTAGCTTTGGTTTGAGCAAAGCATTCGGGGGGATGGCTAATCTACGTTTAGCATCACGATGCTCGGGTCTCATTCAAAGGTTAGTCTAGAAGAGCCTGCTAAATTTTATTTACAAGCCAACTTTCACAATTTTGTTTAGGTTGGTGTCTTTGCCATGCAAGTTCATGGTAAATTTTGACTCTTATTGGTTCTTGGTTAGTAATTGTAGCAATCGACCTTATATGAGAAAGTAGTTTTTCTTTCTGGTGCATCAGAGAAATGAAATGTAAATATGATTTTTGGCAGTGATGATGGTCTGGGACCTTTAAAGCTGGTTTTGTTGCCTTAATATATTTTTCTTTTAGGATATTTATATGAACGTACTGCTGGAATGTGTGTTCTCTGATATGCTATCCCTATTTTTCCCCCTATTCCATTTTTGTTCTATTTTATGGATCGTGAGGTCCTTGCGTTCCTCTACTTTCCGGTGTATTTTAGTTAAGAAATGATTCATTATTATTGGGTGCAGAAATTGTAGATTATGACCAAAATTTGTGTAGCATCTACTTCCGCTTGTCGAAAAGTCTATCTCTGATTGCATCAATATTTTATTTTCCCTTTGCTGCTACGGAGAGAGACGTTCCGCCTCTTTCTTAAATAGCTCTCGCTCATTCATTTTACTGAATTTGAACCCTTCCACCAAGAAGACAAGCATAGCGCCAGGAATTTTCAAAATTACAACGATTTAGTTTTCAATTCTCATCGCCGACCATCAAATGAAATGTGAATAATTCATCCTCTCTTTGAAAGAGGGGTGTTTTTGGTTTTGTTGGTGCTTGAAATAATTTTGCAAGTGAAGCTCTGGGGAATGACGACTGTAACAACTGATTATAGAATTGATCATTTGGACCTTTCAATTCATAGATATAGATCTCGGACCTATGAATGGAGATATTTTCGAAACTCAAAGAAAAAAGGAAGTGAGTTAGATAGAAAGAAAAGCAACAAATTTGGCTTTATCTTTGTTTGTTCTGTTAGTGTTACTCTTAACTTGACAGCCTAGCATAAAAATTGATCGGATTGAGATTTTTTTTATTATTTTTCACGTAATTTTATTCAATGATAGATCACTTATCATGTATTCATGTAAAACTTATTATTTATATGTGAATTCCTCATCCATATATGTTGGGTGATCTACCATTAAATGTAATTGTGTGAAAAAATAATTGAGAAGATCTAGATCTGAAGAGAAGTTGCTTCTGATTTGATGAGTAAAATCCATCCAATTAGTGTTATTAATGGCTTATTTACTCCACCTTATACACTTTTATTGCCATTAAGAGAGAGAGAGAGAGAGAGAGAGAGAGAGAGTTCACTTCGTATATGAAACGAGTGGTTTTGGACATTTCCCAAGTAAATGTGGCACTAATGCTGGAATTAGAAACAGTTTACATATGAACCACCCATCATGTTAGATCATCTTGTTCTATTGCTGGAATGATATACCATTGAATTCAAACCATAACAGTTGGCCATCAAGAAAAATTGCATATAGAAGATTAGCACGGCTCTAGCACTAGATCTCCTTGCGAACCTAGTCTATTTTTTTACGACTAGGGGATATTTCTTGCACCTTGGTTTTTAAATACATTATACATTAATGCTAGAGTGACTAAATTTAAATAAACAAATCTAATAGTTCAACTAGCGGAAGTTGACTCGTATTTTTTGAAATAAAATTTATTTACTTACATAATAAAAAATTCACTATTTTGTTAACGTTTAGTTTTACTGCAAGCCTATTTTTCAATTTTTTTTAAATTTTTTTTGTAAAAATATAGAAGACTGCATATGGATAATGGACGAGAGGAACATAAATTCCTTACCAATTGTAGCCGATATTTTTGAATATGGAGGCATATGAACTTCTGTTTAATGGCTGTCTTCACTGGGCCACCGAAAGCACACATTCGTTTAGACTTTTTTCAGGCTGCGTTTTGCATTCTAGGCTTATTATTATTCATCATGTGTAACACAGAGAGAGAGAGAGAGAGAGAGAGAGAGAGAGAGAGAGTAAAAAATGCTCCAACCAAACACGCCGCTAGCTGTGGGATGTCCTCACCACCAAGAAACAAGCAAGTCGTCGCATTACATACAATTGACCTAGATTTGATTCTTTTAGCATCTATCAACTCAAAATGTCAAAAAGCTCGTGAGTGGAATGTGGAATACATTATTGGTGTTGTGATGCGACTCCAAAGTCCATTGCTTATATCACAAATATGAAAAGAAAGAAAAAAAAGTGACGCATTACCTATCTTTCAAATTTTGAATTAAAATGATGGAAATTTAATCATAACTCTGAAGTAAACTATACATCAAACTTTGAATAGCACAGTAAAAGTCATAGGACCTTTTTTTTTTTTTTTTTGCTTAAAACACACCTTTTCCCAAAACCCAAAATGATCCAAGGCCCCGCATTATACATGAGCCAATTCATTTTGTCAACGGATCAAAATCAAAAAGACCCCTCTCATACAATCGAAAAAAAGGTGAAACGTTACCTATCTTTTAAACTTTGGACTAAAATGATAAAAATTTAGTCATAAATTTTGAAGTAAACAATAGGTCAAATTTTGAATAGCACATTAAGAAACATACGACTCTTTTTTATTTTGGCTCAAAACCATTGTTATCAGAATTAGATTAGATTGGACTGTGAATCGAGACTCAGACCGGTCCGATTTATTAATTGAACCGTCCAAGGAATTGAAACGGTTGTAAACCACTAAACCGGCCACTTATATTCAAAACTGGTGAACCGGACAATTTTACAAAAACCTGTTGGTTCGACTTTTACCAGCCAAAAAAAAAATAAAAATTCAATCGTCTTCTCCAATCTTTACTGTGCAGTTTCTCCACCCCCTCCTCTCTCTCTCTCTCGAAAAGTTGAAAGTCTTCTAACTTTGTGGATCTCAAATCGTTGGAGACTTTCTCTTTGTGGAGCTCGAACAGTCGAACCAGTCGGCTCTTGATCTTCCATTTCTAGTCTTCTCTAATCTCTCTCTCTCTCCCACAGTCTTTTGTCTTCTCTTCTTTTCTCTCTCAGTCTTTGTCTTTTTTTGGTTTTGGTTCTCTGAATCTGAACGCACCAGAAGCTTAGAAGAGGACCCTTACTTTTGGGTATATTACTTTGACCGGTGCTCTTGAGATTTAATTTAATGATTTAATTTGTTAATCTAATTCATTATCATTTTAAATTTACTGTGGACTCCATCAAATATTAAAACTTGGTGTTAATTCAATAGTCCTAATAAAATCACATTATTATATCAACAAATTATGTCAAATTTTTAAGTTCAAATAACATTTTCCTATTACTTTTGGGTTCCCTAAATTTGGGTATATTAATTGTTAGAAGGAATTGCTTATTATGTTTAATATTATTGAGTTGTGTTTTAATTTTTTTTTTCCAGTAATTTTCTCTTAATTCGAGTGGCTGTTTATGTTATAATATTTCAATTACATCTTCCATTCTGATCAAAAAAAAAATTACATCTTCCATTATTGTTAATTGTGTTGGGCATTATGTCTTGTCTCTAAGATAAATTGTATCTATTGTAAGCATGTTTTTTATTAGCTAAATTATTATATTTTATAATACAATCTATCCGATTAGTTGACCCAACGATTGAATCAGTGAACCATTGACTCGATCCCTCTATCGATTTAATGTTCGATCCAATTCTATTAACACTGTTGAGAACATACCTCAAAAATCTCAGTTCAAATAATATTATTTCATTTTGATTAGTACAAGGTTTCCCATATCTGACAATAGCACATGAAATCCAAAATGATCCAATTCATAAAAAAAAAAAAACTTAATATAAATATTTTACATCAGCCAAATTCATTTTGTCAACGGAACATATAAAAAAGGGCCCTCTGGTAAAGGGCTCGCTGGCTGAAGTCAGCCATGGGCCAGGGTGGCCGTCGAAGATAAATGAATCAGAACGAGCAAATGATGCTGTTTAGACAATAATTAAAAGAAAATATTTTTTTTTTTACTTAATTTAGTGACATGATAGATCATTAACATAGAATTAATAGTAGGTCTCAATTAATAGTGGAGTCTCCCTCTCCCTCTCCCCCCCCCAAAAAAAAAAAAAAACCAACACAGAAAAATATCTCAAAAAATGCGAATTTAGATTCTTGTCCGTGCACTTTCATTCACTAGTAGATTTTTAAGGATTTAAATATCTTTTAAGAGCATTTTTAACCATAATTTAAATTTTTATTTAAATTTAAATTAATATAAGAATAAAAGGTTTGATTTAATACAAAAAGTTCTAATTAACAAATTCAAATTTAAATGAGAACAAATTCAAATTTAAAATAAAGTAAAAATGGTCATTGAATCTTTAAAAGATTGTGAAACCTTACTATTAAAGATTAGGACAAGAATTTGAGTCTCTATTGATTTAAGTAAAAAATTGAGTCTCCCTTGATTTGTTATAAGTTTGAGTCAAAAGTTCGAACAAATTTTTTAGACTTTTTTACTCAAATTTAAATTTGATTCAGGGTTAGAGATACTTTAATATCTATATTTTAAATTTTTTTCTTAGTGTATCATTTATCATTAATTAGTTAGGGATCCACCTCTATGTAATGGAACTCACTTGAATGTATAGTAGATGATCCGCCAAGAAAAAACATATTAAAGGGCATCTCACTTCGAAATATAGGGCTAATAAATAGCATGTCTTGCCTAAATTCATGAAATATTATCTATTATTTGTTGAAATTGATTAAAAAGAAGGGGATAACACTATAATACCCACCAAGCAGTGGGTACCATCATGAAAAATAGATCATAAACTTGTGTTGATTTGTTTATGACCACAAATCCTTAAAATAATAAAATAATAAATAAAATAGTATTGCTTGAACTTAATTTACTGAACTAATAAAGTATTGTCATTGAATTAACAGTAAACCCCGATTTTTCTTTAAATTTACTACAAAATCGATAGTTGTGATTCGTTAAGTCAATAAATACATTCAACAACAAAAGTCCAAATAATATTTTCTAGGATTTTTTGTACTTTACACCTTGAAATATTTTAAATTTATTTACTTTAAATTTTTAATGTATTAAAAATATTGTAATGTGATTTTTCTGTTAGTTTATATTATTTTCTTGTCAAAAGTCAACCTATTAATATTGACGAAAAAATTAACGAAAAAGTTAATAGGTTTTTGATATATTAATGGTATAATATAAAATTTTTAATATTTAATGGTATAAAATAAAAAATTTAAAATCTTTGAAGATATAAAATAAAATTCACCCTATTTTCTATAATAAAATGTAACAAATATTTCACGTGCCATGTTCTAATTGACATGAGAAAGATCTCAATTGAAAAGGTCCACCCGAACCGCGTGCTGCCACGAGCCGACGGTGATGTTTGGTTTTAACTGCCACATGTCCCGATCCAACACAATTTATTGGATCTAACGGTTGATGTCACTGATATGTAATAAGATAGTATATGAGAGGTGGGGACATTTAAAAAAAAAAAAGGGTCCCACTCCCACCAAGTGTTGCATGTTAATTTGGCAAAATTATGAAGTGGTGGGGTGTCTTTGGTTTAAAGATAGCTTGAAAGTCATTACACACAGGAGACACACAGCAGACCAATGCAACTTAAAAAAAAAAAACCAATAAAAAGAAGGGTGCACTGGAATACGGCCTTTTAATGCCTGTTTTTATTCTTTAGGACCACATCAGGATAATTTTATCTCTGGTATATATTTTAATTTCAGTGTAAATAATTTATTTTTAATTAAAAAAAAATTAATCAAAGTGCAACTGTTGAACAAAAAAAAACATGTATGTTGTTATATGTAAGGCGTCCACTAGATCTAATTAAACTAATTTTAAATAAGAATTTGCACATTAAACTATAGTGCAAACAAGTTTTAAAATCCCTTATGCTTTCAAATGAGATAATATCATAATACCATTAGATTAGATCATTCACGTCATTTTAAAAACTAACACTTTTACTGTACAGTAGTAGAGGAGTAGTGTCCGTGAAGTTGTCCAGGGAAAACAAAATTTAAAGTTGCCAGAGTGGAAACAGTGAGAGATTTTAATAATAATTGTCGTTGGATTATTAATTTTAAAATAAATATTAAATATTAAAAAATATTTTTTTAATATCATAATTGGAGGATAATTATGAGAAAAAGGATGTGACAAGAGTCCTTACCGTGGGACCATCAAGGAAGATGTGTTGAATAGTAGGTGGACGCCTAGATTCCAAGCTTACTCAAATCACCCTCGTAGTCTCATTTACCGCACCAAACTAAACTGGAAAAGTGCGCAAATCCCAAGAGGATGAACAGAGAACAGAGAAGACGAAGGAGCCAGTTTGAAACTGACTGTCTTTATATCAATTCATACATACATTCCTTTCCCCTGATAAACATTCAGTTCAGCCCCACAAGGAGAGAGAGAGAGAGAGAGAGAGAGAGAGAGAGAGAGAGGCGATAATTTCAATATACCCAAGTCGAATTACATGCATTTCTCAACCTCAAACCTTGCATTTCTCCCATGGCTCATCTTCTTCTTCATCAATCTTTTCCCACTTTCACACTCCGATCCGAGAATCTCAGAGGCTGGCCTCCTCTGTGACCACAACCGACCACCACCAAACACCAGCTACATCCCAATCTTTGTCAAAGAAATGCAAGTTCTATCAAAACTCGTCACGGCCAACGACTGGGGTAAGTACCACGTATTCAATTCAACACCACCCATATACGCCTTAGCCCAATGCTTCCAAGACCTATCTCACACCGACTGCCTTCTTTGCTACGCCGCGAGTCGAACGAGACTACCCCGTTGCCTCCCTTCTGTCTCAGCTCGTATATATCTTGATGGGTGTTTCCTACGTTACGATAACCATAGTTTCTACAACGAAAGCACCGACCCAGTTCGAGATAGAGTGAATTGCAGCAGTTCATTGGGTAAATTGGACAGAAATGAAGCGGCGACGTTGAAATTTGAGAAGGGTATTGGAGAGTTGATCGACAACGTGACTGAATCTGCGGTGTTGAATGGAGGCTTCGGAGTCTCGGCAATGAAGGGGGTTTATGGTTTGGCACAGTGCTGGAAGACTGTGAGCAAAGAGGGGTGTAGAGAGTGTTTAGAGAAGGCGGGTAAGGACGTTAAAGGGTGTTTTCCGAGCAGGGAAGGGAGGGCATTGAATGCTGGTTGTTACTTCAGATATTCCACCAAAAAGTTCTTCAGCAGTGAGGCTGAGAAACTGAAGAAACATTCAGGTGAGCCTGTTTTTCAAGTATTGATCATATAAGAATTTATGTAATACATTGAATTGAAAGTGAGATGAGTGTATTTTTTATTTTGTTCTTGCTCAACCTGAATTGAATTGCATTTAAAATCAAGTTCTTTGTCTTGTGTTTATGTAATTTTTTCCTTTTCCCCTTCTGTTTCATGTAATGTCTGTGTTGTTTTCTTGATTGTGTTTGTGAGATTCAGTGTTTTTTGCAATAAGATCTTCATGGCGATCCGTTCTTTGGTTGTTTTCTCCTTAATTGTTTTCTTATTTTTGCGGTTCAAGTCTTATTGTTACTTTGTTTTTCTCGCAATAGCTGTTTAGGTATTTTCCTTATTCAGTCACATTATGTCAACTTCTTCTCTCTGTCAAAGTAAATTACAATTTTCTTTGTTCTACCTTTTGGTTTTTTCCGTTCCATACTTTGGTTTGTCTTGGTTTTGGACTTGTTGCGGATTTCTATAGCTTTCATTTTTTGGTTTAACGGTTAAGGGTGTTTGGTATTTGGGCTAATTTACACGTAAATTGACTAATTCTAGCATTCGTACTGAGATTAAGATATTTATTTGAGATAAATTCCTCTTGACCTAGTCTCAAATTCCGAGAATTGACTGAGTTTAGAGATCATCCCGAGGTGTCTGATCATATTTGTTATCATCTTGGGTTGGATCTCTATCGCTTTCTTCCGTTAATGGGTAGGTTAAGTGTTGACATCTTTGAATTTTTTTATTCCTGAGTGCTACTTTTCATGTTCTCAAATTTGATCTATGACTATGATAAGTACATCCATAACATAATTCTTTTTGTTTTTATTTTTTCCTTTTTCTTCTAACCTTTTTTTTTCTTTTTCAGGGGTCTCTAAAATAGGGGTCACTCTAGCTATTGCTTTGGCTGCTGCGGCCTTCTTCATGGTATCACTCTTTGCTGCTTATGCAGCCTATGTTAGAATGTCAAAGAAAAAAGGTACAATTTTGAAACAAATATCATAGTAATAGGAAAATATGATATTAAGTTAAAACAAGTACCTAATAATACTTTGTCACAATCACGCAGAACGGAGTAATCTCCGCCAAATTTCAAATTCATTCAACAGATCGGGTTTGAATTTCAAATACGAAACACTCGAGAAGGCAACGGATTTTTTTGCTCCTTCAAAGAAAATAGGCCAAGGAGGAGCTGGTTCTGTATATGTGGGGACTCTCCCAAATGGCACAACTGTTGCTGTAAAGAGATTGTTTTTCCATACTAGGCAATGGGTAGATGAGTTTTTCAACGAAGTGAACATAATCAGTGGAGTTCAACACAGGAACCTTGTGAAGCTTTTGGGTTGTAGCATTGAAGGTCCTGAGAGCCTCCTGGTCTATGAGTATTTTCCCAACAAGAGCCTTGATCAGTTTCTTTTCGGTAAATCTTTTTCCCCCTTATATGATTGTAATGCAAATTCTTTGCATTCACATTATAGTTTCAGCATGATCATATGCCGATTTCCTTGTGCAGATAAAGAAAACATTCAAATCTTAAACTGGAAGCAGCGGATAGACATTATAGTTGGAACAGCTGAAGGGCTTGCCTATCTTCATGGAGGTGCTGAACAAAGAATTATCCATAGAGACATTAAGAGCAGCAACATTCTTCTTGATGAGTGTCTCGCCCCAAAGATTGCTGATTTTGGACTTGCTCGGTGTTTTGCAGCTGATAAGACTCATCTCAGCACTGGGATTGCCGGGACTCTGTAAGAGATAAATTTCATTGTGGTTTATGTTTCACTCTTTTCCTAGCAATGTAAATTTCTATGTGAATTATATTAGTTTCTATAATGCTTGAATTTCTGGTGGTGCAGAGGGTACATGGCTCCCGAATATATTGTCCGTGGACAACTTACAGAAAAGGCTGATGTCTATAGTTTTGGAGTGCTAGTTCTTGAGATCGTATGTGGCAAAAGGAATAATGCCTTCATAGAAGACTCGACTTCCGTTTTACAAACAGTAAGATACGAACCCCCTCTCACCAGCTAATCAAAGGCTTGCTTATACTATTCCCGAAAATAGAGATTAAATCTCAATGGGTAGCTCAAATGGTAATAGGAACAAGTTAGAAGCTTAGACGTTTTGAGTTCTAATCTGGGCAATTCCTTGGGATTAGGCCATGAGGAATTTATCGCTCATTATGCTCTAGTCCTGACGTGGATGATCTGCCTTTGACTTGACCGGAGAGGGGATTAGTCATGGTGTGCATAAGTTGACTTGAATACTCCTGACCATTGAACCAAAAAAAACAAAACAAAAATAGGGAATGCATGCAATATATTTTGAATATAAAACTTTCTTGTTTATGTAATTTTGGCCTCAGGTTTGGAAGCTTTACAAAACAGATAAATTGGCTGAATCAGTTGACCCTTGCCTAAAAGATGATTTTCCAGCAAAAGAGGTATGCAAGGTGCTTCAAATTGGACTTTTGTGCACACAAGCTTCAGCTGCCCTAAGACCATCCATGGATGAAGTTGTTCAAATGCTGGCTAATGAAGACTCTGAAATTCCCATGCCCAATCAACCTCCTTTTTTGAGTACTAAATCACTTGATCCAACCAGCTCCACTGGCTCTTACAGCATCTACACTTCAATATCAAATGCCTTGACAAAAATTGAGGTCTCATCCACTTATACAGGGTCCTCTAGTATTGTGAGTTCAGATGGGCCATCATGTAGTGAAGAGTAGAACTAGTAATATATATATATATATATATAGAGGTTCAAAATTTTCTAGTAAATGAGTGTAACCATGTAACCATAACAGAATCGAATCGATTGCCTTGTACAGGTAGAAGTTTTGGAGGAAGACTTGCATGATCTTAAGGATCCAAAAAGAGGAATTTGTTGGTCAATGAGGTATAAAAATTCAAATTTACAATTGAGTTCAGATGAAAAATAATGTGTTTGTGCAGATTATTGCACCTCAGAGAGTCTGATATTCTTGAAGTTTTGCCTACAATTTCCTTAAGATTATGCAGAGTAATGACCAGAGACATGGATGGAGTAGGATCTATATCAATTCTATTCTAACTTTCTTTATTATTGTTATTGTTATTATTTTTTTTAGTGACAGAGAAATCCCAGGCCTATTCTTGGCGAGATAAAGGCTATTTGATCGCTCAAACTTGTGAGTTCGAGTAGAATCCATGACAAACCCCTTGGTGTATGAACCGATCTTTAAATCAACACATTAGTTAGATCAGGACTTACATTTTGATTCGCCAAGTTATTGAGATTTCTCTTATTGACCAATCAAACGTTTTGTCGTTCAGTGACTTTGAACTCTTAACTTTATATAAGTCAAGCTTTCAAAAAATAAAAGGTATTATTAAACCAAAAATCTGTTAATACTTGCCTTATATTTTTAGTAGACCACCAAGCTCGTATTGGGGTTGAATTCATTTAAATATAGTAGATCTGATTTAAATTCATGGTGGGTCTCAATTTAAAAATAGAAAAAAATATATACATCAATAGACCATATACGGTTGGGGATAATTTTCAATTTCTAGGGAGGCCGTACTGGTTCCAAACTGGTGGGGCCTATTGTCCCATCTCAAATGCAAATTCCGTCATTAAAGGTTAGGTGATTGGGGCAGGTGCTTGGACCACATCCCCTCTAAAAATACACTTATTCCACTTTCTGGGCTTTGTTCATTGTTAAATGTTCAAACTTTCCTGGATTCTGATCTAATCAGTGGATTGTTTAAGCTGTGAAACTTAGGTATATTTCTCTGTTAACGTTGGAAACTCTTCTAGAAAGTTTGATTAATCAGCATACACTTGGCAGCTTTTACCAATAATCGATGTGACTGCACAACTACCACTTGCTCGTAGTGGAATTTAAATTCTGGCCCTCTACTTTGATCCCATTTTTTCATTTTAACTAATGGATTTTAATTGTGTTTTCCTGTCAATTGTTTGAATTATTTTGCATTATTCTAAAATCATCCATTCGTCTTTTTTTTTTCTGCAAACATTTTTTATTGGCTTTTTCTTTTTTCATTGTCTACAATTGGGTTAGAGTGGAATAAATTTTAATAATTAAATTTGCAATTTGAGAAATGTTATACTAATTGTGAGTCATTTGAAAATAGATAATAATAATTAAAGGGATAATGTGAGGAATAAGACATAATTGAAGAAGTTAGATATGATTTATGATTGTTAGTTACTTGATACGTGCATAAAGGAAACTCGTAGCATTCCAATGGGTGGGGACTAGTTGGTTCTTTGTGTTCCGTTTAATACGATGAAAAAATGAAAAATTAAAATAATGAAAATAAAATATTATGTTTGGTAAAGACGGAAAATAGGAATGATGAAAAAATAGATGGATTAATTTTCCTTCCAATTCATTAAAATCAATTCCTTAAAAATCGGAAAGAAAGTGATTGGAAAGTTAATTATTTGTATTGAGATGTATCTTATTTGTCTATATATATATTAATTTTATATAAAAATACAATGGTAAAATATGTATATATATATTAAAAAATTTTAAAAATAAATATATTAAAATAAAAATTTTAAATTAAAAAAATATTTTTTTTCATTTTAAGTAAGGGTAAAAATTTTTGACTCAACACAATAACACGACTCGAACTCGATACGAAAATAAACAAGTTAATTCGCAATTCAACACGACACAATTAGTTAAATAAGGTAAGTTAGGTTTGACTAATATTTGACAGAAATCTATAATGACTCAACATGAATCTAATACGACATGACTCGATTGTGATCCCTAATCATTGTCAGCATAACAAAAAAATAGTCATTTTTATTTTTTATCCATTCAACCAAATACAAAAAAAAAATATATTTTTTCTACTTTTCATTATTAAAGACAAAAAGAGTATCGTTTGTATTTTTCATTCTCTTTATCAAACGGAACATTGGTCTTTCCATTGATGGAAGAAGATCAACTTGCATTAATTGCAATCAATCCAGGATCTTTCTGGGTGTTAATTTGTGTATCGGAAGAAAGGGAGAGAGGAGAGACAGATGTCTTACAATACATTTTTCTTTTAATTTTTTTTAACACATCATCCGTTATTAATGGATGAGGGATCCACCGTAGATGAGCGTGAATGGATGATAAATGACGTATTAAAAAAAAATTGAAGATAAAATATATTGGTCGAGATCGTACTCCGAAAGAAGAGGTGATAAGCATGACATTATTGCCAACTACCCGTGGACAATGCTTGTCAGAAGCATGGGGGCTGTGTTCGTGGCCTAAACTTTGCTTGGGACCCCGTCCAGAGTGTATGGAAAAAAACTAATAACCAACGGATCAGTCCCGTGGATTATCAGCATTGTCATTCGGAGTACACGGATGAAAAACGTATAAATCAATATAAGAGTCGTTTAATAAACAGATAAAAAAATTTAACATTATTTAATAAAAAGATAACATGACACGACTCGTTTAACCCGTTTAATTTTTATAAAATTATTCTATTAAAATTTTAATCCACACTAAAAAATTATTCCATTAAAATTTTAAATTCTATTAATTATTCACACTAATTATACTCTCTTAATTAAAAAATTTTCACTTGGTTGGCGCTTTCAAAGGCAAGTGAGAAAGTTGAATTACTAATAAAAAAAAAAGAGCAGCAACTTTTTATAAGCATGGGGAGGTCTCATTCTTTGAATTTGTTGACACGGAATTCAAGTGAAAATGTTTTATTATGCTTTCACTGTGTAGAGTCTTGCAGACCCACAAGAAGACCTTGTAACCTGTCTCACATCGAGCACCACAATGCAATGGGGTAAAAGAATAATTTGAACTTAATGGCCATTCGACAGCCAATCTCTCATCTACTCAGCAACTTGATTTTTTTTTTTGCATATGTATATAATATTTTAATTCTGATTATTTTTTAAAAAATAAAATAATTATTAATTTATTATTATTTTAATTTTTTTTAAACGGGTGATAAACAGGTTAATAGGTTTCTTCTGAACACGACCCGTTTATTAAACGTATTTAACGGGTCAACTCGTTTATCACTCGAATCCGTTAAGATCTCATCCAAACCATTTAATTCGTGTCAATTAATCTTGTCGATTAATCATGTCGTGTCTAATTTTGACCGGCCTACTCGACAGGCATAAACCGGATTATTATCCGCCGGTTAAAGTCTCTTAATCAATCGAAATCCATTGCAAAAAATTAAAACTGTCCATCGATATTGTCTTGTTTATTTGAGCACGTAATTATAAAAATAATTTAATAAATAAATTTTATATTTGTCATATTCTTATTGAAGAAAAAAAAAAAAGGGTAGTAGTTGGACCGAAACAAAAGCATTTCCTTAAACCAATTGAGCCATAACGTGGGCCAACCCTACAGAAGATTAGTACTTGGAGGACAACATGACCCAATGGGACCATGAGCTACAAACCCACGCCAGAGGGTTTTCCCACCTTGTATAGTCCCAGGTAGGTCTATCAAAAATAATACAATTCAATAATGATTGGATTAAAAATAATACGACAGGATTGACATCCAATTCTTTTGGAGAAAGAAACTTTATAGTGACTTGTTTTCTTTCTCTTGCCGATGTGTAGGAACAGCCCAACACATATTGAGACCTAAAAGTACAAATTTGAAAAACATTGAAATTACTATATCCTATAAGGTTTCTAGCATAGAAAACTCTTAAATTACAGAAATTTCACACAATAACCCAACCCATCACTGAAGTAATATGTATACTGCTCACCAGAAGAGTAAAGACACTATCATCTACAAGGTTAAATTTCTAGAGAAGAAAACGTTAATATTCAAAAACTAGTTCACTTACCTAGAATGCATAGTTACATATTGAAGATTAATAGAAGAATAATTACTATTTGGATCTTGATGATGCACAAATCGGTATTGTGCAAGATCAACAGTCAAGAATATGAACAAAGACAATCAATGAGCAATAATTAAGCAATTAATGGTAAAACTGTAAATAAGGAGCCAACACATAGAATTATAGTGGTTCGGTCCGAATGATCTACTCCACTCTCGGGAACGGCAGCAATGACCTAGATCTTTTATTAATGAGTGAAGTCACTGGAGTGAGTATTCTCTAAGAATATTACAGCGCTTTAGAGAGAGAGAGAGTAGTGTATGTAGGAATGTGTAGTGTGTGTAGAGATCTCAAGACTATCAAGGACTGTCCTCTACATGTAAAGGACTTACATTATATAGGCACACCAAGGCGGGTGATGTGGTGACGTGAGGAAGGGGTCTTCCACTATCTTGGTAAGTATAACCTCAGTAGGAATGGATCTTTGCATTCTGATATTTTCTCGCTCGTGTTCCTATTCTGTCCGAGGATGATCTTGAGCTGAGCTGATCCTGATCTTAAGCTTAGACTTGGAGTAGTGTAGACTTGGACTTACATTGAAGTGGAGAAGAGGGACAGGGAGGCAAGCCATGGGCGTTGGCCTTTGGTTTGGACTTCACTTGACTCCTTCTTAATTTGTGAGCAGCTCCAATTCTTTTTAGGCTTCGATAATTAGGACTCTTTTTAATGGGTTGACCCAGCTTTGATTTGAACTTTCTTTTAACTTTCTCGATTTATTTTTATTGGGCTTGGCCCAATAAAATTCGGACTCATCATTTGCCCCCCATGCTCTGAGCCTCTGACTTTTTGGAGAGAAAGGGTTCGCGAGCATATGCTTCATCTTCATCAGAGTGAGTCGAAATTTTTCTTGTCTTCAGGACTCCGCTGTATTGATCAGTATAGAACAGATTTTGTTTAGTCTTACTGTATTGATCGGTATTGAGCAATTTTTTTTTTTTTTACTCTCTTCCTTCTCTCTCTCTTTTTTTAATTTTTTTTCCCTTCTTTCTTGGGCTGATTGGGCGCCGCCCCTTTTGCTGACTTTTCTTCCTCTCTTTTTTTTTTCTCTTGGTTTGGGCTGGAAGTGGGCTTCTTTCACCTTTTCTTCTTCTTTTTTTTTTTTTTTCTTTTTTCTTGGCTTGGGCCGAGCATGGGCTTCCTTGCCCTTTTCTTTTTTCTTTCTTTTTTGGGTTAATCTCATTTTACACCCCGAAAGATAGTTCGAATCTCAATTTGTACCCTCAAAGAGCAAAAATCTCAATTTACACCCTAAAAGATAGAAATTTGTATCAATGTGCACCCCCAAAGATCAAAAATCTCAATTTGCACCCTCAAAGATAGAAATTTGTATCAATGTGCACCCCCAAAGATAAAAAATCTCAATTTGCACCCTCAAAGATAGAAATTTATATCAATGTGCACCCCAAAGATAAAAAATCTCAATTTGCACTCTCAAATATAGAAATTTGTATCATTATGCACCTAAAACTAAATTGATAAA